TGCGTGAAGTTTTCTGTGGCTTCTTTGCTGTGAACACCAAAGCTGATCTCATCGAAATGATAAAAGTTTCATTAATTCTGATGAGTTCTCGTGATGATGAGAGCCAGATAAAAGACAAAGCAAAAGCTTTTAATGCTTCTTTTCTTTTATTTCGCAATGAATTGTGAGTCGTACGGGTTAAAATGTGGAATAAAATCGCTAACAATATTCATGCATTGTAAGGAATCTTGGATCATCACAATTGCATTGTATAAGTCAGTATTAAATATTTTTAAAATCATATTTTTTTTATTTGCAAAACCTTTTTCTTCATCTCATCCACATTCCAACATAATTTTTCAATATTTTCGATTAAATAAAAATTCTCGGTACAAAAAAATATCGGCTGAATTTATACTTCGGTGACGGGTCGCTTAGCGATGTAAGCCTTGATGTTATCATTGTTCAAAACAGAGTCGACGACTTGACGAAGTGCTGGGAAATTTTCAAGCAAATCGATTTTTGTTAGATAGTTCAAGTAGTCGATGATACCAGCAAAGTAAATGTCAGCCCAAGTTGTCTGTGAAAGTAAATTTTATTTGTTAAATAATTTAAATTTAAAATTAAATAAAATACTTACTCGATTTAGTACCAAATGTCCATCATTCTCCTTTGCATTTCCATTCATCTTCGTGAGATAAAATGGAATAACTTCCTGTGTTAAAGTAATCATCTTCTTCTCCTTAACTTGATCATCCGGTTCGTATGAAACAATTGCGATTTCTAATCATTTAAGAAAAAGTTTAATGACTTTTTATTGATTTTTAATCATTTAACTTACTCAAACGGAATTCGTTGATTGTATCGACAAGAGCATCAATTTGTAAGTCTTCAAATGCGTCATTACCAGCAACACCGACTTGCTTAGCAATGTAACGACACATGGCGAGTGACTGATGAACACGACGTCCATCAACCTCAAGAACAGGCATTTGTCCCATTGGCATCGCTAAATAATTTCACGATGTTTAATGTTGTTGTTGGATAGAAAGTTGGAAATAATTGAAAGTGAAAAATGAAGCAATTTGTTGCATTAAAATTCGATTGATATCGTAATTCAATACGGCTTGGAAACTACATTAGTTTGCTTCTTCTTAGAGATAAATGAATAAAATAATCGGCGTCTCTTTAGCTTTATATCGATGGAAATATTTCATGATTTTATGTTGAACGATAAAATTGCACAAGTCACACAAATAATTCCGAATAACATTGAACAATTATAAATGAAATGAGAGGTGAATACTTAAATTTATTCAAGTTGTTGATCAGAAATATTTCAACAATCCATCGTCCTTCGACTGAAAATGATCTGTAGAAGAAAGAAATAACTAAAAGATTCATAACATGATTCACTCAAATTCGTCTTTAATCCATTTTGTTATAAAACTTGATCTAGAAAAGTGTAAAAGTTCATATTAAAAGTTTATTTAAATTTCTGTTGCTGGTCGTGAATTAATCCAATTTTTGATAGCATCAAGATTGTTAACGTTTTCAATTACTCGTCTTAAGTTCTCATGATTAGCTGTTAAATCTTGTTTTGCCAAATAGTTGAGATAATCGATGATTCCAGCAAAGTAGACATCTGCCCATGTAAGCTACGAAAAAGAAATTCTCACGTTGATAAATTTGTGTGATTTTTAAAATGATTTTTATACTTTTCCAAGTGCCAAGTATCCATTGTTCTCTCTTGCAATATCTTCTAATTTTTCGAGATAAAATGGAATCACTTCTGAGTTCAAAGTGACGAGCTTCTTCTCTTTAACACTGTCATTGGGTTCATAAGAGACAACGCCAATCTCTGAAGAATTTTCTTTTTAATTTATTCTAATTTTATTCAATTAAAACCAATCACATACTCAATCGGAAATCGTTGACTGTATCAGCGACAGTATCGATTTGTAAATTCTCCCAATCATCACCACCAACAAGTCCAACTGTCTTTGCCAAGAAACGACAACAAGCAAGCGATTGATTGACTCGTTTTCCATCAATTTGCAAGCATGGCATTTGATTCATTGGCATGCCTTTGTTACCAATGAAAGAAGGAGAGAAATAGTGGAAAGAAAAAAGAAGATATTCGATATTGCTTCTTATTGTTATGAGTTTATTAAATAATATTTATTGAAATTATTTAATATTTTGTATCATGAAATATTCCCATCAATCAATTCAAATTACATGGTGGATAACTAGACGTCTAATTTCTTATTTTTAAGCCGCAATTAAAAAGAGAACGTCAACGTACGAAGTACAACATGAACATCAGATTAACGATAAAAGAGATTCAAGTTTATTTTTAATCACAATTAAAACTGCAAGTCGCACACTTCATTAGTGATTTATCACAAAAGTTTCCTTCTGGTATCGCATTCAGAAATACGAAAAAGAAATTCTTAATTGAAAGTTATTTTAGTAACGATTCGAAAATTGAGTCAATAAATGAAATCGTGGAACCAATTTTAGACATTGTAAATATGTAATGTTGATAAATGAAAATGTGAGTGGGTGGAAGTTTTTATTTCAAAATATTTCATGAAGTGTCACATAATTTTTATTTCTTTCGTCATTAATGTCATTTGACTCATGCACTTATGATGTAACAAATTTTCTTTTGCAATTCTTATTCACTTTGTCTACGATTTTCCTTTCCTACTCACTTGGCTTTAATGCTGGCCATTCTTCTCTTGTAATCCTGACATCCTCAAATGGGATGTTGCCGTACGATAACAGAAATCTTAAAGGCTCGCCAAGAGCTTTCACGTTGAAGTAGAACACTTTGTATTCTGGCATTTTTTATGCAATCAACTTTTTCTAGAAAATTTTTTAAGAGAAAAATTCTTTTGTTAATGAATCTGATTCAAATGTTTTCACTTTCACTGGATATCTTTTTTTATCGCTACTTATTTTCTTTTAAAGAATTTCTATTACGAAACAAATGAGAAAAACTCACTAAGCAAAGAGTGGAAAAACTTTCAGTTACCGATTTGCAATTTCAAACCAACTCGGAAGACAATCAGAAGCCAACTAAAGTGGTTGACGTTGTGCACCTTTTTAAATCGATAATTTCCGTATCAAAAAACGATTAGAGATCGTTGTGCCGATGAAGATCGAATTTTGAAAGTGAAGAAGTAATTGTGCGGAAAGAAATTTCGAAATGAAACTTAAACAAATTAAAGTTTTTGAATAATTTGATTTTATTTTTCAATTTTAATGTTTTTATAAAATAAATTAATCTCTTTAAACTTTATTCACGAAAGCTAATACTTGATTCATAAATTCTTCTGGTTTCTCAGCATGTACCCAATGACCAGCATCAATGTAATTTAACTGGGAATTCGTAAAAATTTTGTCAATTTGTGTCTTATCGCTGGGTCTGGAAATCAACACCATTAAAAAAATGTTTCAATAAGTTTAATTAAAATGAATTCACCTTAAATAATCTGACTTCGATCCACCAATAAACAAAGTTGGGCCATCATATGTTCTTCCTGCAACATCTGGGAAGTTCACAACTCCCTCTTCGAATCTCTTCTCAAGCGTTTCTAAATTTATTCTCCACCGGAAATCGCCAGTTTCATTTTTAAAAAGATTTGTTATTAGGAAATCACGAAGCGATTTCTCATTGATTATTTCAGAAAGACGCTCATCAGCAACTTTTCGGCCTTGATGAATTGTTAATTCTTTGGGAATTTCAATTGATCGCATGGCTTTGAGGAAAAGTGGAATATCAGTTCGATTGGTTCCGATAGGAGAAATTGGAGAAATGTCAACAACAATCAAACGTTCGACTAGATTCGGATAACTTAAAGCAAAATACATCATAGCACGTCCTCCCATTGAATGTCCTAAAACAGCTGCCTTTTCTATTCCACGATCATTCAAAAATTTTGCGATATCTTCTGACATGGTTTCGTATGAATGCTCGTCGGTGTGTGGTGAATCGCCATGATTTCTTGCATCTATGCTAAATATTTTTCTACGTGGGTTTGCTTTTTGTGAGAAAGCCTTGCATAAACTGTTCCTGTTGATATAAAATATTCACAATCAACAACCTTTTAATTAAATGCACTTGAAGGTCTCATAATGACCTTCATCTTCATACAAGGTTTTAATGAACTTTATTTTGCATAAACACAACTAAAAGTCTGCTCACCAATTACTTTTTGAACCAAATAATCCATGCATTATAATAAAAGGATTTCCTTGAGCCTCTTTTCCATCTTTACTTTGGTATTCAGTATTTGAAAGGGCAACAGCATTATGCAATTTTCTTATTAAAATACTTGATGATCGATAAAAGCCTCTTGCGTAATTACTTCTAACAAGTTTTAACAACATTTTTTGGTTTCAGATTATGAGAATCACAGCTTAAATCTAATTTAAAATAATTCATAAAGTGAGGCGAATATTTCTGCACTTTTATGAATTTGTATACAATGAAACATTGAGGTTGAATGAAATCGAAATTTCAAGAAGTTGGGGTTGTGTGAAACAAATACGTTTGTGTTGAATAATGGTGAATTTGGGTTAAGTGAAATTCAATATCTATTTGTAAACAATAAAAAATTTCTCTGCTGTTAAAATGATGGAATTAGATAAATTTAGAGTAGAATCAATGCCACCTTCTTGTTATTATATACCTGAATTCATCACAGAATCAGAAGAGAAATTACTTCTACATAATATTGAGAGAACATCAGTAGTTCGATGGACAAAGCTAAAAAATCGGCGATTAATTAATTATGGTGGAATTCCAACTCAAAAAGGAATGATTGCTGAAGATATTCCATCGTATTTACAATCATATCTCGATAAAGTGAATAGTTTGAAGATATTTGGTGATGTTGAAGCAAATCATATATTGTTAAATGAATACACTGCTGGTCAAGGAATCATGCCGCATTTTGATGGACCGCTTTTCTATCCAACAATTACAACAGTTTCCATTGGATCCCATACAATTCTAGAGTTCTATCAATCTCAAGATATGACTCGTGATGTTTGCTTTAAAGTTCTTGTCGAACCTCGCAGTTTATTAATTCTTAAAGATGAACTTTACAGTTGTTACATGCATGCAATATCTGAAGTTGATGAAGACGACATTTCAGATGTTCTAATCAAAAACAAGCGATCATCGGAGCAAGAAATCTGTAAACGCGGAACTCGTTATTCCTTGACAATCAGAAATGTCCCGAAAACTACAAAATTTAAATTAAAATTAGGCAAATAAAGAAATTCCAACATTAAAATTCTTTCTCTTTATGTTGCTTACATTTTTCATCTTGATTAAATAATTTATTCAAATATATTTTGAAAATTACCAAGAATATGTAGTTTGTTTAACATTACACAATATTCATTTGTAAAAAAATTTCGCAAAACAATTTTTCTTTCTCTAAATTAAATCGAAAAGTGATGAAAGTTACAAAAGAAACAAAAAAACATTAAATGTTAAATGAAAAACATAATCATCACATTAATTTTATCGGAATGCTTCAAGAATATCTTTTTGTTTGCGAAGCTTTTCTTTTAACTTTTATCTTACAAGAGTAGTAAATGATATTTAATTAAATGATATAAATTGATTAATAATTTGCTCGACAAGGAAACTTTATAACAAGTGTGATGAGTTGAAAAGATTATTGAGAGACTTAAATTTAATCTCGTTTCGGAAGAAATTTAAAAATTCTTCTATGAAATTTGTAAACAAAAATATCAAGACAAGTTGAGTTGTTGCGTGGGAGGAGGGATGGATTCAAAAGTCACAGAACTTTTCTTGTCTTGATTCTAATTAAAGTTTCTCGATAAGGTTAAACGTAGTACGACATAATTAAATGATTGTTGATTAACAAAAGGATATTAACAAGATTATAATTATTTACACAAAGCTCAGATGAACAATACCAGTGGGTGCAGATGAAGGACAATTTCATGCAATTTCTTTAGCAGCTGGCAGATATCCTTCCCAATATTTCATGATCTAAAACCAAAAGGAATAAAATATAAAAATATTTTCTACAAATATCAAACTCACTTGTTGTTGATGTGCCATTTGATCTTGTAAATATTTGATGATCGCTGCTTTAAAATCTTTGGCTCGATTAATTTCAAATCGTTCCATTTCACGTTTAATTTCAGCTGAAATGTCATCAAATTCTTTCTGACATCGTTGAACTTTCGCTTCCCACTTTAAAAATGATTTTGATTTAAATTTTTGATTAAAATTCATTTCAATGTTGAAACTCACCTCTTCGACTTCCTTTTGTGCACCTTCAATTTTGTCGTTTCTTTGACTTAATTCCAACTTAGCTTTATTTTCACGTTTCTTTGTCAATTGCATTTGTGCATGTTGCCAGTTTTGGAACACTTTAACCCGTTCATGAAAAACAGCTTTAACAGCACTAAGCAGTCCAATATAATCATTAATCATTTCTGATAGAATGTAAAAGTCAGAATTCGATTGTTCGGTTCGAAGCAATTCAATTTTCTCTTCAACATCAGCGAGTTGTGAAAGAGCTTTTGAAAGTCCAACATGTTCTTCACATGTGCTCAACATTGCTGCTGATTTCGCTACTCCACCAGTTAAACTCGCCAATTCCTGACGATGAGACACCAACGATTTCACTGCTGAATGAAGTTTCTGATAATGAGAATCAAGAGCTTCAATCTCTGAGATTTTGTCAGCGAACCACGAATCATTCTCGTCCATCTTGTAAGTGATTTTGTTGACTGTTTCACCGACTTTATTTAGCAGTCGCATGACACCAGCACCAGATAAGGCAGCTGTGTTAACAGCTCTTGGCAGTTCATGATCACTTTCGAGGAAGTTGATAAAGTTTGGATCGACGCGAAGCGTTGGATGGGCAGCTGTTCGATTAAGGAAGCGTTCTAAGCTTGCACGACGATTTTCAACCCATTCAAGTCCATTTGCATTTCCCGATTCTGCTGTTTGTTGACTTCCCATCTTCACTTTCGTCGCGCCAATGATGTTTTTACTTGGCGCTGGTGGAATAATGAAACCAGCTCTTAGATAACGTTCCAGAAGTTGCTCATGGAGACCGAGGAAATCACTGAATCGACGTAGCACTGTTGACTGTCGTCGTTTGAATTTTGCAATGTTGGTCTTTGTTATTACTCTAAAAAATCGAAAAAAATAAACAGAAAATAAGAAGGAATTATTGATTTATCGTTTCATAATTGAATTAACTTAGTTATCTCACTTGTATGCTAAATATGAGGTCATTCCGTCACCAATTTTTTGTGGTTCTTCAACAGTAATCTCAATGAAAGTGTCACCAGTTTCTCTCTCCGCTGTCATTGTAATGACATCTTCCATACTTTCTTCTTTGGTTGTCGGTGACAACGATTCGTCATCCTGTAAATATTGAATTAAAAGAAAAAAAATTATTAGAAATTTTTCCGTGTACCCGCATAATTCTCAAATGGGCGTGAGTGATAAAACGATAAGAGAAATCCAAAGAAATTTCAGTGAGTAATTGGAAAGCTTTATAACTATCAACACAATATAGGAACACGAAAAATTGATAAGGAAATAAAAAAAAAAACAAAAGAAGTACGAAACCTGAATTGCGGATTGAAAAATTTCAGGTTCATCACTTGGCGAACTGATATCCACGTTATCCATGTTATCGAACAGTGGCGGAAGTGTATTGTTGTCCATAATTTGATCCTATTTTAATTGCTTTTTCTGATAAAGAATGAATTATGTTACAAAAATATTCACTTGATGATTCGATAATTTTGCAGACCCGAGCGACACCGCATAAGTTTCGAGTGTTAATTTAAATTTATAAAAACCGTTAAGAATTTATGTAGTCATTTCGAAATTCATTCTTTTAAAAGGAAAAAATTGATTATGAAAATTATTTTAATTATAAACGATGTTCAACGAATAATGTAAGAATAAATATCGTTTTACATTACACAGCCATGTATGTATCTTGCAATATAATTATTATTAATTAATGATTTCATGCTTCGAATGATTTAGTCATAAATGCATTCAATGACAGCGTTATGTCTATATTTAAGTCAATAATTTATGCGACCAAGTCTACCATTGTCGCGAAGAAATTATCATTTTTCCAATGACATTTTTGGCGGGTTGTCAAGTATATCCTAAATGTCTAATTGAAATTTATAAATATCAATCTTCCCATATTTGAATGGCTACAATAAAAGGAATTTGATATTTTAAAATCGACAAATTAATGATACACATTTCGTTTGTCAAAACACCCTAAAAATCATTATTTCCTTATAGAATATTAAGAGTTAAGACGTGCTAAATTCCTTTACAATCCATAGTGACAGCCATCATCCTTAGGACAAAAGTTAGCGAGTAGCAATAATTTTATAATCAAGGTGGTGTCTAGTATTTGTTTGTTGTCAATCCATAAAATTACAATTAAAATTCAGCATGTTATGCTTCTATCTTTCAACACGAAATGCTTCGTCACTACTAAAATTGCAGGTTGAGCGATGATGTCGTGCAACGTTAAATGATTCTTGAAGTTGAATAATGAAGAATAACAAAGAGCTTTTCTCAGCATAAATTATAATCACAAGGTCGACTTTCTGAATTTATTTTATATACTGAGTCTGTTGAAAAGCTTCTTATGAGATCTTCCCATTTCATGCATGCTTTAAAAAATGTTTATATTGAAACATGCAAAGCAAGAGAACTGAGAGCAAAGAGAGAAGAAAAATTGAGCCGACATTAAAATATTCAACACAAAAGAAACTCAACATTCACCATGTTAGTTCAAGCCCAACTCTCGACGTGATCAGTTGGACAACGGTGATTAAGCGATGTTTTAAACCGCGAAAATGTGGGTGAATTAAACGAAAATAAAAAAACTCGTTTTCTCTAATTGTGTGCCAGAAAGTTTAGCAAAGAAAGGAAAGAAAAGTTAAAGTTATCACTTCTCGAGAAAAGTGAAGACAGAAGTCTTTTGTTGTTCAAATAATAAAAGAAAATATTGAAATGAATGAAATTATTAAATGAGTATTATTAATGAACGAAAACGAAGTTTTATAAAGCGAAATAAAACAAAGTTAAATTTACAACATCGCTGTTGAAGTGAAAAGAAAATCATAAAATAAGGAAAAGAAAAAAAAAGATCAGAAAATGATTTTTTCTAATCCAGGAATTAATCAAAATATCTCGCAAGGTGCTTTAAGCTCGAAGCAATTCCAATTGTGGATTACACTCATTGTTAGCCTGCTATGTTGTGGAATTAATTGTCAAGGTAAGCTTTCAGACTCACATTCCACTTCACCGACGTTTTGCTGGTTTCGCTTGCACATTTGAAGTTATGCGGTTGAGTGGGAAACTTTTTTATGAACTTAACGACTGCTTCAATGATTCGACTAAAGAACTTTTTATTATTGTTTGATACGAAAAAAATATTAAAGCTAACCAGAAGTTAATTAAAAATCTGTCTGGAATCGAGTGTAAAGTAGATTGAAGAAAAATCATCGCACCATAAAAATAAAATAATTCTTATGATCTCGTCTATCAAGTCTTGAGGTAACCTTGAATTTGGTGTTTTTGTAGCTTTTCACAGCAACTTATGTGAGCATATTCAATTGTTAGTGTTGCTTGCTATAATTGACTTTATGTTAATTTTGCGCTTTTTTATAAAACAAACACGAGATATAAAGTTAGAATTTTCTATGCCTTTGATGTATTAACAGCTTGATCTGTAACGACAATGTTCAGTCTCATGTCGCTTGTTTCGACATAAAAAGTGGCGGCGGAAAAGTCTTGAGTTTAATCTGGAAAAAGTTAAGTTAAGTTGTTTAATACGGCATTCAATACCTAAACAAGGAGGTGAAGAACGGCTTTTGAAACTCTTTTTTTCGCTTTTGGAAACCTCTTAATGCGGATCGTGATTGACCCTGGTAGTCAAAAATAATCGAAGTCGATTTTACACTCAATCGGTTGGTACTGTTTCTGATCAGATTCGCTTTAATTTTTTTCAACTTTTCTACTAACACTGCAATTAAATTCTTTCTTCTTCTCACGGACTATTTATTGTGTTTCTATAAGAATAATAAATGTGAACATTACCAATACTGTTCGATCTTGTTTCATGTTTCAATTACTTTTTTGCTTGAAATGGTCTGTTGGTCGTTATTGTTGCTGTTTAGAATCACCTATTTAATGTCGAAACACAAGCAATTAGCACACAGCATGACAACGGGTTAAGATGCCGCTTGACTTTGGGGAAAAATTAACGAACCATTTCCATCATAAGCAGACAATCGGCTGCAAGTTTTCATTTTCTAAATCATGATGCGAACATTTCACACACATTAAATACCAGAAGAAAAGCAAACATCAACAGACTTACTTAATTATAGTAAATTTCAATTTCTTTTAAGCACTCAATTGTAATGAAAATGTAAATCATTAAAGAAGCGAGAAAATGTTACGAGTAAAAATTTCCGAAATTATCTCAAAAATTGAACAAGTGTCTTAAATAAATTGGAATGAAACAGAATTGCATAAGCTTTTGATGATGATGTGTCATCTTCATCAAGATTTTCAATCAAAAGCACCACAAATTAAATTGAATTGGGATTATAGATGGGAAGAATTTTTGATGATTATAATTTTCATCTTTTTTTTCTGCAACTAATGACGTGCGATATCGAATCTCATTCAATTGATTTGATTTTCACTTTCTGTTCATAAAAAATGTAATTTGGACGAATCAAAATATGCTTAATGATGCTTCATTACGACTTAGATTATCATGTAATTTCCACAACACGTTTCTGAGGGGAAACCTGTGAAAAAACTATCAAATTTTGATTGCACGAGATATACTGTGAAAGCATCTTTTATCGCTTCTAGCGGAGAGAGCGATCAATCAAAGAATTGACGAGCACGAGAAACTCTCTGATGGTCCATCGAATTAAAAACCGATCAACTCTTAAACGGGAACAGTTTTGTTAGTCTTCTGATTGTGGAAATATCCGTTGAATTGATGTCAATTTTAGTTTCGCTTGATACGATGAGTGCTCCATAAACATAGAAAAAAACTTCAGCAAAGTTCGTAAGTAAAAACTGATTCTTTATTCACATATGAATAAGCAAATGTTAAGGAATGACAGTTCATGGTTGAATAGATGGAGAAAGATACAACCTACCAATGCGATGCCAAATCGAGAAAAGTAAAGCAAAAAATAAAGAAATAAAAAGTAATGGATCACGAAAGATTTCATCAGATTGCGACACAGAGATTAGCGAGCTTAATGTTGTCTTGTTGGCATTTAAATCTTTTGTTTTCGGTCTCTCGCTAACGCGTTCAAATTGAAGATCCGAAAAAATCTTCCCGCCTAATGAGGCAGTTGTTCAGATGTTAAACATGCTAAAGTGTACACTGGTGATTTGAAACTTTGTCTCGTTTGTTGATTCAAAGCGAAACTTTCACTCTGTCAGTTTTTTATCTGTTTGTCTATTAATAAATTTTTGGAGCTTTGTTCGTGCGTTGCCGAAGATAAAACCTGAGTGGTTGAATGGCGATGAAAATCTCCAAAAAAAGAGTTGCGAGTAATGTAAACCAAACGTTTGTTGATGTTAAAAACCTCACTTTGAAGTTAAATGAAATTGAGAAAAGGAAAAAAAAATTATAAAGCATGTTGAATAACGTGCTTATGTTTAGGGAGACATGTCGATGATGACTTCAAAGAAATTTAAGATTAAAGTAAAAAGTTTTAAGCATCTATCTTGATAAATTCACAACAAAAAAATTGACATTATAAAAAGAAACTTTCTTTATAAAATTATGACCAACTTTACACATTTATCCCAACAATAAAAATCACAAGTTTCCATCCAAGATATCTTGATGATCTTTTTCTCAAAGCCATAGCCGTGAAACCGCAAAAACCTACACCGATGATTATCATCTCGCATATCTCAGCGGTCCAGCATTTGCACAAAATTACAATCAAGGAAAAAAAATATCGACATAACAAAAGCTTAAACACGATCAAATCAAGGAATACAAAACACGGAAGCTATTCTTAAGTTTTTTCTACTCTTCATCATATTGAAACTTCTAAACAAAACAATCGACTTTTCGTTAAGAACCCACAGCGTGATAAAAGAATGAAATAAAAATCTACATGATGAAAAACCATCCGCAGTAGGAAATTTTTGTTAAATGTCTAAGCAAAATTCGAATGAAAACAACAAACAGAGAAACCTTAAATAAAAACTTGTTTTCTTCAGCACAACACAGGAATTGATTGTATGTTGTGATGAATTACGTAAACGAAAAAGTGGCATAAAAACATCATGTTGTGTATGTTGGAGAACACAAGCTGATGGGCATTAAAAACGTCAAGAAGAAAGAAACAAAAAGGAAGGAAAGACGATGTAGAATGTGTGTCAGTGAGGCACTACAAAATTGAAACGGTACCAACACTGATGGCACCACACAGCTTGCTAAGAAGTTAAAACTTTTCTTTTTCGTAGCATGTTTGGCGATTATCATGAGTTTTATTTTTCCATTTTTGCGCGACTTCAGAAAAGCTTTTAATATTATTTATTGGTGAACAAACTGCTGCGTTGCCAATTCAAGTCAATGAATCGTGAAAAGCACAAATAATAAATGCAGAGCGATCAATGAAACTCGATATTCAACATTTTTCGCAAACTCTTTTCTTTCCTTTCATTTGCTTTTGCTCTCAGTCTCGATCGAAATGTTGAAATGAAAGTGAACAATTTCTGTCGTTGCAGTCTCTTTTGTTTCGCTTTAAAGAGTTGCTAATTGAATTTCCTGTATAAATCGTAGGCAGAACTATGTATACATAATGTTTGTCTGGCTTTGCAACTTGCAACAAATCAACGGATGTCAATCTGATTAATACGTCTAATGAATTGTCATTTCCATGTTAGAAACCAAATTGTTCATTGACAGTTTATAGAATTCGATGCGGATTTATTTTTTTGTTTTTTTGTTTTTCGTGGAACGAAAGAAAGAAAAAATGTGAAATGCCATTGAAGTTGTTAATCAATCGTAAGCTTAAAAAAAGTTCAATGGAACTCTCACTGCAAGAATTAACGAAATCAAATTGTTTTATGCAATTTATTGTTATTTCATCTGTGGAAAAAAACCGAACCGTAATCCGAGTTGAATTTTTATTAGATTTGAAAAGATACCCAAGAAGTCATTCGCTCAATGATTCAATAAGATTAACTAAGCTAAAGTTGCTGCTGAGAAAAAAAATGGTTCACGTTAGCTATTTTTATTTCGCAGTCACAGCAAAATCAACACAATAACAAAAAACCTGCTTCACGAAAGGTCAGTTAGTTACAGATCTTTTCGTCTGTTTCTCATATCCATAAACGGTTAAAAGATATAAAAAGCTTCTTTTAGAGGGCGGGGAAGTCGCAGACTATGATATCAGAAAATTGACTTGTAAAAATTATTAAAAGTCGCCATAAAGAGATCTTCAAAAACACAACTTTGAATATGAATACTCGCCAAGTTTCCATCCCTTCAGACAGTCATTCTTATGGAAAATATAATTACAATAAAAAAGAGTCATTTATGAACTTGCCAACTTACAATCGTTACCACTAAGCTGTTCAATTTTAAACATAAAGCAAAAGTGATCTTGTTATGAACTAAATAGTACAAAATTACAAGACAAATGTCACTTCCTGTGACGAGGCTTGACTTTTTTATCCAAATAAACCGTAAATAATTGTGGTTCAATGGTTTTGATCTAACACAAACTTCATGGACTTGCATGTTAATAAATAAAGAAGACATGTCTTTGCATAATCATTTAATTATCACATTTTATGCATTAGTCAGTTAACTTTCTCGACATCAAAACACTTTTTTATCTCATAAATTGTCTGTCAAGTGAAAATGAAAGTTCAAACTAAAGTATCATCTTCAACTCTCGACATCGACATCGACATTGATTGTCTTATGATTTTTACGATGCAGCGTCAATTCACCTTTTACATTTCAAAATTCATCATTAGAGACTTGAACAAGAAGAAAAAAGTTAAAGCTAAAGTTACGTAAATGGCAGGGAAAAAGTCGAGACCGGTTTCATGTCTTGCTTGAATGGTAGATCGTCGTCGTTCAAGGAATTTATTTTTATTTTTTATTTCCACAAATTGAATTGTGTTCTGCTTTTAGTATCTGAGAAAGTTTTTGGCTTTTCTGTTAAGTTTTCAAGGTCCAACTGCAGGCGATTAAGTTACCTGCTGAATAAGAATAAAATTTCATTGCTAACCAAAACCTTCAGCATGAGGTTTGATGTTCAAGATGAAGAAAAAATTATAATTTTTCATTTTTCAATTTTGAAGCATTGTTGAATCTTCATATTAGCGAAACTAAAGCTTAATTGGTTCGTTCGAATAATGTGTTGAAAAATATTTAAAATCACTGTTATTATGATTGAATGTAATTTGTTTTTATATAAATATTACGAGTTAACGAAGATATTGTTCAGTTCCTGATTCTAATTATTCATGTTCATGTAAAATCTCTCGTGATTACATTCAAGACTTTTGAATTTCATTTTCATAGATCAATAGCGAGTCGATTGGATGATAAGCTTTATAAAAGAAATTGATTCCTAATCGCTCACTTTAATGAGATTCATTGCCGAAAAATTGAAATCAATGATTTTCATCCACTCACTTCCTAAGTAAGCCAACAAATTTCATCAGCGAAAGTTTAACTTCCAAGTGTTGACGAAGGCGGAAGGTTCCATAACGGTTAGATCAACGCTGATCCAACCGTGAAAAAAACTTTCAAAACATCATGTAAACCAACATTGGACTGTGATTGATTGTGTAAAGAAAAACATTAAAACCCAATCAATGATGCGGCGAACATTAAAAATAAAAAATAAAAAGCAGTTGCAACTTCCTTATCATACTGTAAACTCGATCAAAGCTTAACGATGTGTAAACATTTAATTTCTTCTCCAACTTCCTTTCAAATGACTGACATCTATCGTGTCTTAGACAACTGCATTTAAATCTTTTAAGATCTATTAAAAATCTTGTGTTTTTATGGAGGCGACAATGTGAATTTCAATTGACGGCAGTAACATATGCGAGTACCTGACCAAACAATAAAATTCAGCAGCCCGCACCTAAATACATACAACGTTGATGTAATCCATCGAAGAATTTTTCTCACCTGGAATTCAATGACTCTTAATTTCGCAAGTTAGTTTTTTAGTGTTGATTGAATCGCCCACGCTAAATTGTGAAGCGAATTAATAAAAAACAGAACGAAAACTGTGGTGAGTTGGAACGAGTTTCTTGGTAGACGACAATGATTTTTAAGTAGTTAACTGTAACCATTGGTTGATGATGTCACTTGATTTGATTCTATTGGTCACGAGAATTGTAAAATAAAGGAATTAAATTAAAAACAAAGAGAAAGAGACGCTTCCGTCTGTCTGAAACGTCTTTTTGATGAGAAATTTCCCATAAATTATTAAATTAAATGCAATTAGACTTGAGTCACGGACAATTTGAAACTGTTGACAGCTCGTTTGATTCGTGGAAAGTAGATGAGATGTTGAAATTATGACAATGGTAATGGAAATTAATGAAACGATGTCATCTTCATGGCCGATAGTGAAGAAGCTGGACGAGAAAAATTATTCAAGATTAGTTACAGAAAGCAATTGAAATGATGTTGAAGTGAAATCGAGGAATGTCTTTGATGTTCATTGACTGCATGAATCTGCATTTAAGCTGCTGGAGAATGCCATTTAATTGTCACATAATAATCAAAAAGCCACGAGTAAACGTGAGTTGAATTCAAACGTTAAACAGCCGAGACAAAATCTTCAATTGATTATGGTGAAATTTTCTAATAATTTTACATTAACACAAAATGACATTTGCGCAATTCCATTAGGGGAGAAGCAACAAAGCACTTGACTCTCTGGTCAGCAATTACTTATGATGCCATAAAGTTACATTAAAGAGATAATCAAAATTGGCCTCATCCGTTCATAATTGCCACGATGACATTGATCTTAAAATTATTTATATTTTTAATGCGGTTGTTAATTATGGCATCAATTGAATTGAATTAACTGAAACAATTTAACAATTAGGTGGAAGATGCTGGAATGCTTCATCGTGTACGAAACGACCATCAAAAATCTCATCTCAAAAATGATTCCATCAACGAAAATACCGCAACAAAACAATTGAACAGCAAAAGTTCCCTCAATTTAAATGCTGATTACAAACTTCAATGCCATGCATAAATTTGCACGCAGTATCGTGAGATGCCTGGGGCGATGGATGGAATAATTGACTGGAGTATCAGAGAAGTGATAGTTGCAGACGAATTTGCGAATAAATTTACAAGATAATTATTTGTTTCCGACCATAAAACAACAAACAACATGTGAACTCACGCAGTTGAACTTTTACCATTTCCGTCTTCACCGTCGTATTTCACTTTCAAATGAAATGTTTTTATCTTATTGACGATCCATGAAGTTTCAGCGTTTCATATAATCAACTTTAAGCTGCATACTTACATTAAGTGAAAAATCAATGAAAGAATGCAGTTTTATCCATTCGAATGCTTTCAATTTAATTCACAATCATCATCGTCATCATCAACTTTCTTTTGTTGGCTACCATTGAAAATCTCGCATCAATAACGAAGAAATTTCAATTTAAAAGTCACTCAATCGTCATTTCTGTCCATTGATCCGTTTATCAATTTCTTTTTTCTTCCCCACCATATGATGGAATGATCAATATCGAGTTGAGATTCCCATTAACCCACTTCAGCGTTGTCAAAATATGAATCACGCTCGTGTGCGGAATATCATGATTGCGTTCTTTTATCGTCATCGCTTTACTTGTGATGGGCATTTTACTACAATCTATTTGTGGTTCCAATAACAAAACAAAACAAAGAAGTGGTTCTTCCACTTTTCTTCAACCTCTTTCTCTCGCACTCTCTACACATTTGTTTCTTTTCATTTCTTCCGCGTATTTGGGTCGAAAGGTAGATTCAGCTGCGGAGAAACGACGAAAAATTCCAAAGCGTTTTAAAATGTGCAAATATCTTCTTTCTCCTATTTATTATTATCACCATCGTAGCATAAATCAACATGCAATGTTGCTAAGCTTTGCAGATATCAATTATGTGTGTTGATTCCAGGAAATTTGAAACTACATTGATTGATTACATCTGACAAGACTGGTTTTCAAGTCATTGTAAACATCAATTAACATTTACAATCGAATGCTATTCTTTGTTAATTTGTTGTGTTTAAAAGTATCACACATTTAGTCAGTAGTTTGGGACCAACTCGAAACATAACGGAAAACAAATTTAAGAGTTGAGCTTAACTCGTGTTCGGCTTATTAAATCATCACACAAAAAATTGCTTAAGAGAAGCAACCCAAACATACAAATTGATGTCGCCACGTCCAACCGACTTCTTCATATTGTCATACTTAAGCAGAAAGAAAGAAACATTATGAAAAGGTTTCTTTAATGTTTTTTTCGACATAAACAAAACGTTGTTAAGTCTGTAAGTGGCTGTTATGCTTGTTTGTCAGGGATGTAGACGTCGCTTTGTCATTTGTTCTGCTTTTAACATTAAAAATGTTCCATTTACTTCATGCTTTCACCAGCAGCCCTCGTCATTATCTCATACCAACCATAAAGTCACGTCCGTTTGTCATCTTTTTTAATGTCGTTGAATTCTTTCTTCACCTTCGCCACAAATCCAATTGTGCAATTGAAAGTAAAAAAAACGCCTTACTCATTACCATAACGAGTGCACGCATGATGCTTTTTCCTTCTATAAATAATTTTTGTTTTTAATATAATTAAATTTACTTTGGAATTCTGCGACTTGCAATTTCTGTGAACTGTAAAATTATGATGTGTGGAGAGTTAATTGATATGAAAACCACTTTTGATTTCATTATTTATTCGTTATGATGTTTAAAACAACATTGACTGGTTTAATAATGATATTCATTTCATTTCCCATGCTTGGATTAATTGCAAATCTTGTTTATGCATTTGGCGATTGAATAATTTTTATGTTCAAGATATGAACGCACATACAAGTGAATAACGATCATATGGTAAGAGACAATCTTCTCATCTGTATAGAAAGAGCTTCAAAATATTTGAAACTTGTTTGAGAAGCGAATTAAGAAACTTCATTTACACTTTTTAAAAGATGAATGAATTGAATTGAACCATCTCAGTTATTAAAATTTTTCGCATCTCTAAACATTTTCAAAAACATGAAAGAGTCTTTGTCTGCAAAAAGATATGGGATTGGAGTTACTTTTGGGGGGAAAATCAAGATGCTGGAATACCATTAGCATTGTTTTCATGGTCTTTTATGTTTGATTGATGATGGGGAAAAAAGCTTTTTTTTATGAATTTTGAAATGCTTTTGAGGTCGAGAAAATTCAAAGTGAAATTGATGAAATCAACGTTATGGAAATTAATTTTCTGCTTAAGATATTTAAATCAATTTTCTCCGTCTCTGATGACTTTGTGGGAAGTACAAATGAAAAGAATTTGAGTCAGTGATTTTTGCATTTATGATTGATTACAACTCAGAGTTCATGGATTCGCAATTTGACCGATTAATTTTTGCACAAACTCAACGCATAATCAATTATGAATTTTTATTAAATGTAAACACTTAAAATTCCTTTCATATTTCAGTTTGTGGTCCACCAGCCGTACCAGTAAATGCCAAAGTACAAACAACAAAATCAGATAATGGACTGAGTGAAGCAAGATACGAATGTGATTTGGGTTATGAACTTTTTGGACCTGCAACAATTCGTTGTGATCCAATCAAAGGCTGGGAAAAGGAACTTCCATTCTGTGGTAAGTAATTATTAAAAAAAATCGTAAATCACTGTCAACTTCTTAACGCGCTTTATTGAAAAGAATGGAAAATATTTAGAATTGCATAAATAATCGCGCGGAAACATCTTTCGATTGTTTTTTCATCGATGACTTAGCTCGCTTAATAATAGAAACGTTTCAAAATCTTTTGAACAATCTCTTTCGATTAATCTTCTTATAAAACATTTTTTATTATTTCATTTTCATTGAAATTCAATTCGAATTTTTATCCCACTCGATGATGTTGAGATAACAATAGCTTGAGAAAAAATATGTTGATGGCATGCTGGGTAACTATCAAAATATGTAAGCCAAAGTCAGCTAACTAATTATCGAATTAAGCAACTTTTCAATAATTAGTGGTTTAGTGAAATATGTTAAATTAAGCACCTTTGGCAATGCATGACTGCTTCAAACCTAAAAAAAAAAATTTCTTTGACAACAAATTTTCTAATCAAGAAAGAATCGATGAAGGTTTTTAAATTAAAATTCTCGTAAACTAATTGAAAGTTATTGCCAGACAATGCAAGAGAGAAAAAAATGAATCGATTCTCGCGTCCCACTTTACCTTCACGGTATTTTATTTTATCGCAAGACTTTTGAATTTCATTAAAAAAAACAAGAAAACAATTTTTTTCTTTCTTTTCTTCATTCTTTGCAATTTAATTTTTTCATCAACCATAAAGACTTTAGTGCATACATGGAAACTAATGCTAGATTGCAAATGCCCTAAAGACCTGATAAATGTAAACTTATAAAGTTTCTAGCTTGACTAGTTTCGTCGACGTTTCTTGAACGTGTCAAGTGACTTGGTGAGATTTCTTAAGAAAACATAAAAGGCACGCCAAGTCTTCTGTTTACTGTAACAGATCCCAATTCATCAACAATTCTCTTTTTTCTTTTACCAACTCCACCTGAGCTGACCTTGACGCAACAGATATCATATAATGTGTGAGATTTTGTGGTTACTGTTTGGCATTCTTGTGAGAAAACCATTTGAATATTTGGATGATGAATAAATAAATTAATTCATAACTTTATAATTGTTGGAATGATTTCGCGGTTTATTGGTGAGGGTTCGTTTGGTAAGAACGTATTCATTTTCACGTTCCAACCTCATTCACGTACCGAAGCATTTGTTGACGAAAAGAAACTTCCATCAAGCACACATGAACCACATAATCGACTTTAAATTATAAATGAAAAATATGAATAATGACGAACGTCTCTAAGAAGTCTTTTCAATCTATTCACTGAGGTTTCATCAAGAGAAACAAAAACTAACAAAATAGCAATAAAATTGAGCTGTAACGCTCGAAGTCAAACACACAATAAGCAGTCAGATTCGTGATGTGTGGCGGGGTAAAAACAGCAAAAGAATCGTAGTAAAATTGTAGCAAAAAATATGAAATTGAGAAGTCGAATGAACTTTATTTTGCATACCTAAGTTATTTCATTGACAAGGATGGGTTTGGATGGGTTTCAATGCATGATCATGATGCAAATAAAATAAAAAATTTATGCAATCAACAGATGACGGCATAGAATTTGCGAAAGAAATCGAACAAAAAAGTGTAAGAGAAAGACGCAAATGAGTTTGTATTAAAAAAAGTTGCGTCACTGAGCGCTAATTTACTTCACCTTTTGTTCCAGCCAATTGCCGTGAACACACTGGGCTTTTGTTATGGCGTTTGTAGATAGTTTCGAAAATAAAAATATCTACTTTTAAATATTTTCAATTAATGGTTTCACCTGCTTGATGAACGACAAGCGTTTTGTATGCCGCAATCATAATTAAAATTGATGAATGATTTTTGTTTTCAATTCCTTTAATATCAAGGCACAAACGTTGCTTACCGTAAGCCAGTCAATCAATCTTCTGCAACACGATCTGGCCCAGCTTATTATGCGAATGATGGAAATCCAGGAAACCAAATTCCTGATGGTCAAGAATGCTCGGAGACACAGAAAGAAGCTTCACCTTGGTGGCGTGTCGATTTACTTGCACCACAAACTGTGAGAGTCGTGAGAATCACAACCCGTGGATGTTGTGGGCATAGTCCACTTCAAGATCTTGAAATTAGAGTTGGAAATAGCAGCACAGATCTCCAAAGAAATCCTTTGTGTGCTTGGTATCCGGGCCAACTTGATGAAGGTACAACTAAATCATTCACATGCGCTCGCCCACTCATTGGACAATTCGTAGCTGTTCAACTTGTCGGAGTCGAAGGAAGTCTTAGTCTTTGTGAGGTCGAAGTCTTTTCCAACGATGGTAAGTTGACATTTTCTTTCCAATTTAACCATTTTGATATTTATTGTCTTGTCGTTATAGATTTCTCGAGTGAGCGTTGTGCATCGCCTAATTTACCCCCCGAAACGATTTTGACGACGTTTTCTCGAACGTGTTATGAATTTCATGTGACACGAGGTGAAAGCTTCGATAAAGCCAGGGCAATCTGTCGGCAGCATGGTAAGTTTTGTTTTGTTTTAAACAATAAAACTCCGATTGTCTTTCGTCATGCACAAAGATGATCTAACATATGAAAATATTCATTCATCAGGTGGTGATTTATTGCACGATTTCCGTGGTGCGACACAAGACTACATATTGGCAGAGTTGGATCGACGAAAGTCTGATTTAAAGACACAACTTGTATGGGTTGGCGCACAGAAAGAACCCGGCATTACAGCCCGAACATGGAAATGGGTTAATGGTAATGAAATAATTTTAAATTCTTTTGTTTTCATTGGGACAGTGGAGATTCATTCTGTCAGTCGTGGATGATATTTATTCTGCATTAATCTTACGGGTGAATGAATTTCCAGAAAGTTTCTTTGTTTAGTTGCTGCGTCTTCAAAAGCAAAAAGCATGCGAAAATTAATTTAATGGGTTGGAAGTGAAGTAAAGCAACAGTCCATCAATCAGATCACCATTTAAGTAACTACTTCAAATAAGAATTAACTTTTTTTCTGTTGTTCGTAATCTGACATAAGTTGCTTTTAATCAAAAACACTTTAGAATAATTTTGTTTCCCTTCTTAATAAAAATGGGATTGAAAAGAATAAAAATGTTGACTGTAAATCTTTTAACCAAATCAATTATCTAAGTCGCGGTCTCGATTTTTCTCGCAGTTTAACACGCTAATTACTTAATGCCGGTGTTTTTAAGTTTTACCTTCGTTAGAAGAAAATTAAGAAGCGATAAGCGGTGGGAAAGTTCTCAACGTATTTCCATCATTTACATTTTAAATTTCATGCTGATTCTGTTTGGACTGGAATCCGAATAGACCGAAGAAAATGTAATGCCAGGGAAATATTTTCACATTACGTCACTCAATCAAAGTTACATGAGTTAATCATTAATTTCTAAGTTTGATTTGATTTCATATTTAAAGTAAAGAAATCAAATATTTCCAAATTTATTATTCTTCATAACTTGCTTGAGTAACTTTCATCGTCATAACTTTTTTTGTGACACAACTTTGCTTTATTCCCGTAAGAACTTTTCATTTCATGAATGTTCCACATCGGTACACATGACGGATTAATTAAGCTTTTATGCTTACGTACAAACACGAAAAAGAGAAGAAGATGAGGCAACAACATTTCAAGCCTAAGGTGCGCATCATTAATTTTCAAATGATTCTCATTACAATCATCATATCAATCTTCAGAATGTTTTATTATTAACTTTACGATCTCGCGAATTTTATTGAATTAAAATATGTTTCCAGATGTGTTTTTTTATTTCGCTTAATTTGAATCGAAGCAGGAAATTTTTGATTTGAGACATCCCATCATCGTTCAAACAAATTACAATTTGTACATACTTGTGATGATAAAAAAAGATTTTATAGACATAAATGAGGCAGATTCAAATCTGATTATTTATTTTTATTATTCAATGATTGATGATCCATGAGATCATAAAAATGTTTGAATTCCAACATTGTCTTATCGTAGGTACAACGATCAAGTGAGAACTTGTCCCAGTTCCATTCACTTGGTTCTCATAATTAATCGCTTCATGCTGACGTTTGTCCTTGTCGTCATACAAAGTGAATGGATTTTTTCCTTCTCTCCATCATGTTTCATTCAACTTTAATGAAATGTTTATTTATAAACAGGTGACGTCGTTGTTCGTCCGACATGGGGAAAGGATCAACCTAACAATTACAATGGCGAACAAAATTGTGTTGTACTTGATGGCGGTCGAAATTGGTTATGGAATGACGTTGGATGTAATCTTGATTACCTTCATTTCGTTTGTCAACATCCGCCACTTTCATGTGGATCACCAGATATTTTACATAATACAACAATTGTTGGAAAGAATTTTTCAGTCGGTGCAAGTATCGAGTACAAGTGTCCAAAGGAACATTCACTTGTTGGTAACGCTACGAGGGTGTGCCAGTCAAACGGCTTTTGGAGCTCAACAGCACCAACGTGCAAATGTGAGTTCGAGAAAATGTCAAATGACTTTTATAAATTTCATAACAAATTGTTTGTGTAGATATCGATTGTGGTCCATTGCAACCACTTGAACATGGTGCAATCTTAATGTCGGAAGATCGTACAAGCTTCGGTGTTCAGGCATCTTATACTTGTCATGAAAATTACACGCTCATAGGAAATGAAAATCGAACATGTGGTTTGACTGGTTGGACGGGAACGCATCCGCAATGTCTCATCGATTGGTGTCCGGAAGCACCAGCAGTTACCGGAGGAAAGATGAAAATATCTGGAAGGCGTGCAGGATCAACTGCAAGTTATTCCTGTGACTTTGGATATGTGTTGACTGGTGAATCAGTTCTGTCATGTGGATTGGGTGGTGAATGGACTGGAAAACCACCAACATGTAAATATGTTGATTGTGGAACGCCAGCAAGACCAGATCGTGGGTCTTTAATTCTTGTTAATGGCACGACAACTGTTGGTTCTATCGTCAAATACGATTGTGATGAAGATTATTGGCTTGTTGGAGGGGAAAGTTCACAAATTTGTTCGAGAGATGGAAAATGGTCTGGAAGCACACCATCATGTGAACGTAAGTTACTTAGTTATAATTATTTTAATTACTCAATTGTTAATTAACATTTTTTAGTAATCACATGTGACACACCACACGTTCCACCCGCATCTTATGTCGTTGGTTATGATTACAATGTTCATTCAACCATCACATATCATTGCGATCCCGGACATATTTTAAGTGGCGAACATTTGTTGAAATGTCTTGAGACTGGCGAGTGGGACAATGAAGCTCCAGATTGTAAATGTAAGTTCTCATAAAACTCATAAATTGACAAGTTAATTTATTCATTTCAACCTTTTTTCCTTCTTAAGTCGTCGATTGCAAGCCATTAACAGCGATTCCATTTGGAACAATTAAATATGTTAAGAACACAACTTACCTTGGATCAGAAGTTGTTTATAGTTGTGCAAACACTCACAGATTAAATGGAATTTCAAAGCGAACATGTCTTGAATCTGGTCATTGGAGTGACTCAGCTCCTAAGTGCGAGGAAATTCGATGCCTTGAACCGGTTCTTGCTGCACATAGCATTTTGTCAGTAACTGGAAATGATCGAATGTATGGACGAACTTTAATAAGATCACATCAAGACTCATCAAGTTCAATTCAAACTTATAAAGTTGGTGCACTTGCCAAGTATCGTTGTGAACGTGGCTACAAGATTATTGGAGATCCTCTGATAACTTGTGAAGAAAATGGAATTTGGGGTGGAAATGTTCCCGAATGTGTTTGTAAGTTCTTTTAATAAGAAACTTTCGCAAATCTTTTCTAAATTTTTATGTTTTTAAGATGTTGACTGTCAAACGCCACCGCCGATTCCTAATGGAACTGTCACTCTCTCAACTAATGCAACTTATTATGGTGCTGCAGTACTTTATGAATGTTTTCCTAAGTTCAAACTCGATGGTGTTTCAAGAAGACTTTGCTCTGAAGACGGTACATGGGGACATGAAACACCAGTTTGTGTTGAAATAACTTGCCCAGTGCCGGATGTAAACGAACATCTTAATGTTGATAGTGGACGAAGACTGGTTGGAGAAACCGCCAAATTTTCTTGTACGAAAGGAAGATATCTGGTTGGAAATAGTACAAGACATTGTATGCCTAATGGACATTGGGCTGGAAAGAATCCAATCTGTAAACGTGAGTTATAGTTTAATTTTAAATACATAAAAATATCTTCATGATTTTTTTTATTAATTAAACTTTAGCAATTGACTGTCAACGACCACAAGAGATTGAAAATGGTCGAATTATTGTTGTGAATGATGTAACAACTTATGGTGGATCTGCAGAATATCATTGTATTCCACAATACAATCGAATTGGTCCATATTTGAGGAAATGTATGGAAGATGGCAAGTGGAGTGGTGATGAGCCTCGTTGTGAATGTAACTTAATTAAATCTTTTTTTATTTAACATTAAAAATTAATAAAATATTTTTTAGTGGCTGTGAGTGAAGCTCAAGACGAGAGTAGTTTTGGAACGGGAGTTGGCATTGCTGCTGCCATTATTGTCATACTTTTAATATTCATTCTTATTGTCTTCCTTCATCGGTGAGATTTTTTTTCCTTTTTCTTTCTATTCTCTCAAATTTCCAACCAAATAAATCTAATTCTTAGCATGAATGTATCTGATTCCAGTAATAAATCACGTCCAGTGAAGAATTCAGAGAATGTTCAAGCAGCCGAACGAAAGGAAGATCAAAATGCTGCCGTGATGTCATACTCGAGTCTCGAGAATCAACGTGCAAACTTTGATTTGCAAAATCGTACTGGAATGGCGACTTTTAATACATTCCAGGCGCCAGTTAGAAATAGTAATAGTAATAATAATAGCAGTAATATAAGTAACGACAATAGTCTCAGATCAGAGAACATTTACGATCAAATACCCAGTGAGACGATGTACGATCAGCCTTACGAGATGCGAGTCAACGATGAGATGTATGAGCCCGAACCCAACAGAGGTAACATCATCACAATAAATGGAATAAGTGTTCGTTAAGTGAAATTAAGTCACACTGATGATAAAAAATGTCATCGAGTCGCTTTGTTATTTGTCCCAAAAAGTAATTTTTATCAAGTTCATGTAAATTACGTAGTTGATATAAGGAGAAAGAGAAAAAGAAAATGCACAAATTGTAAATATGTGGATAGGAATAAAAGTCGATAAGAAAGTTTAATAACAAAAATTTATCCGTTTTTAATTCTATTGAAATGGAAAGCGATGTCGGGAGGTTGAATGAAGGACGAAAACTCTACAAAAGTAGATCTAAAGAGCTTTTTATTCTACAACCATAGAACGCAACTGAATGTGAAACATTTCCCAATCTAATGAAAAATCTTTCGAGAATCTCTTTTAATCATACGGATTCATATATTTTGTTACATCACAATTGCTTTGTTTACAATTTACTCACAAATAATCTCTTTGATGAATATTATTCAGTTTTTATAATCAGATATAAAATAATTTAATTTACTAAAACGTCAAGAACGTAAGAAACAATTTGAGGATTTGAAAGAATTTCAAAATGCTCAGCTTTTGGAATTTCTAGCGTTGTAATTGATTGTGATTGTAGTCCTCGCCAATAAGTGCAGCCTTTAAGACTTCTTCCATTGACTGTTCCATCACCATCGCCGTAGATAAGGTCGGGAGATCCACTTAGGTCATCACTTTTCTTGTAATCCAGTCTGTAGATTAAGTTTCATTGTGATCATAATTTTAATGTTTCTTTAACAAAATAATGAATCAACTTACACTTCCACAGTATCAATTTTCGTTCCATAAAGACAATGAATCTCTATGTTGAGTGGAGAAAAATCTTGAACATATTTTAAATTATCTTTTCGCATTTCCCATCCATTTGGATAACCGAGATCGACAAAAAATTCGTTCAATTGCGCATATGTGTAGTTTCTAGTTCTTGTTCGAACTAAAATTTCATCAGGCTTCCAAAAGGTTGGAAATGGAAGTAAAAACGCTAAGGAAGGCATTGATATTTGTTCTTCACGCATAACTGAAGCACGAAGAGCAAATGCGCCTAAATCATCGCCAACAGCAAAGACTTTAACTGTTTTTGCTGATCCACCATAAGCACCAGCAATTGTTATCATTCGTGCAATATATTTGTCTTTCCATGGCTGTGTTTGTTGGTGGAGAAAAATCACTAACATCGGTGCACCCATACTATGTGCAATAAATGTTATCGGTTCATTGTTGTTCATCTTGTAAGTCTCTTCAACCAAGATCTTCAAGTCAACAAACCATTTCTGATTTTCATCTGAGAAATTTAATAAATTAAAACAATTTTAAGAAAAAAAAAGTAATCTTACTTGGAGCTTTTCTAAAGTCATATGGAGCTCCACGAAGTGACAAATTACGAACATATCCGCTTCTGACTAAAGCATTTCCGATTTCTTTGAAGTATGCGCCTTGTTTCTATGAGTCAGCGACATGAAAAAAATATTAATAATTTGCGCAGTAAATAAATAAAATTAATTTTTATCTTTCACTTACGGCATGTGATGGATCGATCCATTCGACAACTTCTGGATTACCCCATCCTGGAATACGAGTTTCAACACCTGGTGAATTACTTGTTAGTCTTGTAACATTGTCATAATGAAGTTTTGCATTATCTGTCCAACAATCTATGATCAGTGGTGCTAGAAGTTCAAGATTCAACCATAAGTTGAACCAATCTTTTGTTGTTTTATCACAAAATATGTGCACAGTGCTTGGTTTATTCAAACGAGCATCAACTTGACTTCCACCATCACCGGGTACTGAAAAAAATCATACGAATAATATTAACATTTTCTCGGTGATAATTTTTGAACTTTTTAATAGCAATAAAATTATTTATGTTACCAAAAATTACTGGAGACAAAGGTTTCTGTAAAGATTGATTATATAAAAGTGGAAAAAAATTGTTAATCAACCATGGACCGCTAATTGATTTTCCAACAACGCCAAGCAAAAAAGTTCCAAAGAAAATGTAATATTTCATGCTTTGATCAAATATTTCTTTCTTTCACTTGATCAGCACGTTTCAACAACTCAAAGTGAACTGATCACATGAACAATGATGATAATGTGCGAAATATTCTGTTGTTTTAATAAACAACAAGCATGAAATGATAACGAAAGATGAAATTTAATGACGCATTGAAGAGGTCAAGTAACAAATGTAATCAAAAATATTCTAAGAATATCAACAAAATTTAATTTCTTTATAATGACGTAAATTCTTTACAATTTCAAAGAAATCTGATCTAAAAATATTTATTTTAAATTTGAATGAGTATCGATGACCCACTAAAAAAATTATTATCTGTTCCGTTGCTTAGTTTTGTTCTCCATTTACATTCAATCATCAGAATATTTTTTCTCTCCTCTAACACATTCAAATAAAATCAAAGTGCGAGAAAGTTTCATTCTGGCTTCAGTGTCATTAAAAATGTCGTCGAGAAAAGTTAAAATTTTTGTCGCCGAATTTTTAATTTTTTGTTTATGTTTAAAGTTATCGTTTGGTGGAATTATTGATAATGTAGTGGAACAATATGCATTTGATGAGAGTGAAGAAAATGTTTGTAATCTTCCTGATACGCTTGTTAAAGAGATTGCTGGCTATCAAAACACAGTCAACAGAATAATAAAAGAAATCGTTAATGGAAAGTTTAAAGGGAAAACTTGGGATTCCCTTGCAACACTTACCGATACCTTTGGACCACGAATGACATGTACGGAATCTCTTGAAAATGCAATCGATTATGTTAAAGAAAATATGAAGAGAAGCGGTCTAGAAAATGTTCATACTGAGAATGTGACTGCACCTTGGTGGATTCGTGGTTATGAAAATGCTGACATGGTCAAACCATGGAAAAGAAATCTTCCGATTCTTGGTCTTGGTAGTTCAATCGGAACACCAAGAGGTGGAATTATTGCAGATGTTATTGCAGTTGAAAATTTCGATGAATTCAAAACAATTCCTGAAGATCAAGTGAAAGGAAAAATTGTTCTTTTCGTTCCACCTTGGGAAGGCTATGAGAAAACTGTCGTTTATCGAAGTGAAGCTGCAAGTGTTGCTGCAAGAAAAGGAGCTGTTGGCGCACTTATACGTTCTATCACTCCATTCTCTATCAATTCTCCTCATACTGGTCATCAAAATTATGCAAGTGATGTTAAAAGAATTCCTGTAGCTGCACTTACAGTGGAAGATGCCCAAATGATGTTAAGAATGTATCGACGTGGTCAGACAATTACAGTTAATCTCGAAATGAGTGACAGAAATAATGGCAATTGTGTAACAAGAAACACAATTGGAGAACTCGAAGGAACAAAATATAAAAATACTTCAGTTGTTGTTGTTTCCGGTCATTTGGATAGTTGGGATGTTGGTGTTGGAGCAATGGATGATGGGGGTGGTGCTATGATTTCTTGGAAAGCTGTGGAATTTCTCAAAGCGATGAATCTTCGTCCAAAGAGAACAATTCGAGCGATTTTGTGGACTTCAGAAGAACAAGGATTAATTGGCGCACAAAATTATTTAGAAGATCATAAAAAGAATGAAAAAGAAGAGTTCAACTTCTTTATGGAATCAGATATTGGAACATTTGAACCTCGAGGTCTTGACTTTAGTGGAAATGCAGACGGTGCTTGTATTTTGAAGGAAGTTTTGAAGTAAGCAAAAATTTATTGATTTCCATAAATAAATAAATAAGAAAAAATTCATTTGTTCTTCGTTTTAGATTGATGACCTCTTTAAATGCAACGGAATTTTCACAACCAACAGACGGAGGCCCTGACATAAGCTGGTGGACAACTCGAGGATATCCAGGAGCTTCACTTATGAATAAAAACGAAAAATATTTCTGGTATCACCACTCAAATGGCGATAGAATGGAAGTAGAAGATAAAGATACTTTGGATAAATGCACAGCTCTCTGGGCATCAGCAGCTTATGTCATTTCTGATTTGAGTGTGAATTTTCCGAGAAGTTTGGATTCGAATTGAAAAATCAATAGGAATTAGTTTCTTTATTATATTAAGAGTGAAATGAATTTGTAAAGATTCTCCGAAAATTGGTTTGTCAGGAAATTATTAAGATTACTTACCAAAAATGACTGGAGATAGAGGTTTTGTTGGAAATTTGTTGATTAAAAAATATGCTGTTGATTGTTTACAATTTAAGAATGAAAGAAAACAAAGAACAATAAAGATTTTCATTTCTTTTACAATTTTCAATGAAAATTCTCGATTCGCTCAATGATTATATGTTTTTTTTTCGTTCAGTTTCAGTTTTTTTTAATTTTATTACTTTTTAATATCTTTTCTTTTTGTTTAACCTGTTTATTGCGTGTAGAGAGCTCGGAAAATTTGAAAAACAATGAAAATCGAAACTTAAATCCGGCGTCGACGTTTTAAAGGACGACTTGACGGCGTTGGTGAAATTTAAATCATTTACTACCGTTATTTTTAATTTGGCAAATTGCAGCGAAATATTTTTCTATAAAATTAATGTAAAAGGTCATGAGATATTGAAAGAGAATGAATCAATTAAGAAACTGTTTAATTTCGTTGATATTTCTTCAATTTCTAGGTTTTATAAAATAATGAAATAAATGGTTTTCCTAATGACCAAAAACTTAAATAGTTGACAATTAGTCATGAATGTGTGAAATTTCACTACAATTTTAATACCCAAAGAAAACGTCACTTGTGTAAAATTCTAAAAATGTCAGAAATTTGAATAAACTTGGTAAAAGACCATGTAAATATTTGATTTGTGAAGAATGGCAGGAAATGCAAAATATGACTCATGAGAACAAAAAAAACTACCTATGAGAGAAAAATGGTGGACATTTCCACCGGCAGATATTTGCATCATTTCTGGTTTTACTTCTTTGTTTATGTAAATATAATGATTTGTTTTTATATGCAAGGTCATATGAGTGACATAAATTTAAATGTTTCAAAAAGATAAGAAATTTTAAATGTGTTCAATTATTTCCCGCGTTGAAATTTAATCACGAAATTATCATTAAAATATTTACTACACAATTTCTTTTTTTCAATTCTTTGAATTAAATAATCACTTTATTATTATCATCTTAATTACATATTTGGTATATAATTGATACGCCTTAAGTTAATTTGTTATTGACGTGAAACGAATTTCGGTTTTTAGACTATAAGGAGAAATTTAGTCTCAATTTTTATTTCATATTTTATTGATTATTTTTTAATTTACAATCATTATTCCAAGAATGCTTCTACAACAAAGCATACTTCATGAAATATTCACCGACCATTGAATCCACCAAAAGGAAATTGTTGATTGAATCCTTGATTAGGAAAACCTCCAAAACCACCAAATCCAGGTCCAAAACCTCCACCGAAACCTCCGTTGTACACAGCAGGTTGCATGGAATAAACCGGGTTCTGCATAAATCTCACACCTGTGTCAGGTGCTGCAATACCTGTGGCAGGTGCTGCAAAATTACTTGTTCCCATCATATTCTGATATCTCGAGCCCATAATTGGTCTGCTTTGCCCTGCGTAACTTCCACGTTGTGCGAAGGATACTCCAATGATAGCAAAAGTGATTAAAATTCTTAAAGAAATCATTTCTACAACTTTAATTTTAAAATATTTTTAACTCAATAACTGGCGAGGCGTTAAAGTTTGGTCTTCATCTACGACTGTCGAGCAACTCTAGAATTATCTTCTTAATATACCAAATGAGTTCAAAAGAGAGCTGAAGAAAAAAAGGAGAAGAGTTGGGAGTTACGAATGACTAACGAAGAAACTTTCCTGGTTTCTCACTTGTCTGACTTATCAATTTTATAATAATTGTTTACGTCGCTCTCTGGAAAAACAACACAAGCAAATTAATGTTACCAAACTTGTTTAACTTTTTAAGGTCTTTATTCGCTTTTATGAAGATACAAAAATTTCCAATGCGTCACTTTTTTATCATTCATTAGTCGTTAAGCGGCTCTCGGTCTGAGCCCTCGTCGAAGTAGACACACCGGGGAATCCACAATTCCTTTTTTAATGGAAAAACGATCTTCAGGCTTTTTATCTCATCATAATTTGCAACTGTAAACTCGAGAATACGAAGATTCATATAGTTTTGCTTTATAACATCAAAGATGCGTTTTGCTGCTATGAAACGACCGCCAAACTTCAAATGACGTAAATTTGGTAAGCTTACAATTTCTTTTATTGTTGTTTCCGTAAATTGGTCTCGCTTTATCCAACCCATGTTCAATGACACAAGTGAATCATTTCTCTCGATGAAAGCTTTCCATTGATTGACATTGTTCAAGATTCTCAGCGAAAAGTGTTTTAAAGAGTGCAAGGTAACATGGGGATTGAACATATTGGTAAGATTTAATATTGATAATTTATGTAGATTTCTTAATTTCAGCGACATTAATTGAAACACGTCGTTAATAACGAAAGAGTCAGTATCACACAATGAGATTTCTTGAATATGCGGATAGTGAATTAAAAGTCCTTTGAACCCATCCAAGTTTGTCCTTGTAATTGTACTTGTGATTCTTAAGATTTTTAATCTTCTATTTGGTTTTAAAAGTTCGTAAAAGCAAACTTCATGTGGTATTTCATTAACATTAACTTCCAGATCTGTGAGATTATTGAGATTGCCTATGATAAACTTGTAAACTAAATAAGTTAGCGATCCCTCAACCTTCAACTCATTCAAACTCTCTTGCTGATGTTTTAGAAATAATATAAAGTTGTCTTCAGCATTTTGATGATTTCGGATCATGGAGATAAGTGTTGATAGCCTCTTAAGCTTGAATTTGAATCGATCTGATGAATCAACTTCAAATAGTGCACTTAAACCATCTGAAAGATTTTCAATTGTCAAGTCTTCGAGAATTTCTTGTTGTGACATAAAATTGACTAGAGAGTGAGAGTTTGTTACATTAGCACCGTCAATAACTGACATTGTATGAGTTTGTATGTTGGTTAATGAGTCAAGAACAACATGATCAGTTTGAATAAGTTCGAGCTCTTTGAGTGTTATATTGAAATTATTTTCTTGCGTGATATTGAAATTGACCTTCACCCGGACAAGGACTAATTTTTGTAAAAATCTAAAGTTGTTAAATATATTTTGCAATATCATTGGATTTCTGAATATAGAATAGCTGACATGAAGGAACTGACAAGTTTCACCAAGCACATTTAGGACATCTAAATCCCATCTCTCATCAAGATGATCAATCATTACAGTATAATGTTCATTTGTTACGTTTCCTGGATTAATCACATATCTTGTTAGATCAAATGGTAAAGTTTTCATAGTCGATGCTGAAGTTGTGATAATGTCTTTCCATCTATATATTGTGATGACACAATTGACAAGAATGAATAAATTTTATAAGCCTTTGACTTCAAATTTTTTTTTACCTCTTACAAACAAGACACAAATTTTTCAGCGTTTTGCCGGGAATATAATTAAATATCTCTAATAGTAACTCATCAGGAAGATATTCGATAACATTCTTCATCGTTATTTAATAGAAACTATTGATGACAATGTCTTTAAATTATTCTAATTTTAAATTGTGTTTAAGCGTTTGAAGATACAAATCAATTAAAAAGAGGGGAAAAAAGGGGGATAAAGTTTGTCGTTTAGAAAATTTATAAATACTTGTACACCCTTCTCTAGAGAAATAAAAGCCGAGGAGACCGAATTGACATAAATAAACTTGCCGAACAAGTACTCGAGAAAATCAAAAAACCTAAATAAAAAAGATACAAAATGCCTTTCATGGTAGGAAAAGCTCCAATTCGGAGAACATTAAGATATCTCGAATCTGGAAAACTTGTGTTGAAAGATAAAATCAAAATCTTCAGCATAAATTATAACACATATGGCAATCACCATAAAGGCGCAAGATCATTTGTTTTCTGGAATTTACCACAACTTCAATACAAGAATAAAGCAGTTCAAGTAGTCACGTTTAGAAACATAACACCTTCTCCTTTTATTAAATGTTATTACGGTACTTTAAATTTGATAATTTTCTTATATTTCAAATTAACTTTCATCAAAAAATTTCAGATGATGGAAAACAAATTCTCATAGACATTGACAGCAGAACAAATGATGAAATACTTAGTCACTTAATAAAAGTTGTTGGGAAATCACTTGACACTCTTGAGGCGGAAGCAATAGCAGCAGAGAAAAAAGATAATCCGGCGAACTTTGGAGTTGGTTGTGCAAGAAGTTGCATGTGCGAGATTCCTGGTCAAGTACCATGTCCTGGTGTGCTTCCACTTCCTTTCCATATGCGTGGAAAACACAGACATGCCAACAAAAATTAAACTTTACTATTTGTAAATGTTTTAGAGATAAATGAATAGAAATTTTGAATTTGAGTTTGATTGGAAGTTGCTTGGAAATTTTTAATTTTTTCTATTACAGTCTGATAAAAAGTGAAGAAAAATGAGAGAACTCGTGAAATTTATCATAGATTTTGAATGGGTGCAATTAAGTATTTACTATCTGCGTATTAAGTTTTGTTGTTCACCTCAATTTTTTTACTATCGGATGTTTAAGGAGTTTCAACTTTCACCTGTTGATTGAAAGTTTTAAAAAATCTACTTAAAGCTGTCAAGTAATTAAATATTTACAAATAGACTACAAAAGCGACAGAAGGGTGTGAACAAAAAAAAGTTAAATTTTTTATGTCATTGTTCAAAATTTTGCATGGCTACGAATGATAAAAAGATTAGCTGCTAATTCAACTATGTGCCTTATATAATTCCAATTTGTTTTAATGACGAGTACGAAATGAAATGAAATGTTCATGCTCAACAGAGATTTTCATATTCATATTTGAATTAAATGTGTGTCGAACAAACATGTTACTTTAAATATTCTTTTTCTTTACAAGAAGCGCAGAATTTTAAATTTATATGATTCGCTGTGATAATGGATTAAACCTTTAATCCACATTTTGAATAAAACTTATCTACATGAAGCACACATATCAAAGACAGTATCAAAGCAAGCAAGTTTTTGGGACACTTGAACAAAGAGCAGCCGTATGAAATATTTTAAATTTTAAACTCTAAGAGAATTTATACGATGCCAAAGCGTACTCAAATATGTTTAGAACTCGCTTCATTATTTCATAAAGACATAAATGTTGTTTTAAAAGGAAAGAAGAAAAAGAGATATAAATATGGGGGGAGTGGGAGTGATATAGAGAACTAAGAATTAAAAACTTTCTTTCCAAAAGAATACTTAAACATATTTTATATTAAATAGCATGAAAACATTATAGGCGAGCATAGTTTTGAATGAGAAAAGCATTCTTTGAAAATATTTCGCCGCAAGCAGATTCTTTGGGTAACTTTGAAGTTTCTCTTTTCTTGTTTGCTTTTTGCGAGGTTTTATTGCCAAACTATGGTTAATTGTGAACATTTTAATGATTCAGATAAAGGAAAAAAAAACTCAAAGTTTTAATTACATAATCTTGTGATAAGTAGATTCATAAAAACAAATCGTAGAGAAGTTCAAATTAAATATCTATTCATATGATAACAACAATGAAGTTTCAAATTGCACTTCATTTTCCATACGATTTTGTTTCCTGATATTGTTATTTGTCAGTGAAAAGGAAATTGATTTCTTGTGATTTATTTTGTCAAATTACCTTCAATTTCGATATCTTGTGAAGAGCGTATCATGTTTTGCCTACTGTGAAGTAATTTTTCAAAACAGCATTCAATGAAGGGTGACAATGAAAAACGAAATAATTTTGTAGTTTTTCTGCTTTGTCAAGGGATAAAATAAAATAAAAAAGATACAAGGAAATCAAACACCTTATGGTGCAACTGAAATTATGTTGATGCTAAAGAGTAAATGTTGGATGAAATCAAAAGAAAATTCTTCTTCTTAGAAAGGATTCTTTGATTTCTATTATAAACCTTTCTTCGTTTTATCTACGCGTCTACATTGAGATGAACGAATAACTTGGTTTCGTTCGGTGGTTCATTCGAAATTCTTTAAGCGTCTGCGCTTTGAATGCGGTTCAAAAACTGTTAACGATGAACAACGAAAGCATGCATCGTTTAAACATCTTCAGTGTTCTTCAAACAACCGTCATATCAACCCGTATTTTATTTGTCGCTGGAAATCGAAAACCCTCTTCGGATTAAAAACAAATAAAAACAGATTAAGAGTTTAATGAGTGTCATGGATGGGAGCAAGTTTATATTGGATGAGTAAACAATTGTGAAATGATAAGAAAGCGTTTTAATGTGATTCGAATGAATAATACATGAGACGAAGGATTCGTTGTGTCATTTCAATTTCAAGCAACAATAAAAATTGTTACAGTGCACGATACAAAATAAGTAAAGTAAAATTGTGATACGGAAAGAAAAGGAGAAAAGTGAAAGATAATTTAACGCAACAGAAATAAAAAAAGAAAAGAAAAAAAGAAGGATTGTGGATCGTAATAAAAGAGAAGTCAATACGATAATAAATGGATAAGAAATTGTGAGAAGACACAACACCATCAGTTCTCATTCACCAAAAATATCATCAAAAGAAATTGGATAAATGGAAAAAGCCAAACAAGAGTCAAGATAAGGGATTATGCTGTGGAAACGCCACACGAAACATTTAATAATTCAACCGGGATTACAGTCCGATCGAATATGAACTACAAAATATACTTTTCCGATTCCTATGGACTCAATAATGCCTTCATCGTTCAACAGTGAAAGTCACTGACTGTGAAAAAAGGTGCGAAATGTGAAAACGCTTTCTTATGTTGGGATTTCCCAACGAATGAAGTTTAACGAGTTTTCGATTTCTCTTTGCCTTAAGCAGAGAAAGTATAAAAGAACTTAATCATTGTTTTGGTCTTGATGGCTCCTTTGTCGATGCTGATCTATCATGAAAAGGGTTGAAAGATGTGTTGTACTACTCTTCTTTTCACTTCCTCTATTCCTATTCAACGATTTCATAAAACTTTCTATTATATGATGAAAAGACAGCCGTAAAGTTTCTGCACCAGATGTTGAACAAGGTTTATTGTTCAATGCAATTTTAACAACTGGTAGTCTGTGCATGTTATGACCGTGAGAGAGAAAGAGATAGAATAGAGAGAAAAGGGCAACTAATAAAAATGGAAATTAATCAATGGAAGTTCATTTTCATAGATTGTTTTCCACCTCTCGCACAATCTATCGTTTATTGATAACGAGTCTGCACCAAGTGTCGATTAAAATATTCCACGCTTATTAAATATTTCTCTTCATTTATATGAAACCACAATCATTAGTTCTTCGTTTTACTCCATAAATAAATAATTAATTGCCTTGGAAAATTGGTTTTAATTAACTCCTATTTGTGAAGCTTAAATTTCTCTCTGAAATAAGTAGCTATGAACAGCAGAATGAAAAACTGCTGCCGCATAATAAATAATTTACAAAATTAACAATCAAAATCTTTGACAGTCATAAATTTGAAAACGAATGAATTTATTTAAATTATTTTCATACTTAAGTAGAATGAAAAACAAGGGAAGTAAAGTAACAGAAGACTTGTTCAATTGGCTGAAAAAACGAACAGTGTCGAAGAAAAATTCCGCCCGTTTCGTGTTTAAAGTCATAATAAACGGCATTGCAAAGGAAAAAAAATTATTTGATGTTCTCAACAAGTTGTTCTCCACATTAAACAATGAAAGGGAAAAAAGGAAAAAAATTATGATAAAAAAAGGCTCAAAAGCAAAACGTTGAGTCGGGAATTATTATGAAGTTTATGAGGCGAGGTTTATTGTTAGAAGTCTTCTGTGAATGGACTGAGTGCTAAAAAAATATGTTGCCTTGCGGTTTGGAAAGATGAAAAAGCCTTTAAAGGAATTAATAAAGAGTGTTAATTTTCATGTTTAAAAATCTTTCTTCAGCACGAATGCTAAAAGCTTTTTGCTCTCAAACAGATTTCTCACCAACAAACTTTATGTTTATGACTTCATAAAAACGTTCAACTTTGACGTTATTACTGACTGTGAAAATATGTTACTTGAGGAAAACGTTAAATTAAGTTCGTCTTGAAAATAATTTATGAGACCATGAAGTGCTTTTTCAAGCTGAACACTCTTTGTTGCGGTTTAAACTTAGGATTAAAACTTTTATCTCTTTAATAAATATTCAAACTCCATTATTTAACATGATTTTGATAATCTACAGATAACGTACGGCAACTAACTAAATATAAGATGGAACTCCTGGGTCATATTCAAAACATTATCATAAAATTCTTGTTTAATATCCTACTAGTGATAACACTCGTGAAAGGTAATGAAGTTACTAAACTAATGAAGTGAAATGAAAACGACAAAAACTTTTATTTTTCTTTCAAGGTCTAGGGCAAACCAATGAGCAAGAGCCCGAATTCCTACAGCCTTTGGATAATCTTACAGTGACATCAGGTCGTGATGTGTCGTTCACATGTGTAGTTAATAACTTAGGTCAACACAGGGTGAGTGTTGTTGTTGTTTTTCTTTTTTTCTGGTAATAGCATGACAAACATCTTGTTGAGTGATTTCTTGGATCACGTATTTTCAACATTATCTTTGTGTCTTCCTCTTTGTGACTTCTAATTAAGAGATTATAAATGAACATCTCACTGTGAATTTTCCAACGGATTATCATTAAAATGTTTCCTTTTTTCATAACTCGATTATAAAGAAATTTAAATCTCTAAAAAGGGATAAACATTTGAAATATTTTTTATTAAATGAAAAATTTATATGCAAAGCTCATTTGCATACATGTTAAGCTAATTAAAAATTAATGAAGATTTACAGATTTAGATTTCTATAGCATGCAATATTCAAATATGATTGGGGCATTAAATTGAGTAGAAAAACGGAAAAAGCTGATTTCGATCTTTCAAAATGAATTGTTTCAAAAACTGTTCGAATGTAAAATTAAATGTCCAAGCTTGAATGTCTTTTTAATATCCGAAAGCGATTGTGAATCTTCCTCTAACTGTCGGTGTTATCTCGTTGTCTATTTAGGTAGCATGGATCAAGTCCGATTCAAAGGCAATTCTAGCCATTCATACTCACATGGTTGCATTAAATCCTCGACTGTCTGTTACGCACAATGGACATAATACATGGAAATTACATATTTCACATGTACAGCTGAATGACAGCGGAAGCTACATGTGTCAAGTGAACACAGATCCTATGATATCACAGGTAAATTAATTATATTATATTTGGATTGATACAAATCCTTCTCAAAAGTATTTGTAATCTGTTCGTGTCGAATATTCGAATATTGTGTAATTATGCTTATTGACAAAACTTAATTTATTAACCTTGTTAGAATTTAAACAGCTTTGCAGGTTTCCACTTAATTGAACTCATGAATTCATGATTAGTTCATTGAAATATTTTTCAAATTTTCAATTGAAATTCAGTCAATAATTTTATGTGATTGTATTTGCACTATGATTATTAATCTTTCCTCCTAACTTCATGTCGTTATGATATATGAACCGCACCCTCCCTGCAGCCGTGCATATTGACCGTTGAAAAGGAATTTATAACCATTGAACATTTCTCTAGAGCATTATTAAGTTTTCATAAATCAAGAATTAAAGCCACTGAGAAGAACGAAAGGAAATAAAAATGTGAACGAAGCTCCACTTTTTCCTTTCCCAGAATTTAACTGAATAGCGAAAGAATTTGCTGAACAAGTTTTTGGTATAAAACTCAATGGTGGAAGCATAAAAGAATGGAATTGTTTAAGAAAGAATACTTATTCTCAAGCATATCGTTTGAACTATAAAAAAAAGTTATTTATTGTGTATACGACAAAGAATGTCTTAACGAAATGATTTATGTTCGTCTTTTCTCATTCAACAGTCGGGACATTTAGATGTCGTTGTGCCACCAGATATACTCAACGCACCCGAATTATCAGCAGACGAGAGTGTAACAAATGAGGGCGGTAATGTTCAATTAATGTGTCAGGCAACTGGTGTTCCTGAGCCGAGGTTAGATCCATAATTTTTTTGTCAAAGAGATGTCAGGGTTCAAAATTGTCATTTTATTAAAACTTTTCCTTCTTTAAAAGAATAAAAGAAATAACAAAACATTTATTAACAATTAATTTGACAAATCCCAACTCTGCAAATTACAAGATGCTTCAACCACTTAAGATTCACATGAAAATTAATGATTCTTTTCATTTATCCGTTTCCAGTGTGCAATGGAGACGAGAAGATGGAAGAGACATTGTTATTCGAAATGAGGGCCGAGACAGGCAAAGTAATGAATTTAATTATAACAACATTAAGTCAGTTCACTGAAGATTTTGATTTTGTTTTATAATCTCTTCCACTTAAATGAATTAACTAATTAGTGATGAAAGTAATTGAGGGAGAGAAACTTTCACTGAGCGGTGTTCAACGTAGTGACATGGGCGGATATTTATGCATAGCATCAAATGGCATCCCACCTTCAGTTTCCAAGCGCTACGATATTCAAGTGAACTGTAAGTGGCCAATTAGTGTTAAGATTAAAAAGAAAATCACTTTAATCAGTAAGCAGTGTAGATTTAAAAACAAATCAACCTTATTCATTTCCTTCAACAAAACATGATGTCAGAGACAATGAAAGAAAGCTTGCAAAAAAAGAAGAAAAAAATCAAATTGATGAATTCCTTAATCCTCTAATCAATGAAGCTTAAGAAATCAAACAAATAATATGCTGTTGTTTGTTGAGTGGATGATTAATTAATTTTCAAAATTGTTTTTCCTTTTTTTTCTTCTTCATTTTCAGTTCCTCCAACAGTGAAAGCCGTAAATCAATTGGTTGGAGCGCCAGTTGAAAGTCATGTTCTATTACAATGCATTGTAGAAGCTTATCCGAAACCGCTTAACACTTGGTATCGCAATGAAGGTATTGTTTTTCAAATCATCCCATTTCCCCGTCGTTGATGATCGAAACCGTTTTTCTGTTTATTTTTCTTTACTTTTTATTTTATTTTCAATTTCTTTTATTTTTTTTCAATTTTCTGAAATGACTTGGACTTTTATTTTTCTTCTCTTTCAATCTTCGCTGTTGGCATCTTATTCAATTTAACAAAAATTTATTCCACCAAACACGATCCATTTGTCACGAATTGTTTACCATAAACTCAGAAACAAAATTATATCATGGCGAGAAGTATCTTGTTTCGGAGTCGATGATTAATTCGTTTACATGGCAAATGAATTTGACGGTGAAGAATCTGCACAAGAATGACTTTGCATCTTACATTTGTTGGAGTGAGAATGCTTTGGGAAAGTCAGATGGTCGGATTCGACTGCAAGGTAAGCGATGAAAATTATTCTTGTTATGCGAATGCGGTTAGAAAGTTTCATTGCATTGAATGTAATCTTTTCTTGACATCGTCAACAAAACTTTAATATTTGTTTGGGTGAAGTCATATAAGTACAAACAGAATCTGAATGTAGTTTTGTAATTTCATACTTCCTCAACTGAACTCGCAGAAACAGCAGAATAATTTGCAACGTTGAACATTTTTATCTCATTTAATTCTAAAAGCAAACATGTTTCTCTATTCTCATTTTCATTTTTAAAAAAACAAAAAAAATATTGAAATAAAAAATAGAACTTCGCTTGCCACCGAAGCCAACAACAACACCCACGCCATACGTCTACACAACTCCCAAACCTCGAAAGAATAAGCAGCATCATCAGAAGACTCATCATGAGAGTAAGGCTAAAGAACCACTCGGACCAAATCAAATACAAAGGGAGAATGATGCAAATGCACAAGGCGAAGGTAAAGTGAAAATAGAAATTCTTCATTATTTGCTTAAAAGCAAAGTTTAACTTTTTTTTTTCTTATCATTATGCTTGAAGAGAGTGGAAAGAAAATTAGTTTGCAGAAAGTTGAAATGAATTATGATGATTTTCCCTTTCTTATCTTCTTCTTTATTTTTTTGGAAGGAAATTTCAAATTACCAAGCAAACTATCTTCTTGCTTTTCGTTTATTTAAGTCATAATTTTAGATAAGAAATTTAATTAATTACATTCTTCTTATTTCTCTTGGTTTCTCTTCACTGCTGCATCTGATTCATTTAATTTCTTATCGCATGTCATCGGTGCACATCAGTTTTGACACAAGCTCCGGTTAAACAGAATGGTGACAAGAACCGAAACCAACAACAAACAAGCATCATACCATCACGACCGCCATGGGTTGTTCACCACAGCAACAACAGCGTTAAATCAAATGGAAATGTTTTCAAATTCTTCTTTGTTTTCATCTTCATTTTACGAATCCTTACAGAGTAAAACTTCTTGTGCACTTCAAATAAACTGAGAAAAAGATAAAAGAATTTAAAAACTGAAGTAAATATCTAATGGATTAAAAAGTGCACTTGTGTGGAATAAAAGTAGTATTTGATGAAGAAGATTTCGAATGAAAATGTAAGTTTTAAGTAAAAGAAATGAGAACAAAAAAAACAGGTGAAAACTTTCTTCGTTTTGTGTGGTGTTAAAATTTATCTATAAGCTGCAAAAGTTTCAAATGAAATGTCTTCCGAACACATTAAAAAAAAGAACAAATCTATTGTAAAGTGAACTAAAGTTTGTGTAGAAATGTTGTAATCATATAAAAAAGTATCTAATTACGTTTTGATTAAATGATTATCTTTATGTAATTATTTTATGTTTTATTCCCCTCCAGTTACAAGTTGTAATTAGTATCAAGATAAAATCTCAAACCTTCGCTATAAAATATTGAAAGTTTAACCAAAAAAAAGAAGCGATTTTCAACAGATTTTCCATTTGATTTCATTGTCAATGCAAGAGCTTCTTATTCGAGAAGCAAACACATAATGGAAGTAATAAAAATAGGAGGCACAAAAAGAGATTCTTATCTTTATGAGGGTGTTACATATTGACAATATCTTGTAATTATCATAAAATAAACGGCAAAATCGAAGAACGAGAATAAGCGAGAAAAAGTTTTCCCTTCTTCTTTTTTCATCATATAACGCAATTCAAGTTTAACTAGTCGAATGTATTGTTATTATTGAACCATTCTGAGAGTTCATAAAACTTAATTATATTCTCGCTCGAATACATATATTTACTCATAAAAAGGAAAGAAATTATAGGAAGGGAGCAGTCAATGAAGACTGGAAATAAAGTGGTGGGTGACATTATCTAACAATACAATTCGATTATAAATATTGAATTAATGTATCAGGAATAATAATGACGAGTGTACATAAAAGCGCAAAGCGAGATGATTAATTAAGTTATCAGAGGAAAGGAGTATAACACAATCTGTGTGAAACTCGTGGTTGTTATTAAACTAACAATTGAATCTGATGAAAATTGATTTTTAATTTCTACTTTTCATATATAATTGCCAACCTAGTGAGTCTTTATGGTTCTCCCAACCTACACATTTCGTTATATTTCATTGGAATTATTTTACGTCAATAAATTGATTATTTTCCTTTATGAATGTTAAACTTTGGGAATGTCACAAAATAAGAGAAATATTTGAGTATTTAAAGAAAGAAAAAGGAATATTTGTGTTATAACATATTATAAAATATAGCATAACATGAACAAATTAATAAAAGAAATCAGCAGCTCTGCTGTTCTTTTTTATGTATCTAAATATTTCACGAAAGCGTTGCAGCAAATCATTAATCTACTAAATGTAAAAACTTATCACACCACACGAGGTGACACACAAGAAAATTTATTTGAGATGAGAAAAGTTTAATTTTTTTTCATTATTTTTTGTTTCAAAATTTAAGTTTATGATGAGAAAGTTTTGTTGTAAATAATTTACTTTAAGAATGAAAATGTTGATGAAACAAACTTAATTTTAAACTCCATTCATTGTTATAGAACGACATAAAACATGAAAACGATATTCGAGAAAATAGTAAATGAAAATTATTTGAATAATGCTAAGTTGACGATGGAAAAAAGAACATAAAAGACAATAAATTATTTAATACTACTACATATTTCACTCGAAGTGTAGAAGGAGGAAATTTGTTTCGAGAGTGTGCTTTTCAGTTTTCACCACTTTTTCTTTCAACTTCTCTTCATTGAATGATATTTTTAACTCTTTTCAGAACTTTTGGATTGTTTTCATCGAGATAATGACTCTTGTCGTCAAGCGAATGAAGCTTGAGAGTATGTTATAAGGGAATATCACTTCTGAGAAGTTTCCTGTAAAGTTTCCTGCCGCTTTTCTCAGAGAAAATCCTTTGAAACAATTCTTTATATTCGACATTTAAACATTCAATGTTAATACTCGTTAAATGAAAGAATTTTTGAAGTTCAATAATAATTTCTAGAAATTGAAAATCAGATATTTAATTAAAGAACTTTAAACAACATCTGTAGCACTTTTCCATCACTGGCCATACCCGAAATATTTGTAAAAGTTTTTGAAACAACAGATTGTAATGTTAATCCTTGCGACTCAATAAATACTTCATGGAAAATCATTGGCAACAAATTAAAACTCTCTGGATAATACACAAAGACTAATGAGAGAAGCAATAAATAGGAAATTTAATGAAATGATAAAGTTTTAATTGAATTATTTCCCAATGGCAACAAAATTGAATTCGAGCTTTGACAATTATTTTCAATTGGTAAAACAAATAACTGACTCCTCCAATTTCATTTTATCCTTTTCTATTATGATATCTTATAAATAGAAATAAAAAGGAAAACTTAATTTGAAATCAACACGGAAATGATTTTAGAAAATTACAAAAGCAAGAAATAAAATAAAAGGCGTTCAGATATAGCAAATGTCATCACGTTTCATCAAAAAAGCTCTCTTTCTGATTGAGTGCTTGTCTCCTTCACCACCGGCAATAACTCAATTTATGACTTGTTTGATAAGACATTTCTTTTCTCTTTTCTGCGTGAATCAAACTAATTTCATTTATTGACGACGAAAAATCACGCAACGGTGAACAAGGAAAATCAAGCAAAATTCAATTTGTGACATTTTATCACATGCTTCACCTCAAATTGGATTTTTTTTTCTAGCAGCTATGTTTCTACTTATGATGAAATAATTTTCGATATTTGTTATGAGCAAATAAAATTAATGGAATGTGATTGTCGTCGTCGTCGTCGTGTCATGATGGAAAACGTTGGATTTAATTTTCGTCTGTTTTTTTATTTATTTCCTTCTTGTTGTCCGAAAATAGAAAATAAAATCAATTAAAAATGTCCTGGACTAAAACGAGACGTAAAAAGGGGGGGGGGAAGAGACTCAAGAGCGTAAAACAGGAAGACTAATGATTTCTGTCAAATGTTGCACAGCATTGTGGAACCCTTGCTTATAGCTTTGCTTTGGGTGAAGTTTTTGCAATGAATGAGCAAAAACAAACGAAATCAATCGATTGGAAAATTAGAGAACTAATGATATTAATTGCTTCTGTTCATGACTTTAGCATTTTTTCTCCTCTCATTCTTTCTCATCGTATAATGTTAAAGCATGTAGCAATAGCCAACAAAACTTTTCGTAGAACAAAAATTTATCAACATGAGAGTTTTAAAAAACTTTTCAAATGAAATTTACATACATGAATGCTTATTTTATACAAATGTGCTTTTATGATTTTCTCTAGCATGACCAGATGTTAGAAACTTTTAACTATTTAATCAAATTAAACAAATTTTCTAATAAATATGTACAAATATTTTCTTTAAGTTGAAAAATATAACAAAACTTTGGTCAACCTAATGACCCTCATTTTAAGAACCGCATCAGACAAATATTTATTTGGTTTCGCAAACCGATATTTATTTCTATCTCCCACGCAAAAAAAAAGAGAAACATCAGCAGAAAATAATTTTGTAGTAAAATTTGTAAAATTTTCTCGACATCTTTCGCTTTTCACATGCCATCTAAAGCAGCAAAAATATATTAGTTGAACAACAAGGACGTGTGAGAATGTGAAATGGAAAATTCCAATATTGGGACGAAAAATTCATTTAAAATTTATATTGTGTCACATTTTTGACTCTCTTCGCATTCTTTTTCGAGAATTTTTAACGCTTTTATCTTCATGCAAGGGCTAGCAAATATTTATTTAAACATTTCTCTAATAGTTCTTTCATGCTGGATGGTTTCAGCATTCTTGATTGAACTGTTGACCTTTGTTTTTTATTTCATTTAAACAGTCTTTAATTGAGGAAATTTCTGACGCAAATCGTAAAGTTAACTTCAAAATCACTTTTTTAATTCCATTTTGTGATGACAACAGGAAAAAAGTTTTCACGTTAATTAAAAGCAATTTAAAGAACAATCTTCAAACAAAAAATTTTATCACACTTCAACACCACACACGAGCCTGTTTTAAATGTATTAAAGTTCCACTGTTTAATTGCTCATATTGTTTGCTGAATTATCTCTCATATGATGAATGACGTGGTTGAATTGAAACTTTACACCGGAACAACGATGGTGGATAAATAACCGAGAATTTTATACTTTTTCATTTAATTTTGTTGAGATTTAAAGACAAAAAGACAAAAAAAGAAGCATAAATCGTTTAACTTTACTACCCTGCCAACGTCAGATATCATATTGTGATGCATTGTGAAGAGATTTATGTCTAGCTTTAGCTTAATTAATGCGACAAGGGGCAGAACAAACTGCAAAGAATTAAATTTAATGAACAAAGAAAACGATGCTCTTTTATAACTTCAATTCTACTCAACCAACTTAATTGAAATTTTCAGTACACTTGACCACTTTTAGACAAAAATAATTATTGGTATGTAAATTGAATTTTTACTTCCGATCTGAAGCAAAATAGTCAAAAACAAATCAAATTCACATTTATTCTCACTCTCATCATCAGAATTTTCATCAAATTTATGTTGTTTTCTAGTTCTCCCAAAACTCCACACATGATATGATGTACATTCTGCTGCTTCACACAAGCTATCACAAGAGGCAATTGTTTTGTCTGTAAACCAAACATTTTTGTTAGTGACACTTTCAATTCTCTAGATGTTAACTCAAAAAACAGAAAATCCTTTCGTAGTGAAAATTGAAATTTATCACAACATCAGTAATTTGCAGCAAATGTATGGTTTATTGAATAAACATGTTAAAACTATCTAAATACTTGTAAATATATAAGCAAAATGATCAAAACAAATTATGCTATTTACAATCAAAAGTTTATATTTTATCACTATAAAAATTCCAGGACGTGTCTGGAAAGATGATTCAATTAGTTTTGAAAAAATTTGACATGTAAAAGTGTCATCAGAAATTTTGATACTTTTTATTAGCTGTTGAAAATGTGTTTTAATGTTTGGTGACATATTGAGAAATTTCAAGGCGAAGCAGAATAAAAAGTGACGAGATTCCGATTGTGTTACTAGCAGATGTTGGCTGGTGCGAAAATACGATTATTGATTTGTGAATGTTTTTTTATGGCTGAGTTGGATTATATTATTGTTGGTTAGCTAGAAAGGGCTTCGTGAATGTGAAATGTGTAAAAGCAAATGTAGAGAAACTTCAAGAAGAATCGTTTTCGATCAGCGAAGGTTTTCCATTGTTTGTGGATTCAGCAAATCTCCAGGAAGTTTCTCTAAATTCAATAAATTCTCAAACAGATTTTTTATTGCCATCAATTGATATGCAGAATTTCTGAAACACCCAGAAACCCTCGTACATTTAATCTCTCCGACTCATTGTTCATTCGAGAGTTTTTCTCACTCACAAAAATATTTTTGTGGCATTTTGAGCGGGTGAAAATCAACACAAAAACCAATTAACGTTGATGGTTGTTCTGTTGCTGTTGTTGCTGTTGATTTACTTTTTGATTTTATTTTGCTTTGTGTTGTGATTTGGAAATGAAAATGAAAATGAGAATAAAATTCGAAGTCGCATGTGTTTAATTTGCCTCGAAATGGATTTCCATTAGAACTAAGTCGCGTTTGCAGAAGACAATTTTTAATTTGCAAAAGTAAGTAGGAAGAAGCTGAATGTCTGAAATCTCTGACTCACTGTTGGTGGTTGTTTCGTAGGTGACCATCTGTATGGCATAAATAATTGCAAGCACTTCTGAGAGAGATACTAACAAAGCTTTATGTTCGGACTCGAGCCGAGTCTAGAGCTAAATATAAATTGCCCACCTTAAAACCCCATTTGAAAAATGGTACAAGGTAAAGCTTCGGCTTCGGAAGTTCATTAAATGGAAAGTGAATCCTCAAAATTGAGGTTAATCCCTTTGAATGAAATTAATTTTCTTACGACTCTTTAAACAAAAGATTAATGTATATAACTTAATCAATTTAAGTTATGTTGGTCACTTGAAGATCTTAAAATGTTTGTTTACTGAAACCAAGATACTCTACATCAGCAGTAAGATTTATTCTTTGTTTATTCTATCAGCTCAATACAATTTCTTTAAATTTCTTCTGACCTGAAATCTTCTTAAACAGGCATGTTGTTGTTGCTCATAAAGTTTTTAATTCCATACAAAGATTATCTCGACTCTTCAAGTCGTTTTTCTTTGCTCATGAATTCTCACCTCATATACAATAAATAATGTTGGAACGATCTCATGTTCGTTGCGGGTAAAATGAATCAATAACAATAAATTTTTGCAGCAAACCAGCAACACACAAAAGCCATTCTTAATCTTCTTTTAATTGGCTTTCGAGTGGCTTAAATGAATTGTTTTGCTGTAGCGTTTGATAATTAATTATAAGGACTTTTCGATTTACTCAGTACCAGCACGAGATGAGATAAATTTGTTCCTGCTGCAACTTTTATCCTTCAAAACAGCTTGAAACCAACTTTCGTGAGAAGGAAAGGAAAATTCATTCATGCACAGATTCATGTGGCTTTCATTCGAATATTTCTTATAATTTATGATAGATTAAATGTTGATTCGGAAATATTTGATATCACCTTTTGATTGAAGAACAAAACTATGTTAACATGAAATTTACAGCAACATAAATAACTCTCCCTTATGACACATAAAAGTAAGAGAAAAAACTTTGAATATTTATTTGCTCAGAAGTTTAATAATCCTTTTAAGTCTCGCTTCATATCTTTTCTTCCACGCAAAACATTTTCTGCTCTATCTATGCGAATCCAGTGCTTCAAGACTTAATGCTAAGCACACAAAATAAACTTCTTCATTCCACGACGTTAATTTCGCTTTAATTAGAATTATCTTGAAAGTCTTTGAAACGGAAAAGCAATTTATTTACACATTTGCTTTGTTTTATATTTATTATTATCAGTTTTGTCTTAAGCCTTCTTCATTCACAGAAGAATGATTCGAGATAATAAGAGAAACTCTACTCTAGATAGAACTTAAGCCGAGTTCTGAATGAAATTGAAGAAGTAGGTGGAATAAGTTCATGTCACTCGAGTTCATAGAATAAAATCGGATTTAGGTGTTGATACTTACTTTAGGTTAGGAGGCTTGCCACCAGCATTTCACATTAAATGATATCAAAATCCATTTTCTTACATTATTGACCTCAATAAGCTTTCATGTTTCACCAATCTCTCTTTCGTCTTAGCAATTTGTCTAACAGTAAGTAGAACGTTGCATGATAAAATCCAGTCAAGATTAGTCGAAGGAAAATTGAATGACTTTCATATCCTACACAACTGGGGATGATTGTTCATATGAATCTTTTGTAAATCTCTTCAGAATTAAACACTCATCAATCTAATTCTTTCATCTTGTATTGGTATTATTGAAACATGATGCTTAATGTTGTACATAAAAGGCATTTGATTCTAATTAATTTATTTTGTTGTTCTCATTTGCGTCTTAACTTTCAAGTTTTCTCAAAATATCGATAAATTCTCTCATAAATATGAAATGAAAGATATCAGGAATTGTCAATTTTCAGTTTCAAATTCTTCCATGTCACCATGAATATTTCATCAGTGTTGAATTTAAGTTTCAATCAGTAATCGAAGACAAACCATCAACATTTCAACTTTAACATCTTTGGGATTTAATTCATCTAAGATGTAGCTTTTCTTTCTCGTGACAACATAATACATCAAAAATCTGATACTTTATTGACATGTCCATTAGCTGTTCAAACATCATTGACAACATTAAAGTCCCGTCACTTTCGAGAACACATTTTATGGGTGGTTATGTTTAAGCTATGATTAATGTCAATAAAAAAATGAAAGCATGTCCTTGAAAGAAAGTCATTTTACTTACTAAAAGAATCAAAAATAAATCAAAAGAAATTTCATTTCAAAAAGCAAAATAAGAAAAGAAAGGAAAAATGATCAAATATGAATTTCAATAAGTCAGAAATGCAGAATTGACACGCTCGATTTCATCTGATGACAAAAAGCAATTGAAAATTGCATTCGTGCTATGAATTCACAAAATTTGACTTTTATTAAAACCCAATCATTTGTCAAATCGCCCTTTCACCCAACATTCTCCCTTTCATACTCTCCCCAAATGTTTTTATCACAAGCAACAATTCAGAAAGCGAATAGCAAAATGCTTTTATCGATTTCAAAAGTTGCACTTTCCTCGGGAAATTAATAATATTGAAATATTTTTACAATTCAATACTGAAATCTGATACTGAGAGAAATGAAACATGAAAAAGCTTTTTGATGAAGTTTTTGCTATGAATCGAATACATTTTCAGTTAATAATATTTCCACTTAGATTCCAAAGATGATGAAAACTTCGTTGAGAGAAAAAATAAACGGAAGAAGAAGAATCACAAAAATTCTTGGCATTCCATGTCTGAACTTCTGTTTCTTCTCGTCTTGACATGATAAACATTATTTAATGAATTTTATCTTACAAAAAAATATAACAAGACGAAAAAAAATTCTATTACAAAGCATACGCAGGAAGTCGCATTAGCATTAAAGTAATTTAAAGAAGCAAGTCTGGGGCAGTTTACGCAAGCAATAAATCCGTTCTTCTAAATGTAATTTTCTTAAATCCAATTTTAAATTTTCTTTTATTCAAAAAAGTACGAAAATCAGAACAAAATCCCCATCGATCATAAAAAAAATGATGGACGTAGGGCAAGGGAGGGCAAGATTTGTTTCCGAATCTTTTCCTTCTTCGCATTCAATAATGCATGATTGATATGCTTAAGAGAAAGCAAAAGAAGAAGATGAAGAAGGAGAAAGTTGAATAATGAGCTTTATGCTAAGATTGAAATGATGGAAATTCCACAATGTTCACAAATACGCTTTTAAAGCGATGAATAAATTCGAGGATTTTCAATGCAAAGTCTTCTTTTATTACAGTACGAAGGAATTTTTTCTCTCTTCCTTCAAATATCGATGTGTCTTTGAAGTTATACTTTTTCCGGGTTGATATTGTTAGGAAATTGAAGTTTCAATAGAGCTTTGTATCATCTCGAAAATTTTCAAATACTTGTGGACATAATCGAGTTTTCCTTTCGCTGAGATTTGCATAAAATATCAAGCAATGTTTTTCACACCAAATAAGTGACAACGAGATTTAAACATCTACTTAAAATCCAGAGGAGGTCATGATCGGTCAAAACTTTAACAGACTTTTCCTTTAGTGGTAACAAACTGTCGGAAACTGAAAATATTATTAGGTGCAGCTGAAAACAATGTGCAATGCTATAAAGTTTCATGATAAATTGACCATAACATCGGTTTGTCTTCTATGAGATTCAATTCAAATAAGATGAAAACTGTTTGACCCATTTTGTAGCTTGCGTCTCTTTGCAATTTATGTATTTGATATCACTTATTGATTTTTCCTACACAAATATAATCGAAGTTGGGTAATTAGATAACAACTAGAAACAGGAAATTCACATTACGATACTTAAATTGAATGTGATGGAAAACTAAATAAATTTAATTAATTGATAATTGAGATGAACTTTTCCATAACACTTATGAAAAGCTTGAAAGCTTTCACAGAAAAACTTAAAGTCAGTTTAATTCAAATGATTTTATTCATTGAAACTATTTCGAAAGTGTGTTGATGATTTCGTTGACATTTGGAAGATCAAAGACGAGTTAACTTTTTGCGCTTCCTGTTTGATAAGATTTAAACATAAATAAATGAAATGTATTCAAAATTATCAAGAAACTATTTTAGCAAACTATTTTGGAATATCCTAATTATGTATTTCACAAATCATATCTGAAGTTAAAGGATTTGTGATTTGACGACAGAATAATGTCATGAAAATTATCCCGAGAATCCTATTGATGCGTCTTTATTTTATTTAAATATAAGCATTCAAGATAATTCCTACTGCTTGTTATGTATGATATCTTTCAAAAGAATATTTAGCATATTGCTAATTATTTCAAATATTTAATACATGCAAGCGAAGTCAAAGTCAACATTCAAAAGAATCTCCTTAAGGCAAGATTTCTTGGATATCTTCAAAGCGTTTTCTAACTTGGAAAACTCAAAACTATTCTTGTCTGCATATTCTTCGTCTTTCAACAAAATACTTTAAGAATTTTCTTATTTGGTTGGCAACTTTTTAATGATGAAAGTTATTCAATTTGCAGGAATTACAATTTACCAAATGTTGACTTACATTTAAATTTGTAGATAAAATGAACAATTTTGATGATTGTCTTCACGACTAATTGTAACAGTTTTCCTTAAAGAAATAAGTCATATCTACACAAGTTATGTTTAAGATAAAGAACAGTCTGAAATTTAACAAAATGAATATAGTAATTTACCGAATTCGGCCAGTGTTCAATTGAGGCCACTCCTAATTTGGCCACCTGTTTTTGTGACTTTTCATTCCTTATAATTTATTTTCAACAAAACAAAAGTTTTTGTTGAGACTTCAAAACTTTCAACAAATACCTTTTTTTTGTTGAAAATAAATTATAAGGGCTTAAAACAGGTGGCCAAATTAGGGGTGGCCTCAATTGAACACTGGCCGAATTCGATAAATTAGGGTAAAGTGACATATTGTGGTTACAATAAAAACGAGGACATATTGTGGTAACACCTAATTTCGAATGCGATTTTTTTCGCTATTTTACATTTTTAAGGCTCAAAAATTTTTACAGAAGTAAAGTACATAGTTCAAAGTACTTCTGTACAAAGTTTTGAGCCATAAAAATGTAAAATAGAGAAGAAGATCGCATTCGAAATTAGGTGTTACCACAATATGTCCTCTTTTTTATTGTAACCACAATATGTCACTTTACCCTACTATATAAAAGATCGACTTAAAAGTTGTCAATTCAAACTCTATTTTTGACTGATTAAACAATAAGTTTAAGACATTCAAAGAGTTGAATAACTTATCACAATAAAGCTCAACAATGAGTATTTATTTAGGTAGAAAAGTCGATAAAATAATTTACAAATCAATTCAACACAAAACAAAATAAATCCTTTTTCTTATGCTTTGATACTTTTTCATATTTTACAGGTTTAAAAACGATACCAGGAAGAAGAAAAAGCTATGCAAATAAGAGGAAGGATTTCATTCTATTTTTTTTAGTAAAACGGAAAAGGTAAAAAGCTACTTTTCTCTTTAAGAAGCTTACAGTGATTACGGTATTGTTATAAATATTTCTCCAAACAGAAGAAAGTTGATTGAAGCAGGTGAAAAAGAAAAAGTCTCTTGAACTTCTTCTCCATCCTTCTATCTCTCTCACTTTTTTCTTTGATTGTTTCTCAAACGTTTTTTCACAACTGAAATCTGAATCTGAAACATTCAATGTTGTTTGGAGCATAAAAGTTAAGAAAGAGGATTTAAGTCTGCGAAGTAGAAAAGTAAATAAAGTTCTTTAACTCTCTGATAAATCTCACTTTGCCTTTTTACAGCCTTCCACCGTCGCTGTTTCTAAACATTAACGTTGCCACTGCTAGCGTTGTTGTTTGTGCTATTTCTTCGCTTTTTCTAAGAAGTTTCAAGAGCATTTGGATTTTCAGTTTGATTGATCCAAAGAGATAACGAGAAGATTTATGTGCCGAAGCAATAAATGATGTTTCTTCTTGGAGAAAGCTTTAATTTGCCGTTGTCTAAATCCCATCTTCATGCTTCGATCGCCTTCAGACAACTCAATGAATCGAATCGATATTCCTCTTGTCTCGAAATACTCATTGATGTTCTTCTGTTGCTGCTTGTACTTCTGTCTCTGCTGTTAATTGCCATGATAGAATATCGAACAGAAAAAATGAAAAACTTCTCCATGTTGACAAAACTTTTCCAATAAATATCAAATCGTTTTTCATTTGTTTTAATTTTCAGGCTTTTTGATGTCGATTTGTCATCATCAAAAGCTTTTTGTTCATCATTTCAGTTTTATTACAAGCGTTTGGCGGCAAAGACGATTTTTTTAAACGAACATAAATTTCATTAATTTGCTTTCTCCGTCATCGTAACATAATTAACAAACATCTCGATCTTGATACTAAGAAAATTTAATTTCCGTCGTGGACAAAAAAATATTCCAATGCAAAAGAATTTAATTACAGTAGCAATTTTTCTCTTAGAATAATAAAGTCATGAAGATGCTGTGTAAGAGTGGAAAGATCTTTGCATCGTACTAAGTTGCTGTTGTTGCAACATTTAATGGACATTAATTCATAGACAAAAGCTTGTTGAAAGTATCAAGGTTGAAATTAAATTATTAAAAGCTTTTTGTGTTGATTATTCTTCTTTATTGAACGGATACACATAAGAAGACAATCTCTCGTAATGCATGCATTGTCGATAATGTTTTAAGAGATGGTCGGATATGACTCCACGACCACATGTGTTTGCATGAGACTTGAATTTTCCTTTCTTTCAAGTGAAGCAACAATAGCTGAAAGCTAGGCTTCCAACTAAAGAGCTCTCAACAAACAATAAGCAACGATGATGTATTGTCATTTGTCATTTCATAAATCTTCTCATCTTTATCCATGAATAAAAGAAACATTATTTGCTCCAACTTATACTGAGTGGCTTTATATTTGTTTGTTTGACGATGTAACCAATCGAGTGTCTACAGAATCTTTTACTTAATATTAATACAAAAGATCAAACATTTGATATTTGACTTTGCGAGGAAATTATTTCCAATATGTTCTCAAAGCTGTCTCATTATACGAAAATTCTTAAAGTCACTTTATTTCCCACAAACCGTAAAAATGAGAAAAATAAGCAGCAGAAAACTTTTCTTTCACATTTTTGTTACGAGTTATTGGAAATTCCTTCCACACATGTTGACACATATCGCAGTTTGTCTTTTCCACTATACCATAAACGTTGTGAAATGTTGTAACGAAATTTGCATGAACATTTTTCTGTCTTGCTCTTTCATGTTGATCTAAGGAAAAATGTTGATAAAAGAATTTTCCGTTGCATGAAAAATCGCTCGAAAAACAAATATTTACCAAGAAGTGTTTAAATACAACAATATTTGTTCGGAAAGGGTAAGAAAGCAAACATTGAGATGAGAAAACAGAAGATTTGAAAAGATTTTGTAAATAAAACTTATCCAGTTGAAGCATGAGCCAACCCTTGAAACTTAAGTTTCCGTATCAATTGCAGGAAAATGCCATTCGGAATAATAACATCCGATTCATTCGATGCTCCCCACAAATGAATTTTACGCAAAACTTCGACAGAATTTTAAACAGTTCGAGTAAACTCACTGAGAGCAATGACTTTGAAATTTATCGTCAGCCCACACATGATGTGCACTCAAAGTTTATATCAAAGCAATTTAAAAAACAAAACTTCCAACTGGTGTTGTTTTTTGACAATTGAAAAAATTGAACTTGGATGAAGTTTTCTTTTGCAGCTTTTAAAAGTTTTTGGTTCAGAAGATGCTTCTTATCTATTTACTCGTTTTTCTTTTAAGAATCTTCTTGTATACAATGTAGAAATTGAAAAGGAATGAATGGATGTTTATTTCTTATCAATTCGTCATCATCTTCGGAACATTTCTCCGAACGAATTGCATATTTTGATTGCAGAAGTCATGAAAACAAGATTTCGCTTGGCAAGATTCATTATCATCCTAATTATCTACGTAGCTATAAATAGAATATATTAAAGAAATACATAATTAAATGAGTTCAAGCTGGTATCAGTGAAAGTAATCTAGACAGTGTTGGGTGTTGTACTAGAAACGACCTTTTAAAATTAAATTAAAAGATTTTCCTAAAACTAGGAAAATAATTTGTTTGAACAAAGTTTCGAAAATTAAATGCTTATTATGTATTTTTAACCCTCCAACCCTTCCAAAGTATTTACTTAGCATCAAATGAGTAATTTCAATCCGGTTTTTATGTTGAATCGTAAAATATTTGCGGGACTCTAAGTTTAGATTTTCATAAAAACGACTCCCACTCGAGTCGTTTATCTTAATACACACAAATTTCATAGTCAGAAAAAATCTCTTTTATATGTTGAGATATTTTCTTTAATTATTAAATAAATAGATGATATTAAGGGGTTNCATTCAATGTTGTTTGGAGCATAAAAGTTAAGAAAGAGGATTTAAGTCTGCGAAGTAGAAAAGTAAATAAAGTTCTTTAACTCTCTGATAAATCTCACTTTGCCTTTTTACAGCCTTCCACCGTCGCTGTTTCTAAACATTAACGTTGCCACTGCTAGCGTTGTTGTTTGTGCTATTTCTTCGCTTTTTCTAAGAAGTTTCAAGAGCATTTGGATTTTCAGTTTGATTGATCCAAAGAGATAACGAGAAGATTTATGTGCCGAAGCAATAAATGATGTTTCTTCTTGGAGAAAGCTTTAATTTGCCGTTGTCTAAATCCCATCTTCATGCTTCGATCGCCTTCAGACAACTCAATGAATCGAATCGATATTCCTCTTGTCTCGAAATACTCATTGATGTTCTTCTGTTGCTGCTTGTACTTCTGTCTCTGCTGTTAATTGCCATGATAGAATATCGAACAGAAAAAATGAAAAACTTCTCCATGTTGACAAAACTTTTCCAATAAATATCAAATCGTTTTTCATTTGTTTTAATTTTCAGGCTTTTTGATGTCGATTTGTCATCATCAAAAGCTTTTTGTTCATCATTTCAGTTTTATTACAAGCGTTTGGCGGCAAAGACGATTTTTTTAAACGAACATAAATTTCATTAATTTGCTTTCTCCGTCATCGTAACATAATTAACAAACATCTCGATCTTGATACTAAGAAAATTTAATTTCCGTCGTGGACAAAAAAATATTCCAATGCAAAAGAATTTAATTACAGTAGCAATTTTTCTCTTAGAATAATAAAGTCATGAAGATGCTGTGTAAGAGTGGAAAGATCTTTGCATCGTACTAAGTTGCTGTTGTTGAAGCATTTAATGGACATTAATTCATAGACAAAAGCTTGTTGAAAGTATCAAGGTTGAAATTAAATTATTAAAAGCTTTTTGTGTTGATTATTCTTCTTTATTGAACGGATACACATAAGAAGACAATCTCTCGTAATGCATGCATTGTCGATAATGTTTTAAGAGATGGTCGGATATGACTCCACGACCACATGTGTTTGCATGAGACTTGAATTTTCCTTTCTTTCAAGTGAAGCAACAATAGCTGAAAGCTAGGCTTCCATCTAAAGAGCTCTCAACAAACAATAAGCAACGATGATGTATTGTCATTTGTCATTTCATAAATCTTCTCATCTTTATCTATCCATGAATAAAAGAAACATTATTTGCTCCAACTTATACTGAGTGGCTTTATATTTGTTTGTTTGACGATGTAACCAATCGAGTGCTTGGAACTTATGAAGAAGAAGAAAGTTGTCTGATTTATGATCTTTTATAGTCATATCATTTTCCTACAATAAATTTGAATCAACAGTTTCTATTTCTGTAATAAATAAAATATTTTAAATGTCTGTGATTTCGGCAATTACCAGAATTCAATTCAGAAGGAATTGAAACTCCTTTGAAGTCACAAAGTTTCCCTCATTTAGGTAACAATTTCATATAAATCAGTGAAGACTTCATTAACTCAAACTCTTATTGGATGAAGTATCTAAAAATCTGTTTGAAATCATTTAATTCTACGATTATGTAGCAACATTATACTTAAATAATTTAAATTGCAAAAGCGATGTTGCTTACTTCTAGAAGAATTGTCGTTTCATTTACATATTATTCTTGTAATGCTTCCGATTCTTTCGAAACTCTTTTAACGCTTGCGCCAACAAAACGGTTCAAAAATGTTAGCGAACAGTGAAAGAATTATTTTCAATCGTTTTAGTGCCCATCTAGTTATTGTCGAAACAACAACGCTTCTTTCGGAGATTTTAGAAATTTTACGACAATTTTTCTTGTTTCTATTAAAATTTTCCTGTAAAAATGTTTGCACTTGAGGAAAATTGAATTTCAAGCAAGTACCGCTTGAAATTATTTTCATATTCAGAAACAAAAACTTTCACTTTAATTAAATTAAACTTAGATCCTAACTTTTCCAATTATCAAATCATGAACTGAATTAAAAACTATGACAATAAACTTTCAGCACTTCTCAGAAACACGATTTGGTAAAATTTTCCGCCTTCTACAGTCACTGATTCATTAGGTCCACTAATAATTTTGTAACTTCGGCGTAGTTTCTCATGATCTTTTATACATTTTTCATGTGAATTCAGTGTGTAAAAATTCCGATAATTATACGTCCATTGTAAATTGCAATCCAATGTAAATCCACAAAAAATAAATTCCCACGGTCATTGTCTGATTTTCATTGATGATCTTCATTGCAGCAAATTATTTTATCCACTTGAGTCGAAAGTTAAAATTTCCATTAAAACAATCACTTCCAAAACGAATTTTCATCGGATATCTACGAATTACATTTTAATGTTTTTGCTTTCATATAAACCCCTTAATATCATCTATTTATTTAATAATTAAAGAAAATATCTCAACATATAAAAGAGATTTTTTCTGACTATGAAATTTGTGTGTATTAAGATAAACGACTCGAGTGGGAGTCGTTTTTATGAAAATCTAAACTTAGAGTCCCGCAAATATTTTACGATTCAACATAAAAACCGGATTGAAATTACTCATTTGATGCTAAGTAAATACTTTGGAAGGGTTGGAGGGTTAAAAATACATAATAAGCATTTAATTTTCGAAACTTTGTTCAAACAAATTATTTTCCTAGTTTTAGGAAAATCTTTTAATTTAATTTTAAAAGGTCGTTTCTAGTACAACACCCAACACTGTCTAGATTACTTTCACTGATACCAGCTTGAACTCATTTAATTATGTATTTCTTTAATATATTCTATTTATAGCTACGTAGATAATTAGGATGATAATGAATCTTGCCAAGCGAAATCTTGTTTTCATGACTTCTGCAATCAAAATATGCAATTCGTTCGGAGAAATGTTCCGAAGATGATGACGAATTGATAAGAAATAAACATCCATTCATTCCTTTTCCATTTCTACATTGTATACAAGAAGATTCTTAAAAGAAATACGAGTAAATAGATAAGAAGCATCTTCTGAACCAAAAACTTTTAAAAGCTGCAAAAGAAAACTTCATCCAAGTTCAATTTTTTCAATTGTCAAAAAACAACACCAGTTGGAAGTTTTGTTTTTTAAATTGCTTTGATATAAACTTTGAGTGCACATCATGTGTGGGCTGACGATAAATTTCAAAGTCATTGCTCTCAGTGAGTTTACTCGAACTGTTTAAAATTCTGTCGAAGTTTTGCGTAAAATTCATTTGTGGGGAGCATCGAATGAATCGGATGTTATTATTCCGAATGGCATTTTCCTGCAATTGATACGGAAACTTAAGTTTCAAGGGTTGGCTCATGCTTCAACTGGATAAGTTTTATTTACAAAATCTTTTCAAATCTTCTGTTTTCTCATCTCAATGTTTGCTTTCTTACCCTTTCCGAACAAATATTGTTGTATTTAAACACTTCTTGGTAAATATTTGTTTTTCGAGCGATTTTTCATGCAACGGAAAATTCTTTTATCAACATTTTTCCTTAGATCAACATGAAAGAGCAAGACAGAAAAATGTTCATGCAAATTTCGTTACAACATTTCACAACGTTTATGGTATAGTGGAAAAGACAAACTGCGATATGTGTCAACATGTGTGGAAGGAATTTCCAATAACTCGTAACAAAAATGTGAAAGAAAAGTTTTCTGCTGCTTATTTTTCTCATTTTTACGGTTTGTGGGAAATAAAGTGACTTTAAGAATTTTCGTATAATGAGACAGCTTTGAGAACATATTGGAAATAATTTCCTCGCAAAGTCAAATATCAAATGTTTGATCTTTTGTATTAATATTAAGTAAAAGATTCTGTAGACACTCGATTGGTTACATCGTCAAACAAACAAATATAAAGCCACTCAGTATAAGTTGGAGCAAATAATGTTTCTTTTATTCATGGATAGATAAAGATGAGAAGATTTATGAAATGACAAATGACAATACATCATCGTTGCTTATTGTTTGTTGAGAGCTCTTTAGTTGGAAGCCTAGCTTTCAGCTATTGTTGCTTCACTTGAAAGAAAGGAAAATTCAAGTCTCATGCAAACACATGTGGTCGTGGAGTCATATCCGACCATCTCTTAAAACATTATCGACAATGCATGCATTACGAGAGATTGTCTTCTTATGTGTATCCGTTCAATAAAGAAGAATAATCAACACAAAAAGCTTTTAATAATTTAATTTCAACCTTGATACTTTCAACAAGCTTTTGTCTATGAATTAATGTCCATTAAATGTTGCAACAACAGCAACTTAGTACGATGCAAAGATCTTTCCACTCTTACACAGCATCTTCATGACTTTATTATTCTAAGAGAAAAATTGCTACTGTAATTAAATTCTTTTGCATTGGAATATTTTTTTGTCCACGACGGAAATTAAATTTTCTTAGTATCAAGATCGAGATGTTTGTTAATTATGTTACGATGACGGAGAAAGCAAATTAATGAAATTTATGTTCGTTTAAAAAAATCGTCTTTGCCGCCAAACGCTTGTAATAAAACTGAAATGATGAACAAAAAGCTTTTGATGATGACAAATCGACATCAAAAAGCCTGAAAATTAAAACAAATGAAAAACGATTTGATATTTATTGGAAAAGTTTTGTCAACATGGAGAAGTTTTTCATTTTTTCTGTTCGATATTCTATCATGGCAATTAACAGCAGAGACAGAAGTACAAGCAGCAACAGAAGAACATCAATGAGTATTTCGAGACAAGAGGAATATCGATTCGATTCATTGAGTTGTCTGAAGGCGATCGAAGCATGAAGATGGGATTTAGACAACGGCAAATTAAAGCTTTCTCCAAGAAGAAACATCATTTATTGCTTCGGCACATAAATCTTCTCGTTATCTCTTTGGATCAATCAAACTGAAAATCCAAATGCTCTTGAAACTTCTTAGAAAAAGCGAAGAAATAGCACAAACAACAACGCTAGCAGTGGCAACGTTAATGTTTAGAAACAGCGACGGTGGAAGGCTGTAAAAAGGCAAAGTGAGATTTATCAGAGAGTTAAAGAACTTTATTTACTTTTCTACTTCGCAGACTTAAATCCTCTTTCTTAACTTTTATGCTCCAAACAACATTGAATGTTTCAGATTCAGATTTCAGTTGTGAAAAAACGTTTGAGAAACAATCAAAGAAAAAAGTGAGAGAGATAGAAGGATGGAGAAGAAGTTCAAGAGACTTTTTCTTTTTCACCTACTTCAATCAACTTTCTTCTGTTTGGAGAAATATTCATAACAATACCGTAATCACTGTAAGCTTCTTAAGGAGAAAAGTGCATATGTGAACATTATGAAAAGTGCTATGAACTCTCATTTATTGGTATTGCGTTGACAGTTTATTTACTCATCTAGATAGAATGTTTGAAGGAATTACCTAAATCATTTCTAGAGATATTTGAAGAGATATTTTACGTAAGACATAAGCTTTAAGAGTAAGACATTTATTTAATTAATCGAAGAAAGTGATGACTATCAATATTAAATAATCTCTTGTTTAAAGAGTCGTAAGAAAATTAATTTTATTCAAAGGGATTAACCTCAATTTTGAGGATTCACTTTCCATTTAATGAACTTCCGAAGCCGAAGCTTTACCTTGTACCATTTTTCAAATGGGGTTTTAAGGTGGGCAATTTATATTTAGCTCTAGACTCGGCTCGAGTCCGAACATAAAGCTTTGTTAGTATCTCTCTCAGAAGTGCTTGCAATTATTTATGCCATACAGATGGTCACCTACGAAACAACCGCCAACAGTGAGTCAGAGATTTCAGACATTCAGCTTCTTCCTACTTATCTACTTTTGCAAATTAAAAATTGTCTTCTGCAAACGCGACTTAGTTCTAATGGAAATCCATTTCGAGGCAAATTAAACACATGCGACTTCGAATTTTATTCTCATTTTCATTTTCATTTCCAAATCACAACACAAAGCAAAATAAAATCAAAAAGTAAATCAACAGCAACAACAGCAACAGAACAACCATCAACGTTAATTGGTTTTTGTGTTGATTTTCACCCGCTCAAAATGCCACAAAAATATTTTTGTGAGTGAGAAAAACTCTCGAATGAACAATGAGTCGAAGAGATTAAATGTACGAGGGTTTCTGGGTGTTTCAGAAATTCTGCATATCAATTGATGGCAATAAAAAATCTGTTTGAGAATTTATTGAATTTAGAGAAACTTCCTGGAGATTTGCTGAATCCACAAACAATGGAAAACCTTCGCTGATCGAAAACGATTCTTCTTGAAGTTTCTCTACATTTGCTTTTACACATTTCACATTCACGAAGCCCTTTCTAGCTAACCAACAATAATATAATCCAACCCAGCCATAAAAAAAACATTCACAAATCAATAATCGTATTTTCACACTACTATCTGGTTGTTATACAATTCAGTTCCCATTTATATGTTTTCATTTTTTTGCTATGCTCAATGTAAATAATCTCCAGATGCCACCAGGCTATGAATTCAATAAAAAAAACTGCACCATCAAGTATCATGTTTATTAAGAAAAACCTTTAAAAAAGTTTTATCAACATAACTGATGCTAATAACAGTTGAATGATTTCAAACTTAAATATTACTGAAGCGTCATTTTCCAGCTCATCCCACGCAGCGTAACGATCCAAAGCTAACCCATGCTTTTCAATGAAATGACTTCCAATATCTAAATAGAATTCATTAATAGAATCATGCTTAGGCCAAAACATTTCATTCAAATAATCGTCATTCTTGTCGTTTGGGTCACTAAAATTGAAATTCTTTTGAAGAACGTCCATTAAATATTTTACATTCAAAATTTTCTTACCCGGAAGATGCAAACTGATAAATTATTCTTGTGAATCTTTCGACCATAACATTCTCTGGGTCATTCAGTTCAATTCTTGGACCAACAAAAACTGTTTCCAAAATATATTGCATTTCATCGGAATGATGCACACCGTATGGTTTATCATGAGGATGAAGAAAGAAACTATAACGACCGATGAACGAGAGTTGATAGTAAAAAACATCAGTTAGATTTGATATTAAGTGTGCTAGTTTATGAACTGGATATCCGATGTAGCCATCACTAAAAATCTACGTGATGTAATAAGTGGTAAAATAAATTTTTTTTCTTCTCGTTTAACTCTCAAACCCTTACTTGGCTTAAACTGCTGAGTGATTTAATATCAATAACATCGTAAGGGAAGTACACGTCTTTTAATGTCTGACTTCTTGATTTCTCGGTATTCGTTTCGTAGAAGAAACAATGTGGTGCAACTTCATCATATCGTTGATTCAACTCATCGATTATTGGAAATTGAATCATTCCTAAGCAACAAAATCTCCATTAAAATTTTTTAATCATTTCATTTTGATTAAACTTACGAGAAGGAATATCAACAAATTCATCTTTCGTTCTTCCAATAATTATTGGAACTTTAGAAAAGTTGGCACTTTGAAATAATTTTTTAGGATCGTCAGATAGAAATCTTCTTTGTCCAAAATCTTTTTCAATGACAGGAAACCAAGTCATTATCGTACATTGTGGATATTCTCTTAATTCAATTAAATTGAAATCAACAGCTGGTTTCTGAAAATTTTTAATTTCGTTTATTCAAATTGAGTTCTTTAAACTTGTCTTACTTCTCTTAAGCATTTAATCATTTCATCGATATCTGAGACAGTGCAATTCATTTTCTCAGCAAGACGTCTTCCAAGATCCAAATAATTATCTTCCAGTTTTCTTTGATAAGTTATTGAGCCACTCAAAGCAACAACTCGATGAAATAATCCTTTTGACATAGACGAGACCATATGTGCTGTTACACCATAAGCACCAGCACTGTTTCCCATCAAAGTTACAAGCTTGGGATCACCACCAAAATGGTGAATATTATTTTGTACCCACTCTAACACCATCACTTGATCTTTGAACCCAGCATTACCAGGGATTTCCTCATTTCCCAGTGATAAAAATCCAAACGCCCCAAGACGGTAGTTGAACGAAACTAAAACAACATTCCTTTCCATTAGCAAATGCGGTTTATGATCAGATGCTGAACCAAGTTGAAAGGATCCACCATGAATGTAAACAACAACAGGTTGTAAAGTTTCGTTCTCTCTTGAAAGAGGTAAATTTTTAGTGAAAACGTTTAAGTAAAGACAATCTTCGGCGACAGGTGATTGTGATAAAAGATTCACTTGCATACACATCGGACTAAATTCAGTGGCGTTCAACACTCCACTCCATGATGACACTTTGATTGGTGCTCGGAATCTTTTGTCTCCCAAAGGCTTTTCAGCATACGGAATTCCCATATATGCGTGAAAGTTTTCATCGTATCTTGTCTTCATCACAATTCCACTCACTTTTCCATCAGAAATTTCCACAATTTCACAGAATCCCTGAGAAATTATTAAAATAAGAATTGAAACGTTGCTAATCAAACGCATTTTAACTATTAAACTGACTTGTTGTAATCCAAACGATTGTAATTCGTTTTCGTGTCATAAATTACGAAAATCTTGAGTTGGTTGATAAGATTAAAAATATTTTATCGAAACTCAATGGATTGTGAATGGTCAGGAACATAAAATTAATGGGGAAAAAATTGGTTTTTGGAGGTTTGGATTTAACTCCACATTCATTCGATGCTGCATAGCTTATCGCTTGTTTGCACTAATTAACTTAATTTCTGACATAAATCTCTTCACATTGCATCACAACATGCTTCGAAATCCTGACCATGGCAGTTGGGTTATAACTCAGGAATTTATTATATTTTTAATGTCCTTCTCATGTTCATCTCGTTTTGTTTATTGTGACTCGCATGGATAAAAAATTTATTTATTTACTCTACCATTGTTGTTATGCAGCAAAACTTAAAGTCAACAATTACACATTATTTAAACATTTATTTTAAATTCTAAACTTTAGAATTTGTATAATAATTAAAGCTTTAATCTTCACAAACATCGCACAGGTTAAGTTTTATTCTCTTTTAATTTCTATTAAAATCTTGGTTTAATTTTATTTCCTTTGAATCAAACATTTTGTTTCGTCTTTTCCATGAATGATGTCTTTTAAAACTTGAAGTTATTTCAGCACCAAGATAGCACCGCGTAGTTTATCATTTCTTCCCATTCGTATGGAGACAACTTCATTTGCTTTCCAAATGAAGTCGTCGCTTAAGCGAAAAACATAAAAAAAATTGCTGAAAATTTATGAAGTCGTCGTTGTTTCGTTGGATGTGCTGTGAATGGTAAAATATGTGGAGCTGAAGGAAATATTCGGGAAATGCTTTTTCCATTAACATTTTTTCACGTTCTCAAGCCATAAATTTGAAATTTCTGGTGTTCAACTGAGAGATGGAAAAATTCAGGTTCCACTTTCGTACACTTGGAATAAATGTTTTCAACACACATTGTTAAGATACATTTTGATATCTTTGCTTTTTCGATTAATGTTGGCTTGGATGTGTATCGTATTAAAATTTGATGTCAACTTTTATTTCACTTTTTATGAAAATTTTAAACGTAGAGTTATGTTGTATGTAAATTAATGAGAGTGACAAAAAAAGTCAACATTATCGCAGTTCTTTTCATAAGCTGTTGTTTATGCTAATGATTTTCATATGTATTCATTTTTGCTGTACAATCAACTTCGAAAAATATCAGAAATAAAATTATTTTTATTTTATTTTCACTTGCAATCGATGCAGCTTTTGTCAACCCTCAATGTTTATGAGACAGCAGAAAAACATAAATTGACAATCAATTGATATATTTTGGACTTTAGTGTCGGAGAAAAAATCGAGAAAAAACACAAACCAAGCATTGTGAGTTGTAATTCGAAAAATATTTAGCACAAGCTGAAAATTCATTTCTTTCATTTTATGTTTCTCTCGGGAGTTGGAAAATATGATTGACTAGCCTTCTTTACAGAATCTGATGACGGCTTGGTAACATCTGCTTTGCTATTTATCATAACAAACAGGAAGCATCAGCACATTTGCCCTTTATAAATCGCATTGCTTTTATTTTCATATGTGAAAATCTCTTCCATCCTTGCTTCGGCCTAAAGGTTAAACACATGACTTGCAAAATATTAAAGCCGTCTCGTAATTTATGATTTATGGACTTGCCTTTCAGCGATAGAATTTCCCTCTATTCGGCAGAAATCTTCAAAACTTTTCCCCTCTTTTAAGAGTGAGAACACAGAAAACTTTCATGAATAGAAACATTTTATTTTGCAACAAGATTACATTTGAAAAACAACATTGCAAGTCAACATTATTAAGTTGGAGAAAAGATTCGATCTACTTTAGACAACCGTTGGTTGAAGGAATTCTCTGACTCAAAGGAAATTCAATTAGCATCATTCACTGTTTCATTGTTTTTCCCTCATTTTCTTCTTCTTTGTGTGAGCTTCTTTATAAACCAATTTAAACTTGACGCTATAAAAAGGGGATAAAAAACTTTCCTTCTTTCTTTTCTTCAATATTCTTTGTTGCTTGCTTACCATGAGATGCGCTACTACTTGGTCGGTTGGTGAAGATATTTGAGTGTCTTTCCACAATAAAAAAATTAGACGAAAATGAAGGAAAAAGAAACAGAGACAGAAACTGAATGGAGTTGTTGAAGGACAACATAAATCTATTTTCTCTTCCGCAGTAGTATAAATGACATGTAATTTAATTTCCGCTTCCACAAACATCTCTAATAGCTTTTTAATATTTCTTTCTGTTTCGGTTTCCTATCTTCCGTTCTATTCTGCACTTGTTCCATCTCTTACTCCCTTTGATACCCTCTCATGACTCGACATCAACATCATCACACGACTCTCGAGTCTCTCATGACTCGACTCTGACCTCACGGGTTGCTGTTGATTTTAGGTCAAATGGAACCTAATTTTCTGGGGCTTAAATACATTTAGGAATTCACAAAACTCTTATCTAAATTTGCGTCAAGTGATGAAGCCTTTCTTCTGCATGAGAACACATGAGACATTGCGGATGTGATAAAATCTAACTTCAACTTTAAAAAAGAAAAGCTTCATAAGACACAATTTTCACTTTTAAACTTTCATTTCATTTATTTTCAATCTAATGTCTCCCCAATTTTATAATTTTAAACAAAATCTAAACCTTAATGGAATGTTATGCTTTGTGGTGGCATTTTACTGCCTGAGAAGACAATTTCTCCAGTTTTCATGAATTCATTTCTTGTTTGTCTGATAGACATTTTTGCAGTTTCCGGTAGCTTCTTGTAGAGTAAATATGTCAATGCGAGAAGCAAAATTCCTGATCCAATCATAAATATCCAACCGAATTTAGGAGAAGTGTAAACATTGAAAGTTGCAACAATTAACACAATGTGGAAAATATATTCAATGCTTGTGGTGAAGAATATCGAACGAGGTTTCATCATTGTATTAAAAGCTTCTGATGAATAAACATCGGCGATCATTCCAATTCCTACTCCACTAATAATGTCAAAAATTATTTGAACAATAACGATAAGCCATGAAGATTGGGTAGAAGCAATGACAATTCCCATTATTATCAGAATGATCGATGAACCTCCATAAGAGATTAAGAAATGAGGTCGTCTTCCTTTAGCGTCAATCGTGAAAAGTGTCACCATGCAAGCACTCAATCGAATCCCCATGAAAGCCATCGCTGAGAAATTTAAATTGTCTTCAGAAACAAAAGCATTTGAATGCATCAATCTTATCATATTTAGACCGAAATTAAATGATAAAACTGTCCCAATTTTGAGTAACGTAATAAATATCAAAGGACGAAGATTTTTATGATCAAAAATATTTGTTGACGATTCTTCGTCTTCTTCCACCATCACTTTCAGTTCATTGTACTCGTTCTTTATACTCCAAGTTTCTTCTGATTCACATCGGAGTTTTATCATTAATGCAACTGCTTGATCGAATTTCTTTTGTCTTATTAATGCGACCGGCGATTCACGAGTGAAAATTGCAATGAAAAGAAATCCTAAAAGTGAGAAAAAGCAGCCGAGAATTCCCATCCACTGAATAGCTCCAAATCCACTTTCTTCTGATTCAAAACTCATTGTAAAAGATCCGCACATGAAAACTGAACAAATAATGACAAAATTGAATGAAGCAACAACCAGTCCGCGTAATTTTTGTGTTACAATTTCTGATGCATGCACAATGAGAGTAAGATAAGCATAACCATGCCCGAATCCGATAAAAAGTCTCGCTACAAGTATTAGATAAAGACTTTTCGGCATAATGATAAAAAAAACCGATCCAGTAGATACAAACGTCATTGCTGAAAACTGAAATTTTTTGATGAGCATGATAAGAATTTCAAGAATTGATTCTGTTTCGGCAGCTTACGTAAATATTTGACTTCGTTAGTCGATTTACGACCAAAGAAGCGAAATAAAGTCCCGCAACTCCACCAACAAAGAACGATGAGTAAGTTAAAATTTTTTCAAACGAAGAGTGACCTCCAGCCCAAGGATAGCTGATTAAATCATTATTAAAAATCCATCCAAAGTGAATTCCACTAACGAGCAAAGTTAAAATGCCACCAGCAAGTGCATTACTTTGTGGTTTATTTTTTTGATTAAAATCAATCCAATCAACTACACTTCCACTCATAATTTTTTGCTATTTTTTTCTGTTTGGCTGTCAAAGAGACTATTGAAGAGTGACTAACTTGTGTTTACAAATTGAAGTTGATAGAAGAATTCTTATCTACTTTATTTTGCCAGTTACGATTTGAGATTGTTGATAAAAGCGTGAAATTTATTTATGTATTTACGTACATACAAATGAAGACTTTCGGCGTTCGTTCTTCCATTTTCCTTGTACAATGCGGAAATATTTCTCACTTGACCTAAAATATCTTTCCATTGTTTTAATTTAGAATTTAAAGTTCAAATTTACTTTCTGTTCTGTTCATGGCTGACATGAATCATATACGTGAAAATTCATTCGGAAGTTTCCGGGAAATCATGACAAATAAACAACACAATATCCGAAACGAATATTTTCATGTCATCTTCAGTTTAGAAAGAAATGTCTCTCCTTTCAGAATCTATAAATAAAACGCCAAGAGATTATTTTGAGTCATGTCTGAGGTGGAAGTTGTTAATAGACATGCCAACAATATCAATGTACCTACATCAATTTATGATTTATTATGTTGTCAATAAAGCTTTACTATTATCCTGAATTGTTTTTCACTTTTTTTTCGTTGTTCAGATGATGGACTTGGTAGTCAATGAATCTCAAAATGCTGACAATTTTTGAAAATTGAATTTCGTCTATTTCCTTTCAATCTCATGCGATTGCAAGTCTTCTAATACAGAACGTGTCAGCCACCAAAAATGTTAAAAAAATTTCTATGAAAAATGAGAAAAGGAAGAACATCACACGTCGCAATTTCCATGAGACAGAATTAAGTTAAATGAGATCACTTTGATTGAATATAAAGAACGTGTCAAGGTTCTGAAATACAGCAAGCAAATCAAGAAATCATTGAGAAGCAATAGAGAAGCTTTTATGAAAAGGGTGAACCTAAGGAAATGAAGCTCAAACGAGAAGTGCAAATTTTTGACCTTTAAGCTAGCTTTGAGAAATAAAAGTCAGATTTTATCACATCCGCAATGTCTCATGTGTTCTCATGCAGAAGAAAGGCTTCATCACTTGACGCAAATTTAGATAAGAGTTTTGTGAATTCCTAAATGTATTTAAGCCCCAGAAAATTAGGTTCCATTTGACCTAAAATCAACAGCAACCCGTGAGGTCAGAGTCGAGTCATGAGAGACTCGAGAGTCGTGTGATGATGTTGATGTCGAGTCATGAGAGGGTATCAAAGGGAGTAAGAGATGGAACAAGTGCAGAATAGAACGGAAGATAGGAAACCGAAACAGAAAGAAATATTAAAAAGCTATTAGAGATGTTTGTGGAAGCGGAAATTAAATTACATGTCATTTATACTACTGCGGAAGAGAAAATAGATTTATGTTGTCCTTCAACAACTCCATTCAGTTTCTGTCTCTGTTTCTTTTTCCTTCATTTTCGTCTAATTTTTTTATTGTGGAAAGACACTCAAATATCTTCACCAACCGACCAAGTAGTAGCGCATCTCATGGTAAGCAAGCAACAAAGAATATTGAAGAAAAGAAAGAAGGAAAGTTTTTTATCCCCTTTTTATAGCGTCAAGTTTAAATTGGTTTATAAAGAAGCTCACACAAAGAAGAAGAAAATGAGGGAAAAACAATGAAACAGTGAATGATGCTAATTGAATTTCCTTTGAGTCAGAGAATTCCTTCAACCAACGGTTGTCTAAAGTAGATCGAATCTTTTCTCCAACTTAATAATGTTGACTTGCAATGTTGTTTTGCAAATGTAATCTTGTTGCAAAATAAAATGTTTCTATTCATGAAAATTTTCTGTGTTCTCACTCTTAAAATAGGGGAAAAGTTTTGAAGATTTCTGCCGAATAGAGGGAAATTCTATCGCTGAAAGGCAAGTCCATAAATCATAAATTACGAGACGGCTTTAATATTTTGCAAGTCATGTGTTTAACCTTTAGGCCGAAGCAAGGATGGAAGAGATTTTCACATATGAAAATAAAAGCAATGCGATTTATAAAGGGCAAATGTGCTGATGCTTCCTGTTTGTTATGATAAATAGCAAAGCAGATGTTACCAAGCCGTCATCAGATTCTGTAAAGAAGGCTAGTCAATCATATTTTCCAACTCCCGAGAGAAACATAAAATGAAAGAAATGAATTTTCAGCTTGTGCTAAATATTTTTCGAATTACAACTCACAATGCTTGGTTTGTGTTTTTTCTCGATTTTTTCTCCGACACTAAAGTCCAAAATATATCAATTGATTGTCAATTTATGTTTTTCTGCTGTCTCATAAACATTGAGGGTTGACAAAAGCTGCATCGATTGCAAGTGAAAATAAAATAAAAATAATTTTATTTCTGATATTTTTCGAAGTTGATTGTACAGCAAAAATGAATACATATGAAAATCATTAGCATAAACAACAGCTTATGAAAAGAACTGCGATAATGTTGACTTTTTTTGTCACTCTCATTAATTTACATACAACATAACTCTACGTTTAAAATTTTCATAAAAAGTGAAATAAAAGTTGACATCAAATTTTAATACGATACACATCCAAGCCAACATTAATCGAAAAAGCAAAGATATCAAAATGTATCTTAACAATGTGTGTTGAAAACATTTATTCCAAGTGTACGAAAGTGGAACCTGAATTTTTCCATCTCTCAGTTGAACACCAGAAATTTCAAATTTATGGCTTTTGAACGTGNAGAGAAGCTTTTATGAAAAGGGTGAACCTAAGGAAATGAAGCTCAAACGAGAAGTGCAAATTTTTGACCTTTAAGTTAGCTTTGAGAAATAAAAGTCAGATTTTATCACATCCGCAATGTCTCATGTGTTCTCATGCAGAAGAAAGGCTTCATCACTTGACGCAAATTTAGATAAGAGTTTTGTGAATTCCTAAATGTATTTAAGCCCCAGAAAATTAGGTTCCATTTGACCTAAAATCAACAGCAACCCGTGAGGTCAGAGTCGAGTCATGAGAGACTCGAGAGTCGTGTGATGATGTTGATGTCGAGTCATGAGAGGGTATCAAAGGGAGTAAGAGATGGAACAAGTGCAGAATAGAACGGAAGATAGGAAACCGAAACAGAAAGAAATATTAAAAAGCTATTAGAGATGTTTGTGGAAGCGGAAATTAAATTACATGTCATTTATACTACTGCGGAAGAGAAAATAGATTTATGTTGTCCTTCAACAACTCCATTCAGTTTCTGTCTCTGTTTCTTTTTCCTTCATTTTCGTCTAATTTTTTTATTGTGGAAAGACACTCAAATATCTTCACCAACCGACCAAGTAGTAGCGCATCTCATGGTAAGCAAGCAACAAAGAATATTGAAGAAAAGAAAGAAGGAAAGTTTTTTATCCCCTTTTTATAGCGTCAAGTTTAAATTGGTTTATAAAGAAGCTCACACAAAGAAGAAGAAAATGAGGGAAAAACAATGAAACAGTGAATGATGCTAATTGAATATCCTTGTGTTGCAACAATAAAATTTTAATGCTGAAGATTTTTCAAAAAATTGTTTCCATAAAGTTTTTTTTAACTCTTAAGCGGTCAGCTTCAAGTTCTCTGTAATCTTGGTTGGCATATTAAATATTTAATTTTATTCAAAACTTCAAAATGTTGAAAACTTTTATTTATGTTTTGTAATAAATTATTTAATTTCTTTTGTAGATTATTCCTAGAAAATTTGTAGCTTGAATTTAATCTAAAAAAAGAAATTTTTTAATCAAGAAAATATCAACTGCAGAGGGTGGAATTGAGCTAAACGTTCCACTGCATAATCCTAGTCTTAAATTACATTTAACAAATGCAACAAAAATTTAAAACAATAACAAATTTGATAAAAATTTAAAGTTCGATGAATGCGTAGCGTTGACCGTATGGAAATCATTAAAACTTCAGTTCAATAATCTTCATCAAAGAATTGCAAAAAAATTTAAATCAGCACTATTGAAATGAAAATCTTACACTTCACATTTTGTTTACGCAAAAGTGATTCATTCATTGATGTTGATTTAGCAATCAAAACAGGGAAAACATTAATTCAACCTTGTCCAAAATGTTCAACTCAGACTCTGAGTACGTTTGTACACGCAATGGAAAAGATTTTAAATGGTTCAAAAGTCATTGTCAACATGAAGGCTGGAACTGATGTCGTGGAGTCTCTTGTGGAATGGCAAACGTAAATTGGTGATCCAAACAGTTTCACAACTATCAGTATGGGACAAAAATAAACTTCCACTTCATTTCACTTTAAACTTTTTTGATATCATGGAACTTATCACCATAACAACACAATACAAATAAAGAAAAAATATAACAAACTTGTTTAGTTTTTTATTTGCATCAAAAATTTTAAATAAAGTGAAATGAAGTCATCAATCCGTCAATCTGGAAAGGTTCCTTACTATAAACTAGACAAGGAATATGAATCACATACAATACCAACATTTCAAAGTCGTCGAACTCTCGCAAATCATGTTCGTGACAATATGCTTTGTGCAGGTCGACGCTCTTATTTCCAACGCGTCATATATCTTGCGAAACATAAATCAATCATCGAACCGCATAAAATCAAGGATCCATTCAATCGAATCATCAAAGAGATTTATAAATATCCAACAGACGACCATCTTGGTGGATTACTTATTGGTCACGACTTGTATTCGATGCATATGCTAGAGGGAAGCGACGAATTGATTGGAAACTATTTTCAACTTCTCTCCAAGACTGCAGATGAGTTGTTTGAAAAGTCACGCGTTGTTCTGGTTTATAATAATATTAATCAACGTTTTCTCGAGAAGATTGTCTGGCGTTTAGCAAATCTTCCAGAGATACCCGATTTTGATGATAAAGCAAGTGTTGATCGAAACATCTCAAGTTTCTTGAAGAAAATGTATTATTTATGTAAGAAAATTAAAGAAGAAGAGACCGACGAAGATACAACATTCAAGTCGTTCTACTTAACGTCAGATTTAGAAGAATGGATACCCGATGGACGTCTAATGGATGCAATTCTTGATATTGAAAATTTACAAACAATTCAAGAATTCTCAACAATTTACGGCGATTGTTCAACGATGCTTACATTCGAAGAAGTCTTATGGCCAGTTTCACACGATCATTTACCGTCAAGCATTTTCAATATCGGAAAATATGATGTCAATCTAACATTTGGGAAAAGTAAAAATGAAAGCCAATAATAAATCATCGAGTGAAGTAGTGAAAAAGGATTTTCGTTTTATAAAAATTTCCAAAAGTCAAGTGCAGTGTGCAGAGTTTCCATGCAGTCACAAATCAAATTCACATTTTCACTCGAAGCATAACTTGGCGTGCTTTCTATCCAACATCTAAAAGCAATCATTTGTGTTTGTAATAAAAGCGATTTTGTAACTGACATTTGCAGTACTCAAAATTTCGTTTGCAGTTGAAAGTGGGCGGTTGAATTGTGGTGTGAAGCATCAAAAATTTATCTGACCACTAATATCTTACAGCTGCAGTCTGCAATTGTCTTATTGAATCTTCATTTTACATTCAACGAAAACAGTAACAGATGGATATGAAAATAATAAATTATTACAAAGAAATTCGGTTTGTCTAAAGCTTTAAATTGATCTTTAATTAATCTATTTCATCTATTGAAAATTCACTGCATTTTGGAAAGTTTGTAGGGATTTTGATGTGTTTCATATCACTTAATTCACCAACTTGAAATATTACGGCCATGCCTAGAAATTTAACAAAAGAAAAGTTTTAATAAAATTGCAAAGTTTGTAATTAAGAAAAGAAAATTTTCACCTGTTTCTAAATGCCAATCAAAATGACAATGGAAAAGCCAAAACCCAGGATTGTTTGCTCTGAATCGAAGTCTGACATAGCCAGGAAATGGTAGAATAACCTGAATTAAATTAATTAATTTATAAAAGTTTTGAAATCAATGAGCAATGTCTTCGTACAGTGTCTTTAAAAGGCGGATTTTTATGTATCGTCATTGGAATTCCATTTCTTCGAATAACACCTGGAATTGGCTTCTTCTCAAACACTCCCATGTCCAACACATGAAACTTGTGACCATGCAAATGAACTGGATGTGCAATTTGGTCATCAACATTCACAACAACAAGTTCAACAATTGAATTAAATTTTACTTTAATTCTATGCACGCATCGACAGGCTGTTAAGAATTTATTATCAAAGCAGTGCTTTCCAACTGTCGAATTTTCATTGCAAAACATTGAATCGTTGATGAGTTCTGGTTGAGTTAATAAAGGAAATGTTGGATATTTTAAGCTGATGTTATTGAACGTTCCAATGCTGTTAAAATCAGTTCGTGACGTTTCAACTGAATGAAAAAATAAATTAGATATTCAAGTCAATATTGATATTCACTTACAATCCAATCGAAAATAATTTCCATTCTCATCCATCGTGTGATCAAGAATTGTCGGTGAATCGAGAAAGAGATAAAATTTATGATTTGGTGGATTGTCAATGATACTTCGGTCGGAATTGTAAGCTTTCAAGCTGATCAAAGGAATGTCTTTGACTTTTGGCATTGGTGAGTTGAAGAATTTCTTTGTTGGAAATTCAGTTGATAATCTTGGGGGTAGATTCGCTGTGAAAGAGACTCTTGTCCCAATTGACATTTGATGATCTTCTCCATATCTTAAAATCCCAAAAGTCTCAACAACAGTTCGACATGGATTCAAAGTTTGAACACGTATCCAATAATCTCTCGGAGGTTGATCAGCATTCACAACAAAGTCGAATCTCTCTCCAGGAAGGGAATAAAGTGAATCAATCGTCATCGGATGAACATTGCTTACTTCTGACGCAATTATTATCATCTCATGACTTTCTATTTGCAACATGAATGGACAAACATTAAACCCCGAATTGATAAATCGAAAACGATAACGTTTGTTTGCATCTACATTGAATAGTGGCCATGGAGCGAACGTATATGACTCAGAAGTTGTCTAAAATATTTTGATAATGCAAACTCGTCAATGCAAGTGATGAAAGGAAACGAACCGTTCTTACATTATAATAACGACCGTGACCATTGATAAGAATACTTTCGGTCAGAACAGATCGCGAAACGACGCCTGGAAAGTCTTCTTCAGCGAGATGATGCATCCAATCAGAAACTATAATGACATGTTCTTTCAAATCGTAATCATACAGATAAGAATTAGGGTTTTGCTCTCTGGGACCTCTAACGATAAGCGACCCAAAAATTCCATTTGCTTTTTGATGACCGGCATGAGAGTGATAGAAATGTGTGCCTTCATCTTCAGCATGAAAAGCGTAGCGAAACTTTGCACCGAATGGAATTGGACATTGAGTGACGTAGGGAACTCCATCCATAAACTGTGTGTTGAATTGTCGTATGCCATGCCAATGGATTGCAGTTGATGTTCCTTGGCCTTCATTAGTTAAGTCAATAACAATTACGTCACCTTTACACACATTAATCGGCGGGCCAGGAAGCCGAAAATTAATACTTAAAAAACCTCGTCCTACTCCATCAGCAAGTACACATTTTGAATCAAGACAACCGTCGACATCCCCTTTGGTGCAGTTTGCGCAAGCACTAAACAATAATTTAAGTTGTTTAACTAAAACTTTTCTTAAGTTAATGTTATTGTAAGTTACCCGCCCATAACTTGGAAGTATTTCATCATAAAATAGAAATGACAAACTCTTCTATCACCAGGCTTACACTCACGATCACATCTTCTCCCCGAATCCATGTGAAGCTTTAAATTAATTTTTGAACTTTGTTCGATACTTTCCATAAACTCACCGAGGACATTTTTAGCAACGAATGGAAAATTGAGGAATCCATTGGATTCAAAACAAAATAAAGCAAGAAAAACACTCAAAGTTATGATGTTCATTTTAAAAGCGTCAAGAATTGACTGATAATTATGTAGAAGAGTGAAGGGAACCGACTGATAAAAGCTTGTAATCAGTTAGGTACGTTTGCTCTCTTCAATGAATCTCTGAGCATTAATTGAGTAGATTACTTGAGAAGAATCTGGAATTTAAATTATATTTCTTATTAGTACAAAAACAATTTATTAAAGCAATACAAAATTCCTACAAGATTTATTAGTCATTAGAAAGAAAAATCACAACAAACACAAGAAAGTTATTCGAATTTAAATTTCATCATTGGAACGCCAATTCTTTTTATCTTTTGGTTTCTTTCCACTGTATTTGTCACGATCTTTTCCAGATTTTGATGTAGGTGGACAATAACAGGCTCTTTGTTGTGAATCAAGATATGATTTACAGCCTAAAGTCATTGTTCCTGTGAAGAGCATTTTAGCTGCAGCTTTGCATCCTTTCATGACGATATCTGCAGCCGATCCTTTCTCAAAAGTATCACAATACTTATAAAGACATCGCTTGAATTCAAGATCACAAAGTTCTTTGTCGCTGTTGCATGTATCATAGCAAATATCATGAGCATCACAACAACGTGCCATCTCCGGAGCTGGCAAGTATTCAGTGTCGATTTTCATTCCTAATGAGCCACAACCATCAGAACTGGGAAGGTGAAGCTTATTCTTAATTGGACGTTGTTCTGTAAATATCAATCATCATGTTAATTTCAAAGGTATAATAAATTTATTTTTAACTTTTACTTTCAGGGCACTCATAAACGCAATTCTCTTCGACAGCTGAATCGAAGATTTCGTGGACTGTTTTAAACTTCTTTGAGACTGAGATGACATTCTTGAAAACGTCTCCAAATATTATTTCAGCACTAAGAACTGCATCTCTTAACGATGAGAGTATTGAGCTGCCGTAACCAGAATAACAATATCCAACAAATGTTAAAACGTAAACAAGAACTTTCATGTACGGAAAATGCATTTTAAACAACTTAATTCACTTCAACTTTATGTTTTAATAAATACTTATGTTATTAGTCATTAAGTAAGTATAATATTTTCATCAGAAACTTATGATTGGACCACGAATTCTTAAATATTTTCTTGTTTCGCAAAGATGCGAAAATTATTTTCGTCTCTTCTACCAACACATTCACACATTTGGAATGCGTTGAAAGAATTTTCAGCTGATGCACTAACACTTACAAACATTTAAATTTCTTCTTCAACTGATCCGTTGATGCCGCAATTTCCTTGTCAATTGAATTTTCCAATATTTCTTTTTTTATGAAGTTCTTAAAAGGTAGAAAGGAATATTTAGGTACTCAATAACTTGACACATAAATTTTGATTCACTCGTGAAAATATTTATGACTTTCGCGCAATGGTTTTGTCTTTTCGGAAAAAATATTCGAATCGTGAAATGTTTTAAGAAAAATTAAGACTTGAGAGTTTCATAAATAAAACATGAAAATTTTTAACTTTATTGAGAGGATAAGTATTTATCACGTTTCACTCAGTCATAAACAGTCTCAAGTATTTCTCGATTGAAGAAAAAAAAGTCAACAGAATGACTTTTAAGATCAACTTGAACAATGTAGGAAGCCTTACGGTAAAGCTAACTCGATGTAGTTGATACGCATATTTATTGAAGCGGATATGATTTTTTGATTGATTTCTTAATCCAAGAAGATGTTTTATCCCTGTCGTGAATCAAGTGACTATACTTAAATCGTATCAATGACGGTTGAGTAATAAATGAGTGAGATTTATGCTTTCGTTTCAAGTGATCCAAGTCATATACATTTCATGAAGAATTTAGGGAATTCTTTGCCATCGAGAAAATTATAAACTATCAGAAATGCATGATTCTTGAAAATAGAAAAGCTTCACAAAGTCATTCCCCAACCACATAGGTATAACTTTATTAAAAAAAACTTCAAAGATCACTTGAATAGAGCTGAACAATCGCATTCCTATTAGATTTGAATTTTGATATTGCACTCCACATGTGTGTTTGAAATATCTTATAAAGTATCAGGAGTTTTAATTTGAGACAAATGTGAAGCAATTTTGAGAATCATAATCTGTGTCTCCCTAAAGCCACCGTCTTATTCACTTTTATATAATTTCTCGACTTCAAGAGATGTTCCTTTAAACTTTAAACTCATTTCCAACAAAGAACAAATTTGCATTTGAAACAAAATTTCTCTGTCTCTTCATGAAAACACTAAAACTGCACAATGAGAATGATAATATTGTTGCTTTATGCATGCTTGTTTCCGCTACGAATGATACTTGAAGGAAGAAGAAAAGAAGTTGAATTCAATAAAGTTTATTGATTTCGAATTTAGTTTTGGAAGACTTTATAAAATATTCTATCACAGATAATTTAAATCCCAAAACTCGATACGAAAAACAATAAGGAATGGACGACAAACATTGTGAATTTATTTTCCTTCTCATTTTAAAGATTTTAAAGGAGTTGCATCATTGAATGAAGAATTTACTTTTATCCCACTTCAAAACTTAAAGTTTAAAATATTTACGTAACTTTTCATTCAATGAATGTGTTCATTATAAGTAAGCAAGTAAGCAAATATTGAAATTCTCCACTCGAAGAAGGGGAAGCAATTTAATTTTATTACAATTGAGAAATTGATTCTTTGTATTTATTCTTTACAAAGCTTTTTCTGTCAATTTTTCATTTTACATCGACGAACTCAATTTTTTTAAATCAAGCTTATTTATTAGGATTGAGGTTGGAGATGTTGTTTCTGTAAGTAATCTCCACTCTCTCGTTTGCAATCCAATTATTTTTTTTTCTCAGACGAAGCAAAGTCCTTGTTCAACTGCACATACGAAAATTGCCAACTAATAAAAGAGAAGAAAAGCATTTTACAACCAACATTCTTTCGAATAATGCTATGTGTAAACTGCTTCTGTTTCCAATGGTCAGTTTATGCTCTCATGCATCGGTGGATAATGTAACGACATTTCAGATTTATGGTTTATTAACATGTCAAATGCAAGTATCGAGTATATTGTGAACGGTAAAATATCCTCGAAGCATATTTTAGTTGACCTAAGTCTCAAGAACTTACTTTGGTATTTATATCAAGTTCTTTCCACTCAAATTCTATTCATACATATAGAAAATTTCAACTCGAACCTTCATCCATGCGTTGAAATGTTTTTAAAAGAATTTTATTCATGAGATCCGATTCTTACCTAAATATTTACTCATGCATTCGATTTAATACTTTTATTATTCAATTTCTAAGCCTTTCCAACATGAAATGATCTCATCTCGTTTTTTTATTACGAATAATTCATGTGTAACCAGCGAACGCTCCTTGAATGAATAAAAAGAAAATGAAAAGATTATAAAAAAAGAGAAACTTACGCTAGATGCTTTTAAATACTTAAAATCATTATACATTATGATTTTTTACAGAAAAGTTCCGGAAGTTTAATTGTGTGAAAATGAACAAAAGACAAAGGAAATTCATTTTGATGCGCTGAATTTCTATTATCGTAAATGCTTCAGGATAAATAACTTCATTAAATTGTCGCACTCATTTTAAAAAATTAAAACTTTTAATTTTAATGGATCTGAAAAGTCTCATTGTCGCCATTATTTCATTCAGATTAATTTTTATAATAAATAAGTTGACGGTTTTTAATAAAGATTGATGTGGAATTCTTTCACTATCCATTTCAAATTAAATTTCCCGACTCCTACTTTCATTTAAATATTCAAAAGTATAAAAAAACTTTTTGATCTTAAATTATTCTCGTACGTGAAAATTTTTCAGCCCCCACAACCAAGAAAAAAAAGTATTTTCCATTTCATTTAATTTTCCATTCATTAAACATTGAAATGGAAAAACTTGTTGAATAAAGTGAAACGTGACTGAGAATTTCTCTCTTTTTTTTTGGCAACTCCAACTACGACTTCCGAGTGAAGCTATTCCAATCAACATCTCAATTTCAATAGCATCACGTACTTCCGAAAAAGGAATTTCGTAGACCGACGTTCTTGGAAGGAAAATTGTTGATTTTTTTGCTTGTTATTTTCATATCCGACTTGAATTAGTTGAATTTTGATCTGTGAACTTTTCTGTTTCTTTTTTCTGTCTCTCCTAAGTAAAATTAAATTTCACATGTTTCAGTGCACAAACTGCAGCTGAGACTAACATAGTTTTAATGGAAAATACAAAAACCAAATGTCTGGCGTTGAAATGAATGAAGTTGATGTGTTGATTCTGTCTTACCGTAACCATGCAACATTATTTATAATTTTACAGAATTGTAGATATGAAAATTTTAAAGTTTCCATCATAAACTTACGAAAAAGCTTCGAATGTTGAAATGTTTAAAGTTTACAAATATATTATGAAGTAACAGCAGAAGATATTTAAGAAATGCATCAGTGCAGAAAATAATTCATCATTTCAATCTGAAGGTAGTGAACACAAGGGAAATAATACAACACTTGATTAATTATGGTGAGACGTTTACAAATAGGTGAAATAAATTTAAGCATTTTATTAAGTCTTGGATGAAATGAAAGTAGCTGACCAGATATCATCAGAGCTTTCTGACTTTGTTTAATTAGGAGAATAAGCTTTCATGTGCTTTACCACAATCACAAGTTATGTCATGTTTAATCCTTTAAGCTTCACTTCATATCTCTTCTTTCCGCTGAAATATTTTCAGCTCTATCTATGCGAATCCATATCCAAAAGCTCAATGATAAGAACTTCTTCATTCCACCACGTTAATTTTACTTTAATTAGAATTATCTCAAAAGTCTATGATGTGGAAAAGCAATTCATTAAACCTTTTTGTAATAATTATAATTTCACTACGAAACATGATGTCACTCGTTGTCGAGATTTCCCATGCGGATAAAATATTTCAACTAAATTTATTTGTGAATAATATAAAACTTCATTAATTTTATTAAAAATTTTCACATTTTTCATACTTTAAAAAGTCAAGAGATTTATTTTATGTGAAAAAATATAACAAATTTAAATTATGTGTCTAATTAAAAACTATGCGCTTATGACTCGACTTGTATGCTCAAAGCTTCATTAGCGGTTTTAATATTTTGCTTGGGTTTAATCTGAAAAATTTAGAGAATGTTAGCAACTTTAATAAAAAAAATTATTTCACTCACAGTAAAACATTTAATGCCAAAGTGCTTGCACATTTCAGTGACAATTCCATATCCATAATGAAAATGAAAACAACTGAAAAGAGCTAAAAGGAGTATCAGAATCCATTTCTCAATGATGAATGAAAGTGGAGGGAGACCAAGTTTTTCATATGGAAAGATACAAAAAGCAGTGGCAATGGAGTAAAGCGTCAGTTGAAAATTCCATCCATCGCACTTTGTATCACTCATCTGAGCTACAATCAAGCGACACTGTTAAGACATTTAAAATTAATCTTCATCTTAAGCATCTTAAAATATAAGAAGTTCTTACGCTGACATTGGAAAAGATTGTTCCAGTAATCATGAAGAAAACTCTTGGATCATGAGAAAGAATGCGATTTGGTGAAAACAAAGCCCAACTTGTTGAGACAATAAAAAGTCCTGCAACTGGATAAAGTGGTTTTGCGGCTTCATAACAAGATCTCATCTTGCCCGTCTTGTCTCTGTATGATCTGCAAAAGACATTACTGCATTAAATATTTAGACTTTTTCATCTGCTGACTAAGCGCACTTACTTGTAAATATTCCAAGCAATAATTGGATGACTTGAAATAACACCAGATGTATAGCAAAGAATTTCGGTTAAAAATGTTGGCGTAAATCCAAAAATAGGCGTCACAAAAATGCTCGGTCCAAAGAAGAAAGCAACAAGAAATGTTATCGCACAACCCCACATAACGAAATCATATGCATAAGGCAGAAACATGACACCAGTGTTATATTTCTCAAAGTGTGAAAGCTACAAAATACTTCCGTAATATTTCTGTCAAATGAAAATTCAATTATCGTGTTTCACTTACATAAAAGTTGAGGTAAACACAAAATGTCATAAACTGCATTCGTATTACAGGAAAATCATGCGTGCCAAAAAGACTGAAGATATAAATCATGATGAAGAGACTGCTATAACTGTCTAAACCATGGTCAAACAATTCACCAAGAGGTGTTGAAGTTCCTGTTCTTCTCGCCTGCTTACCATCAATACCATCCAATGTATAAGCTACGAAAATGTTGATACTGACGACAAGGAAAACCCATTTAGGAATTGGATAGTTGTCAAGTTGCATGGCTGCTTTGAAGTCATAATCGTAATACGCTATCAGTAGAAAGTTAACGACAGTCAGCATAAAACCTGAGAACGTTAAAAGGTTGGGTGCGACCCAAATTGGCACAAACTATAAAGAGCTTTGATTAAATGAACTTCTAACTTGATTAAAATTAAAACAAACAGAAACAAATCATCGACCTACCTCAACGCACCAATTCCAAAACGGATGCATCACATATTTACTCAACCAGCTTGTATCAATGCTGTTGTACTGTAAACATTAAACACGAAAAAAAAAGACTGAAATATATTTGACATCGTTTTGAATAAAAAATTAGGTGATAAGGCGTTTCTTCTTCCCTATTTCTCGTCTCTACTTCCATGTGATGCATTTCTTTATATGGACGTTTATTTTCTTACATTAATGCATTATCAAGAGAGAATTTTTTTTTCTATTTAAAGGAATTTAAATTTCTGGGTGATTTATTTCAACACGACATCGTCACGGGGCGAATGGACTTGCTATGTAAACATGAAGTCGTATGATTGAAACGTAAAATAATCAACACCCTTTGATCTCATAACGAGATGTGGACATGCTTTTTATTTGCGATATTTAGAGATGATGGAATGATGTGAAGTGGAAGATGAAAATATTTCTACCTTATATCGATCAAATCCTTGCAACTCATCTTCACTTAAGTAATTTTTTTTCCACATGTTTAAAACGTCTGTCTTCAACGTTGAAGATTATTCACTCAACTAAAATACTCATCTATCGAAACATTTTTTTAATGAAGATTCAGTTTGTTATCTCGAAAACGAACCAGCAATACTTTCATATTGGCTGTCGGCTATCAGTTACACACATAAATACTAAGTAATCTGCTGTTCACTCTCTGAAGGGATTACGACCATGAGAATGAAAATACATTGTCATTTGTAGAATATTTTGTGATCAGCAAACTTAGCTTCAACCTTTTATTTACCAACTAACATTGTGAACTTATTAAACATCCATCGAACTTTCGCTCATTTCATTCATCTCGCATTTAATTTTCAGTCATTTCTCATTCCACATGAAAAATAATGTTGAAACACAAACTTCCTGAAATTAACTCTCTCTTTCTTTTCTAATTGCTTCAATTTATTTTCACAACATTCTTATTATTCCGGAAAACATTTCGATTAAAATTTTTGGAAGGAAATTCTTGCGATTACCGATAACTCTTATTTAGGAAATTTTCTAATTTATTTTCGTCGGGATTTAATTGGTTTTAATTGAAACACAATCTTTTTTCACGACACGACATTCCTTCTCCTTCAAGCGAGGATTATGAAAAGTTTACACATCGAAAATCGAGAGTGTGAGAGGTTGAAAAGCGATAAATTTTGTCGTAATTTGTCGAAACTAATTTGAAAATTAATTTTAATTGAATTTTATTTACGTACATATTTATAGAATTGAAATTTGACTATAACTGAAAATTGTAAAACTCCATGGAGTTGTGTGAAAATCAATAAAGAAAATCTCTAAGGAACAACAAGAATGCAAATGTCGATATTCAATTTCAATTTAAGCGATCCCATTCGATGGAAGTCATCAGCAGATTACAGTTAAAGAGAAGTAAAATACGAGAGCAAGAATAGAAATTGATAAAGATAAATGGAAATTCATTTCATCTGAAAAACAATATGGAATTACTGATTCCGAAGCAGACAAAAAGCGAATTGAGAGAGTGAGAAGTCTTAAGTTTCTATTAACTTTATTTTTATCACTTTGCGAGTCTTTTCGTTTTTTTTTCTCCTTGGAAAAACAATAAAATTGATCCGATAATAAATCAGAGTGAATACAGTCAGAGACGAGAGTGAAAAGTTTCTATCTTTGAAATTTTCAATTCAACTTTGTTTTTAAATTGAAGTGATGAAAGTATTTCAATAGAATATTCGAAGCATGATTGATTAATTTTTAAAAATCGATTTCATTTAATGTGGAAGATATTTATAAGAAGCTTTCACTTTAATTTTAATTAAATTTCATTAAAAGAGTAAAAAAACTATCCAATCGCTTTAAGCCTTTCATTTTTATGGCATTTTTCAAAGTTTAACTAAAGTACTTTAACTTGTACTTCAATATCCGCAAGTTTCAAGCATCTTCGAGCAATGAAGCGTATGATGATGAACTTTCGCGTTGAAAGAAAACTTCAACATTAGAGAAGGAAAGGAAAAACTTTTTATCGACTTAAACTTTTTTTTTCACACGAGAAACTTAATTATCTGAGAAGAATGAAGTCATTGTTTCCGACTTTTCCACTCATGTTGTTCTGTTCTTTTTTTCTTTTTGATTTAACTCTTGACACTACTTACTTATAGTGTTCAGGAAACATGATTTCTTCACTTAAAGACGAATCTATGATATTCCAACTTTGTCATTGAGTTTAATTGGCGATGAAAGTTGTTTCATGATGCAACATAATGGAAAAGCAATGGAATTTTGACAACTGGTAAATGGTGTGGGAAAAGTCATAGAAAAAGTCAATAAAAGTTTTTTTTTCATACTCATTTTTTTCTAATGTTATAAAATGGTTCTTCTGTTCCAATTGGGATGCCGTAAAACGAGAAATCTAAAACCTGTTAATACTCCCACGAAAGAGTAGAAAAAACATCCTTTTTTCACACCTTTTCACAGTCAATAACTTTCATGCAGTCCCATGATAAATCGCCTTTGCCCACAAAAGTCATAAATATTTTGTTGCTCATTTTCTATTCGTAATCCATCCCTTAAAGAAATGGTTAATGTTCCATATCGAGATGATTCGGTTACTAAAAATTTCAAATTCAATGACTTAACAAATGGACCAATCGATATTTATATGATTCAAATTCTAACACTATTAATTTAGATTTAGACTTAGGTATGCCTTCCTTAAAATAATCAATCAATCAAGAGAGAATTAAATCGGAGAATCTTTTAAATCTCTTTTTCCTTTCTTTTCCTCTAAGCTAATAATTCAATTGAGAATAATCAACTTCAGGGCGTAATCGCTTGAGAATGTTTTATTCATGAGTGCCAATTAAACTTTTTGAATTATTTAAGTGAGTATTCATTCATGAAGATTTCGTTACGACGTTTACGATGTTTTTCCTGTTGAAAAAACTTTTCATAAGCTTCTTCATCAAAAGGTGGAAAGGTACTGAAAAAAGATTTCAAAGGAAGTTTAACAATCTAACAATGCGCAGGCTTTGAAATGAGAATAAGGAGAAGTGTCATTGAAATCATTGGAATGCACCTATTGCAGAAATAATCAAAATTCCCTTGAAATCACTTCCTGAAACATTTCCCAATTGAATCAACACTTTAATATTCTCATCTTCTTTATTTACATGAGATGCTTAGGACAACAAAAATTTTGAATTTCCTTTTCGGAGACTAAGAGCTGGTTTTATTATCTATTTCAATGATGATGATCATCTTTCTTTTGATATCGTAACCCACAATAACCACATGCATGTGCACCAGGCTTATCCAGATTGATGTAAACTTTGGGATGACCAAGATGTTCGTCACCACCAGTGCAATAAACAACTCGTTCAGTACATTCACGAATAGGTTCTTCAGCTATTAAGTCAATAGCCCAATTCTTATTGACAATCTTAGCAGCATTTACGAAGCGCGCATTTCTGTAATCATCTTTATCATACGTCTAAAAATATATGTAAAAATCAGATGTAAACACAAATGTTATTTAATCAAATTACAACAACAAAATTTATAATCTTTACCTGTCCTGTATGTGTCACTTCCACTCCTTCTTTCTCTGCACAAAGAGCTTTCCCAATTTGTGTGCTGATTAACCTTGCATTACGCCAGCAATACAGTTGTGGTAAACTAGCAATCTTTCTAATGCAGGACATTTTCACAAAAATTATTTTCCAAGAGATTTCGCTTCAAATTTTGCATCAATTTCCTATTGTTATGCGATTCGCAAAATTCATTTGAATTTGAATTAATCCGAACGTTAATAAATAAAATTTAAATATTTCGATTGTTTATTATAAAGATGATCAAATTTATAATCAAGAGCTCTTTCGATACCTTTCGATCAACTTTAAATGTTTTTCATTAGAACAAACATAATCTTTTCGTTATATAAAAGAGAATTGTTGAGATTTGGAGTTAAACCAGTTTAATTCCAAGATCATCAAGTGTGTTTATTTTGGTTCTTTTTAAAAAAATTGTGCAAAGTTATGGAAAATCCTTTTAAGAAGTATTTTGGGTCAAAAGATTCGGATGAAAAAGATAAGAAGCGGTAAGATTTCATTGCCTAATTAATAATCATAATATTATATCAATTTCGTAATACTAAAATAGGGATAAAAGTAGCAAATTTAAGAAGTTTGAATACACTGAAGATGAAGATGATTTCTTTGACCTCGATGATTTATTCAGCGAATTCAATGGCAATGCTTTCAACTTTCATGGCTTTCCACCAAGTATTTTAAAGCAATTTCAAGAGATTGTTGAAGCTATGCAACAATTCGATGAAGATCCAGAAAATAATCAACGTCGTAAATCATTTGAAAACAAGTATAATGACTTCAGGCAGAAAACCGACAAAGATTTAGATGGACAGATATATGCTGATCAGCTTGATACATTGTTAAGACGAATTTCACCTGATCACGCACCGAAAGAGTCTTCTTCTTCACAAACGTTGGGGCCACAAAAGAAAATAAAATTAACCGATGAAGAAAAGATTATGGACATCATTCATGGAACATTCAAAGAAGAAGTTGTGCCAGTAAAGCCACGAAAGCGACAAGTTCAAAAGGTTCCACCTTCACCTCATCATTTCGGCGGCATGCCTCCTTTCGGTGACTTTCCACCAACATCTAGTCGCACTTGGGGACGAACTGTCATCTCAATTCGTAAACCAGACGGTTCATATGAAACAAGAAAGACAGAACGAGGCGCCGACGGACAAACAACAACAACAATTACTCGAACTGAACCTGATGGAACGTCACTTACTCAATCTTTTATTGGCGATGGTAAAAAAGCTTCCACAAAACCGCCACCACCAGCAGGGGGAAGTCACGAAGAAAGAAACTTAGTGATGTTCGATGGTTACAAGATTCCTTGCTTGTGGTAAATCAACAGATTGAAACTTCCCACTGTTTTGTGATAAGAAAAGTTCTAAATAGGAAAAATAATTAAAATGCTTGTTAAAACAAATAAAACTGACAATTCAAGACGAAATATTCTTTTTTTTATTATTTGAACTCATTTCTACAAAAAGTGGATTCCTTTTATGTAAACTTACATTAAAGTTTACTCTTAGCGAAGAAAAGTTTATGTGGGTGTGTAAGAAATATCAAAAAAAGTTCTTTCTATATCTAATATATTGAAATTTGGAAATTTTGTTTGATTTATGAAAAAAGGGAAAAAATCTTAAAAGTAAAAAAAATTAATTAACTTCGACAATATTCGGATGTTGAGAAATATTGGATTATGAATTGAAGGTTTGTTTGTGTCCACTTTCAATTTAAGTTTAACGTCCTTCAACTAGATGAAAAATATTAATTAGACAACAATTGATATTAAAGTAATTAAATTAAACTTACTGTATGAGCTTAAATCGATTTCGTCGGGTAATTCAGTGATGTTTACGTCAAAACGATCCTGAACATTGTTTAAGATCTTTGCGTCGTTTTCATCTGATACGAAGGTGATTGCAAGACCTTTGGTACCGAAACGACCAGCACGAGCGACACGATGTAAATATGTGTCGGAATCTTCAGGCATGTCATAGTTGAAAACGATGTTGACTCGTTCAATGTCCATGCCGCGTCCGAAAAGGTTGGTAGCAACCAAAATACGCTGTTAAAATTATCATTAATTAAATTTCTCACCTATAAAAGAAGAAAAATCTTTTCTCACCTTCTGGAAATCTTTAAATTGTTGATATTTAGCCAAGCGTTCGTCTTGTGCCATTCCACGATGAATTGCGATTGCAGGGAAGTTCTGATCGGTTAAAAGACTTGCCAAAGCTTCACAACGTTGAACAGATTTGACAAATATGACAACTTGATTGAACTCCAACACATCAAGCAATTCAAACAATTTCTTGTTCTTTTCATTTTCCTTCAACTTCACATAATGTTGTTGCAATCCATGTAATGTCAATTTTGTTTCATCATCGACATAAACTTCCATTGGCTACAGAAGAGAAATAATTTTATAAAATTAAACAACTCAAACTTAATTTAAATGTTTTTAAAGAGACGAAAAAAGCGAAAAATGCGCGAGGTTTTGAAGGGTTTTTCATTCATTTTCTTTTTGTATGTTTTTTTTATGTTTTTTTGAGTAGATACCATCAACTGGTAGTGTTAAGAAATCAGCTTTAATCCATTTATTTGCAAATGAAACCACTCGAGTAAGGAGAAGAAGAAGAAAGCACCACAGAGCTGACTATAAAAAGAGAAAAAAGGTTTAAAAAATATTCTTCAATTAAATTAATTTCTTTCTCATCACCATGGAATTCCAGAAGAAAGATGACGTCAAGTTGAAGTTGTTCTTTCATGTGAGATGATTTTAGATTTAACAGCAACCCAACCCACCACCCACACCCATTATGATTGTTTTCCCCTCCCCTCCCTCTTCCCTTGATTAATTTTCAACGCGATCTGAATCTCTGGGTAACGAATCTCAGTTATTATCGGCGCTTATATTATTGTTTCATGTATTATCATGTGGACATTATGGACATTGTATTATTATTCAAATATTATTCTGGGCTTTTATTATTCCAGAGATTTCTTTCTTTCTCCTTCCACCATCCGCGAAATTTCATTTCTTATCTTTTTCCGTCATTTTACGTGATAATTTTTTTTTTGAAAGACGATAACTAACATCTTGCATGAATTTCTTGCATATTGGACGAATTTCTTTGCTGAGTGTGGCTGAGAACATCATGACCTGTTTGCCGTGTGGTGTGCTTCGGAATATTTCTTGTACATCTTTACGCATATCTGTGAATGAAGAAATGAAGGAAGAAAAGAAATTTTAATTATAATGTGAATAATTTTAATATTTTCATTAAAATGAAAAGTAAATGTTGTCAGTTTGAACCCATCTCTGAGTCCAGTTAAGACAAATAATCATGGAAAATTATCATATGTCCCTATCTATGGATATCATCATAAAATATTTTAAACATTATCGTTTTAAAATAAGACAAACTCACCCAATTGTTCCAACATTTTATCGCACTCATCGAGAATGAAATGTTTCAAGTGCTTCAGGTTTAATTTTTTGTTACGAATGAGAGCAAGAACGCGTCCAGGTGTACCAACAACGATGTGTGGTGTCATTGTCTTTAATGTTTCTTCATCTTTTTGAATCGGCATGCCACCAAAGAACACTCCAACCTTCACACCTGACATGTACTTGCTGAATCGCTCATATTCTTTACTGATTTGGAAAGCAAGTTCGCGTGTATGACACATAACCAAGACATATACTTGATTATCAGTGGGTTCGAGTTGTTGGAGTGTAGCGAGGACAAATACAGCCGTCTTTCCCATACCAGATTTGGCTTGGCAAAGGATGTCCATTCCTAGAACTGCTTGTGGAATGCATTCGTGTTGCACTGAAAAATTAAAAAGATGAAGAATAGGATTAGCTCATGAAATATGCTTTCGTCATGTATAAGTTGTCATGTTTACTCAGGTGATTCCGAAATGTTTTGTAATCTTTCGGAAACTTCGTTAAATTATGAAATTTTATATCTTACCAGCTGAAGGATGTTCAAAACCACAATCAACGATAGCTCGTAAAATTTCTGGTTTAAGGAGGAAATCACGGAAGCCTGAGCTATGAATTGATACGTAAGTTCCTTTGACATCTTTTTTCTGATCGGCTTCTGCTATAACCTGATCGGTTTGTTCTTCATCTTCGTAGTCAAGAAGATCATCGTTGTCTGCCATTTTATATATTTTTATTGTTTTATTTTGGAATCAATTACTACAGAAAAAAATAAAAGAAGGTTGAATTAGAAGAAGCACATTTTTTCTTAATCTTTAATTTTAAATGTGTAAGCAAAATGGATACCGCGTTTTTTAATTTTCTATTAAAAACTGTAATTCATATATTTTCCACTAGCTTTCATGAAATTCCTTAAATTTTTTCTTCCTACCACAAGTTTATGATATTTTAAGTTCAAAAAATTCGATATTAATGAATAAAATTAATAAAAACTTACAGCGCGTTTGAAGTTGAAAAGATTAGTGTCAGTAAATGAAGCAGAAACTTTTTGCATCTTAAGTCAAGTTTTTTGCCTCATTTCTTTACTGCATCAAAAAAAACTAAAGAGAAACTTAAAAATTTCAAAAATAATTTTTTAATTAGATATTTCATCGTTATTCGAATACCTTTAAAACATTGGAAATCGAATAAGACGAAGAAAATTTAAGGAGAAAAGCTTACAATATAAATCAAATCGAAAATTAATCTATAAATTTTCAAATTGTGAAATTTTTGTGAAGGTAAGCTAAACAACAACAAAAATTAATTAATTTTTTACTGAGTTTTCATACGTTCTTCGTACAAGTGTAAAATCCCACAGTGTTTATTAATTTAGTGGAATGAAATGTCATAGGAACCCTTCAATAATTAAACTCAAAAATTTCTCTTAGATTTTTTTAATTGAATTTGAAACAGGTTGTTTGAAGGATATCGAGAAATCCTTAAAATATTTTCCAATTATCTCAATTACCATGAAACATAATCTAATTAAGCTCTTATCAATATACCTGCTATAAGGTTAGAGATTGATAGGCTTACCAAATGATAAAGCCAACTTTTTTTTGTGTTCTCTCTTGACGAAACAATTGATAGCAAAAAAAAAAACAAAAGTAAGTGCAAAAAACATTAAGATCCAAACGAGCAAGCCAATGAGATAGAAGATAAGATAAGACGAGTGTTTAAATAGTGAACAAAAGAGAAAATAAAGAAACAATGAATAGAAAAGAAAGAAATATCTTCTGTCAAGATATTTTAGGAATTTCACAATTTGGATGCTCTAAAAACTACTAAAATTATGGATCATGAATCAAATCAAAGATGATCATCAAAACGATATAAATATAATAGTGTGTGACCTTGAAACTATAAATATGCTAACATAAATGTTTTTTTAATCTGTCAACAATATTTAATAAATCATGTTGACATTTTTCATTTACAGGTATCATGACGAGAATCATTTGAGAACAAAATTTGAAGTAAGACATTAAGACAATTGTAAGTAAAAAATGGCAGAGTCATCATCATCGAGGGCTCCTTCAAGTCAAGGCTTTCATCAGTTATCAATAACGAGTAATTTAATTTAATCAATTTACCTTCCTAAATATCTAAAGATTTCTTTCTCATTTCCAGTCGAACATGCGTCACTTAAAAGCCATTCTTTTCTCAAGCCAAATCCATACGTTGAATTATCAATTGACGCAAATCCAGCAAGAAAAACTGAAATTCAGAAGAACACATATCTACCGAAATGGAATGATCAATTCACTGTTCTTGTAACACCAACATCCATACTTCAATTTCGTGTTTATGATCATTCCAGCTTTCGAAAAGATTCACTTATGGGAGAACAAACTGTGCTTTTATCACAAATCCTACAAAACTATAATGGACGTTGTGAGAATCTTGAAATTGTGATGGATCTTTTATATGAATCGAAATCCGAAGGAAGACAATTAAAAAATGGTGAACTTGTTGCTGTTTTAAATGGTTTAAAAATCGACATGTCATCATTGGCTGTGCAAAACGGAACAAGTTATTCCGAAGCCGTCCAGAATGGAAGTTCAGTAAGAAGTTCAGTGTCAAATGGTGGTATAAGATCAAGAATGAGACTGAGAAGTAACAATAGCAGCAATGGAGCTGTATCATCATCGTCATCATCATCCACAACAACCACAAATGGGGTAATGACAACAAATGGAAATGCCGCACCATCGAATATCATTCAAAGTCCATCGTCGGGATCAACAGGAGCTGTAAGACGATCAAATGGGATAAATTGGGAGCAAATATCATCTTCACAAACACCACCAGCACAAGTCTCAAGTCATCATCAACGACTTGCACCAGCATATTCGAATCCAATTGAACCACCAGCAACAACAGTTTCAACAACTGGAAATGAAGTTGCAAATGGTGAAATGAATGGCGATGGTGATGATGAATTATTACCAGCTGGATGGGAACGTCGGACAGATCCTTATGGTCGTCGATATTATGTCGATCACAATACAAGATCAACATATTGGGAGAAGCCAAGTCCATTACCAGCTGGATGGGAGATTCGTCGTGATCCAAGAGGTCGTGTTTACTACGTTGACCATAACACAAGAACGACAACATGGCAACGACCAAATAGTGAACGTTTAATGCATTTCCAACATTGGCAAGGACAACGCGCTCATGTAATGACGCAAGGAAATCAACGATTCTTATATCCGCAACATGCACAAGCAAGTAATACAACACAAGCACCAGCACAAGATGATGACGATGGTTTAGGTCCATTACCAGATGGATGGGAGAAACGTGTTCAACCAGACACTCGCGTTTACTTTGTGAATCATAAGAATCGCACGACACAATGGGAAGATCCACGAACGCAAGGTCAAGAAGTTAGCTTAATGGGTGAAGGTCCACTACCAGCTGGTTGGGAGATTCGTTATACAGCAGCTGGTGAAAGATTCTTTGTCGATCACAATACAAGACGAACAACATTTGAAGATCCACGGCCAGGTGCACCGAAAGGTGCCAAAGGAGTTTATGGCGTTCCACGAGCATATGAACGAAGCTTCCGTTGGAAGTTGAGTCAATTCCGATATCTTTGTCAATCGAATGCTCTACCAAGTCATATTAAAATAACACTCACACGACAAACATTGTTTGAAGACTCTTATCATCAAATTATGAGACTGCCCGCTTATGAACTTCGACGACGACTTTACATCATTTTTCGTGGTGAAGAAGGTTTAGATTATGGCGGTGTAAGTCGTGAATGGTTTTTCCTTTTATCACATGAAGTTCTCAATCCGATGTATTGTCTCTTTGAATATGCCAACAAATCAAACTATTCACTACAAATAAATCCGGCAAGTTATGTCAATCCCGATCACTTACAATATTTCAAATTCATTGGACGATTCATAGCGATGGCACTTTATCATGGACGATTTATTTATAGTGGATTTACAATGCCGTTTTACAAGCGAATGCTTAATAAGAAGTTGACAACCAAAGATATTGAATCAATTGATCCTGAATTTTATAATTCACTTGTTTGGGTGCGCGACAATAACATTGATGAATGTGGATTGGAATTATGGTTTAGTGTTGACTTTGAAGTTCTCGGACAAATTATTCATCATGAGTTGAAGGATAATGGTGATAAAGAGAAAGTCAGTGAAGAGAATAAAGAAGAATATTTGAGTCTTATGACCGAATGGAGAATGACGAGAGGAATTGAGGAACAAACGAAAACATTTTTGGAAGGATTTAATGAAGTTGTACCATTGGAATGGTTGAAATATTTTGATGAACGTGAATTAGAACTCATGTTGTGTGGAATGCAAGAGATTGATGTTGATGATTGGCAACGTAATTCAATTTATCGTCATTATAATAGGAATAGCAAGCAAGTGCTGTGGTTTTGGCAGGTAAATCTTTTCGTTTTTCCATTAATTATTGCTTAATTTCTAATTTTCTTTTTCCTTTCTAATTAAACAAAAGTTTGTAAGAGAAACAGATAATGAGAAACGTGCCAGACTTCTCCAGTTTGTGACTGGCACATGTCGTGTACCTGTTGGTGGTTTCGCAGAATTGATGGGATCGAATGGACCTCAACGATTCTGTATAGAGAAAGTTGGAAAAGATACATGGTTACCTCGTTCACATACCTGCTTTAACAGATTAGGTAAGAATGTGACCTTTTTCAATTACTTTTCATTGATTTTTTCATTTCATTCCATCAGACTTGCCGCCTTACAAAAGCTACGATCAACTTGTGGAGAAGCTTAATTACGCTATTGAAGAAACTGAAGGTTTTGGTCAAGAGTGAAATGGTTAAATTAACTTCGCAATAGATAATAATAATTCCTATTAATTTTATAAATGACGCATAATTTTAATTTTCTTTCTTGGGAAGATATTTTGGGTGGGTGGAAAAGAAAATTTTTATGAAAGGAAAAGTAAATTGATAATCAAAGCGGATGTAAGTAGATAAATAATTAACTACATGCATTATATTAAATACAAAAAATATTATTTAATCTAATAATAATAAAGTTGCAACCAAAATCAATCGACACACACACACACATACATACAAACACAGATGAATATAGCTATAAAATATAAAGAAAAAGATTTAAGAATTATATTAAAAATTGTAGGAAAATGTTATATTTTTTCTAAACATGTTTCGCAGTAATTTGCAGAAAAAGAAAAAGAAGAAAAAAGAAAATCATCACTTAGATCTTAAATTATGAATATTTGTTATCAAGTTTGAACTTTAAATTAATCACAAATTCCCTTTTTTCCTTTGGCACTGATTTTATGTTGATCCCGAGTGTTCATCTCACTTTTTATTAGGTCCATTAATTGTACCTTGAACGTGGTCAGATTGCGAGTTGGTTTTGCTTGCAACACTAAAGTTTGCCACTATAAAAGTTTCCTTCCTTTTTCACAGTGAAAGCTTGCACATTGTTGCGATACAATTAAAAATGTTTAAATGAAAGTTAAAGGCTCAGAACACGAAAGAATAGAAAAAAGCATTTTCAATTTTAATTATGTCGATTCTGAGCCATGTTAAAATATCAAAGAAAATCTTCAACTCTCTCAATAATTTTCTTCTTTCAATTTAATGATTAACGGATGAAAAGTTTCTATCGGGATCAAAAAAATGAAAAGAAAAATGTGAACATAATTTTTTTATGTTGAAAATTATTATTAATTAATTAATTAATATGAAAAGAAGGCAATGTATAGAAAACAAAATGAAAATTAAAAGTAGAAAATATTTTGTAGAAGAAATCATGAAATCTTCATTAAAGTGGCTAATGAACTTCAATGAAACGTTAATTAACCATTTTAATGAAAGATCAAATAAAAATAAAAGAAATTCTGAAGATATCTTTGTAAATATATTTTGAAAAAATAAAGAAAGAAAATAAAAATTTCACATAGTAAACTTTTAGTTTGTTGCTTTCTGAAAAGTTTTCTTTTGATTCAAAAATGGCTAAATTCTCGTCAATTTTCTACGCAATTCTACTTTACTTTATTTTGTCGCGATTACACGATTGTGTGAATTTCTTGGATTTTCCATTCGAAGCCTTTGGATCAGCAAACTTATTGGCGCTTGGCTTTGTTTGTTTGCTTCTTTATGATCGTTTAAACATCAGAGAAGTTAACCCGAGTGGATCAACATGCAAATTAAACGTAACGGAAATGGTTTGGTGCTTAATTACAATAGAAATCTTCATGAACTTATTTTGGAGAAATCTTGAAACAATTATCGTTGTGTTAATTGTTGCACCACACGAAGATGAATTTAATGATTTAATGGAAAGATTTTTTATGGCAAAATTTACAATGAATGTAATTTCAAGCATGCTGTGCCTTGTGACATTCGTCAAAACAAGAATTGTAAACGATTTAAAAATTTACTTCAGAAACAACTGGAATGAAGCGATGGAGACTAATTGCAACAATTTAAATATTGACAACAAGAATGAATGTGCTGAAAGATGTGAAAATAAGAAAACTTCAGAAAATGTTTCAAACTGTGATGCTGAACAAGAACCTGTTCATGTAATTACCTACAAACCAAGACTTCCATCTCATCCATTCTTTTCATAATAAAGAAAACGTTGATAGTAAATTTAATTTATTTTCTCAAAATAAAAACATAAAACTTCTGATTTCCACATTTTTTAACGTTTCTTTACCTTACGACGACAAAGATTGCTTAATGACTTTGAGAGACAACCAAAGCAAGTAGTTGAGTTTGAGTTTGGTTGTGAACTGTAAGTTCGAATAGATAAAAGTTCGGGATCTCTGACAGTTTTTGATTGATTGTATAAGAAGCAAGTTGACTCACTAATAAGACGATTTAATTGCGCTTTCTTAAATGACTCTAACGACCCAAGCGACGAATAACTTGTTGATGGTTTTCCACATTTGACATCTTTTTTGAATAAAGAATCAGTCGACGACTCAAGTGATTCATAAAAAGTTTTACTTTCCCGTGCTATATCTTCAACGTTAACTTGCGTCGAAGAATGATGAACTTTTGTCCGTGGACGACTTTTAGCTTTTCTTCTGCTTTCCTCAAGTATTCGGAACACTTCTTGTTGCTTCTCATATTGATCTGCTCGCATTTTTGAAGATGCACGAGACGTATTTTCAGACACTTCATCAATTGGATAAATTTTTAAATCTTTCACAAAACAATCTTTTGATCTGCTTTCATTACTTATTGTGTCAAATTTTCCCAAATCAATCTTAACTTCATCTCTGATTTTTAAAGCTTCAGATCTGCCACTAGAAATTTTCTTCGACAAAACCTTTCGAATTCCATCACCTGCTGAACAATTTTTATCAATATCACATTGCAGTTCATCAAATGAAATTGAAGATGTCCTTCGATGTTTCGTTTCAGTATCAGATAAAGATTCCTTCAACTTGACGTAACTTTTATTTGATGCTACAAAATGTTTTTCCATCATGAAGATTTAATGAAAATAAATTTGAAAAAGAAAATGTTTGTCAATTAATTCCATTGTTAATTGCGATGTTTGCAAGATTTTTTCATTCTGAAATTTAAACAAATCAAACATTTCTTTTGTTTTCCTTTATTTAATAATCATTTTTATTAGTCTGACTTTATCTTTCTTTGACATGTTTGAATTTGTACTTGAACAGAGAACATCAGTGAATTAATTTTACTTCTTATGTTAATTTTTGTTCAGGAATTGAAAGTTTTCACCTTTTTTACTTTAAGAATTTCATTTTATATGTCAAAGTTCCCTTACTTTAAAAATAATTACGCTAATGTTTAAGAATATTGAAAAAATTGTTTGAAATCTTAAGAGAATTGAATAAAGAAAAAATAATTGAGATTTAAACTGTCAAAGTAAGAATTAAGAGAAATGAAATTTGAGTTTTTCATCAGTTAATTAGAAGTTTGACGAAAACTTATTTTTGGAAAAGTTGTTTGTGGTTTACAAAAAGTATAATTTATCAGCAAGCTTTTCATCGGCAACAACTTTAACACTTAAACCAATCAGATCTGCCAACTTATGTGCATATTGACACGGAGCTGGTACACGGACTGTTCCCGGCCAATTGTAGTACAAGTAACAAAGCTTGTACGTTAAACGTTGTAAAATGTCTGGAGAGAAGTTTCCATCATCAACCAAGACAATATAATGCGATGGAGTTGTTGTTCCTTCACGAACATGTTGTGACACCAAATAGAAATCGTACAAATATCGTGACGTAACAATTTGATCCAAAACCGATCCCGGCGGTGGATTAACGAAATTATTGCCATTTCGTTCTTCAACAACTTTAAAGAATTTTGTGTTGATTCGTTTTTGTACAACGACGAAAGTCAACAATGGATTGTAATTCGATTCAATTCGTTTGAATGCATTTCTGAACTGCATGATTTCATATTGTTTGACGAAATCCAACTGTCCATCGCCGACACCATCACGATAAATAATGACACGTTCAGGGAATGTTCGATTCATTCCTTTGTAAGCTGTTAAAGCAGCTTCCATTGATGCTGTCAATCCATTAACAAGTTCTTCACGCTTACCTTGAATGGTTGGTCGACTATACCAACGAGTAAATTCTGGATTTAAACTTGCAACAAAACCACCAACTGTTATTCCATTTTGTCCAGCTGAATGGTATGTGTCAACACCGCAAATCATCGTGTTCTGAAGTGGAATTTTGATACTCCATAAAGTACCGCCAAGCTTGCAATTCATTTGCAGAAGAATCTTTTGAACGATCGAACGATTCTTTCCTTCATTTCTCAATGTTTTGCTGTTAATGACTTGCGATGGTGTTGGAATGTCAGAACATAAAACACGTTTAACAGCAGCATAACGATCTTCGCGTAATGATGGAAAAATGACGACAACAATTTGAATTGTTTGATTATTATTCAAAGCTTTACGAATTTCATTGATGTAAGTGTCAGTTCGATCATTTGGCAAACTTAAACGACGTGGCTTTGCAACATGAATGCCTGTTGGACCACAAATCTTCATGATCATCGATTCAAAGTTATCAGCTGTAACTTTATCGCGTTCTGTGAATGTCAACAACCAATTTTGAATGCTGATCGGGGATAAAACTTCATTAGTTGTAGCATGTCGTGAGAAATCAGCGTAATTTCCAGCACCAAATTCGCGTCCACGTCCAAAAATGATTTTCTCTTCGTTTAAAAGACGTGCTGTTAATGTTAATGGATCAGAATCCAATGATAAACCCCAAATTGATAAAATTTCTTTAGCAGCTGGCGTATTGTTGACATTCAGAATGAATTGTCGGAAAGACTTGACACGTTGAAGAGGCGTTAATTTCGTATATGTTGCAAGATCTTTCATAACCATATAATTTTGACGCATTTCATCGCTTAATCCTGTCATGTAGCAAAGTTCAGGAATCAACAAGAACATATATTCGCGCTTATCTCGTTCACCAGCTACACGAATTTCTTTGCGACTTATCAACAGACATTGATTCATGTCTTGAATGTCAATGTTGTACTGTTGCTTATAATATTTAATGTAACTTATTTCGTTGTCACCACGTGTGAATGTAGATTTTGGTGATTTATCAAAGATAATGTCATCGATGCGGTAAGTTTTGTTGTTGTAACGAGTTAAAACAATTTTTCCTATTAAAAATTTTAATTAAAAATTAAAATTAACTAAAAAAAATTAAAAACTCACCGATTAACATTTTTTTCACATTATCCTGGAATTGATTTCGTCCAGCTTGAAAAGCTTCAGTGATTGTGTCAAGAACTGTACGAGTTGCTAATACACGATGAGAAACATCCAATTCAAGCATTAAACCACCTTCTTGTTCACTGACTGCTTTCACATATCCTGGCCAAATTTCAAGTTTATGTTGTGGAATAAGCTTTGGTGAAGTTGGATCGAAACTTTTACGTCCAACACGAAGATAATTCAAAACTTTAAAGATCTTTTCAAAGAGAATGTTGTATAATTGGATGCAGTCGCCGAGTTTCTTTTTACGTTTGAAAATTATTTCAATTGCTATTTCGGGACCTTCAACGATGTTCTTCGAGATTAATCGTGTGACTTGATTTGGAAGTTGATGTGGTAAAAACAAAATGACGCCATCAAATGTTCGAGCATTGCCAAGAACGTCTTTATGTTGTGCAATATATTTTGATCGAAACGAAATGTTATCAACAGCGGGATTGAAGCGAACTTCATACTCAAAAACGCCTTTATCTGGATCGCAATGTAACATGATTGAGTTTGTCATTGAAGTGTAAGGCGTTCCTTTTTCTCCCCGTTTAATTACAGGTTCTTGTGATGTTGGGGAAAGACATGTTGCTTTCGAGATCAAGATTGTTTGTGGTGTCGGGCTCGACATCTTTGGAACTGCACCTTTAAGCTTAGCTTCGGAAGATCCAAGCGATTCTTCTCTTTCTGGTATTTTTGAGGTTTTTGTAGCGAGAGGCATGGTAATTGGACCTCCCGAAGATCCAGATCCTCGACCTGATGTGCCTCTACCTGCAATCAATCCACTTATAGCATAATTCTTGCCAGAATTGGATCCCGAATTGGTTTCAATTGGATCTGAATCGGAATATTTTGAAGCCAAAGTTTTTGTATCAGAAACTTCTGTTGTTGATGCCATAGTTGATTCAGCTTTTCTGAATGCATACATTCCTCTGCCTGCCATGCTTCTAAAACCAACAGATGAAACAACTGATGGCGTTGCTGTTGATTCAGTTTCTTCGACATGTTTCTTGATTGATGGGAATGCAAGTCCCAAGCCTCGACCAGCACTTTTAATCATTGGTATTGGCGTTGATTGTGTTGACGAGTGAGTTTCTGATGCCAATTCGGATTTTGTTTCATCTGTTGTGGTCGACTTTTTAAGAGATTTGAATGAAAGTCCTCGTCCAGCCATTTTTGTTCTTTAAACTTTAATTCAAATATTCCAGGTTATGTCACAACATATTTTCTATAAGCCGAATACTTACTTTATCTATTGATTTTTGATGATCTTATTGATTGTTTATGTTATCTCTTTCTTTTCTAATGAGAGTTGTTTAATTTTAACTCGAACAAACATATAAATTTGTTTTTTACAAGATTTGCGACTTTCTCGTAAGCTACCCGTTGTTACGTCTACCACATAATCTACCTCAAAGTCTACCAGGGTTTAGTAGAGACTTTCAAATATTCAAGTTACTGTTAAAATTTATAATTTGTTGTGAACTAACATTGAGGGACTTCCAATATCTCAAAATTTCATCACTAAATTACAATTAAAATCACTAGAAAGTAAAGACAAGTCACTATTTAATTTTTTCAATGATTTTTCTTTTTTTTTATTAATTAAATTTTCAGCATTATAAAATAAAACAAGTTGATTTCGCTGTTTAAATCATCAAAGTGTGAAATGGAAATATTAACTTTCATTAATGCAAATCACCGCTGAATGCTTCCTGAAAGACTTGTTTCCTTTTGACAATAAAAATTGTTTTGTTTTCACATATGTTTCATTATAATGCATTAATGATCTGTTGCTGTTTTTTTTTGGATTTTTTACGTTTCTCTTTTTTTTCGCAAGTTTCAAGTGTTTTTTTTACAAATTTTTCATCACCATCATCACAAAAGCAAGGTTCTTGAAGCTTTACTTCTTCCATCCATTGAGTAAAAAACGAAAAGAAAAACATAATAATAAATTACAAAGACTGGTTCAATTGATGATCGAGCTTTTTTCATTATTTCCTCTTTCATTTAAGTTGTCGGAATGAAACGAAGGAAGATGATTCTGGATGGGCGTCAGATTATGATGGTTTTGTTGTTGATAAGGAAAAAAAATCACCGGGGGCAGAGGCTTTCAGAAAAAGTGATGGGAGGCAAAAGAAAAATTGAACTTTTATGACATTGCAATCGGCGGTTTCGTGTCGAGTTTTTGCCCATCGAGCTGAAACTCTTTGGGCACACGTCGCCAATTTTGGGCGTCAAAATAGTAGTAAGTTCCTCGTTCAATTGACCCATTTTTATCGTAATGCGTATTTCCCGGCACTCGCATAATCCACACTTTCTCCTCGATATGATATCGCCAATCTCGTTGATAACTGAAGAAACAATTAAATTAATTATTTCCTTCAAAACATTAAATAAATCTTACAGTTCATTTGCCGCTGCTAATTGCATCACATCACCACAATTTGTGTAAAAGAGAAAGAAAAGTAAATCATCCTTATAATGTTTCATTTTACTGAGCGGTGCAAGCTTGTCACGAATCGATACGTTGATTAAATACTCGGATGGAACTGGATAATCAATGTCTTGTGGCCTAAGAATAAAAATGAATAATTTTAAATATTTTCATCAGATTATTTGCTTACCTTGCAGGGCCATCTGAAAATGGACCACCGAAACTTTGATAAAGATTCTCCATGGAATTCAGATTCAGTCCGAGTGCCGTCAGATCCTGTCCCATTGCAAGTGAAACTAGATTCGGATCAGATTCTGCTGCTCTGATGAACGTAAGCAATCCTATCATGCCGAATTGATTGTTCACCATCGTTGGTGGTATGTTCGTGACGAGACCGTTTGGTGATGTTTGTACGCCGCGTTTTGCTTTCTCACTTGGTAAATGATGATGTCCACCACCACTCACAGATTGATGTCCCACCACCGTCTCCGATTGCATCATATCCATACAAAGATTTGAGCCAATAGAATTTTTATTGTCCATCATATTTGTGCCATCAGCATTCATCATAGCGCCAAGTGATGACATTTGATGATGGTGATGATGACCAGGACCACCTGAACCAATAACATTATTCGAAGATACAAGTGACGAGACGGATACAGATGATTGATGTGATTGATTACCAACAATAGCGCTCGATCCCGAGCCAACAACACCGGCAAGATTATCGCTTGTTCCCGGTAGTGCTGGAAAGTCTTCACTTGACATTTGAAATTCCGTTTGTTCCGATGTAGGTTGCTTTACCATTCCAACTTTAATGAATAGAAAAGCTATAAGTCCATTCAACATTATTTTAATGAACAAACTCACCGTAGGGTTTACTTCCAGGTGCTTGTAACACATTCGAATGTTGATCATTTTGTCGTGCGTTTGTAAGTGATGGAAATTCGCTCATATCGAAAGGCGTCGGTGGCGTGTCGGATGAAGAGGCGAAAAAATTATTTATACCGCCACTTTGAGATCCATAGCGTGCCGAAGGCATAAATGAGCCCATATTCATAGACCCACCAGCTAAACTTCCCGCCATCCGTCTTGTATTAAAATCATCACGTTGCTGTAGAGATGGATTGTACATTCTTCTAGTTCCCATTGGTGGTGCTACGATATTTCCACCTATCGCTGTCATTTGCCCCGCTCGATTCGGTGACAGTTGTTGTTGACTTTGCTGTTGATTTTGCTGCTGTTGTTGTTGCTGTTGCTGACCTGAAGACGTCACATAATTGGAATTATTCACGGGCTGTTGCGACGATTGAAACATTAGAGATGATGTTGGTGTCACATTGCCTGAGATGGAGTTGGTGGTGAAGCCACTGTTCGTACTGCGACTCAGTGAAGCTGATGAAATCCGAGGTGGCTGTTGAAAGTTTAAATTGGCCATGACCTGAAGATAAGAGATTAAAAAATATAAATTTAAAGAAAGAAAGAAAGGTGAAATAATATTATTCAACTCTATTATTATGATTGCATTCGATGTTAAACAAAACAACATTCTCTTTTCTTTATTCTGACAAATGAAGTCGTCGTATCAAGGGAATGAATTTGCATGTAAATTATGGAAATGTTCGTTTCGATTCACCGCAAAAATGCGCTTTAAATCACGACAAACAAATATCCCGTCGTCCGTAATAAACAAAAATGAGAGAAAAAATATATACATAGAATGAAGAGGAAAAAAAATGAAGATGAAACAACAAAAAGGAGAAAATGAGATCCAGCGATGGACAAGTTTACGACTTTTGTTCCTGACGGGATTAACTTCTTCCCTTTATCCAATAAGATGAACTGACGTTAATAGACCTACCGTTTTTGCTCATAAATCTAAACACGGCTTCGCCTCAATTCTCATGGAATTTGATGGAAAAGTTTCTTTTGTTGTTGATGGAGCACAAAATTTTTTGCACAAACTTTATTTTCGTTGTTTTAAACAGCGTTTACGACTTTTGGTTTGTTGTAACAAGCTCTTTTCTAACCTGAAGAACTTAAATTTAAAAGATATTTGGATATAATTGCGATTTAATCGTTTTTGAAGGTAAATATTTAATATATTTTTCTCTTTTGCTGCAACTTTTAATTCAGGAAGAGTGCGAGAAGGGTATTCAAGTACATGTAATGAAAATGATTACCTTCACACCCTTGGACAATAAAAAATTTAAATTTTTAAAAAAATATTCTAATAACAGTTACGAAATATTTTATTGAAAATATTATTTTACCATGAAAATCAATCGGAATGAAAATTTTGAAGATGTTTCTGTTAAAAGATGAATATAGGTATCCTTTAATCTTTTTACCAGTTAATTGTATGTAAAAATTTAAAAGATAGGTATTATTGAAAAACATTCTTTTTATTCCTATATAATTTTGAAGTGTGTTAATTGAAATTAAAATTTTTCGTTTCTCTCAAGTGTTCATAGTTGGGTTTGTTCTTAAGAAATGGAACCATATAACTAATGAGTATGTATGGCAAGCGACGTAATATTTGGTCAGGTGTAAATAAAATACTGACTTAAAGTTCAGAACGAAGTTCAATTTTACTCAGACGTGTGAAGTTAGCTCCTTCATCGTCTTTAAGCAGCCAACTTCATTCTGCTGAAATATCAAAATTTTTAATCGTGAGCTAAACTTTCATCGAAATAGACAGAAAATATAATTGTGGTTGAAATATTTAAGTTTAGTTCTTATAAGTATTAAATTAAGCTGCAAAGATGGCTCTAAGTGATGCAGATGTTCAAAAACAGGTATAAATTATTAAAAAAAGCTGAAAACAAGTGATTTTTGTAAAAAAATATTGGACTTAGCAATCATATGAATGCAAGAATTAAAGGATATCTGATACAAAGACTGATGAGAAATGACACATAAATGAATTAAAACATCCTGTTTATTATTTGAGAAGAAACATTCTCTTCAAAATCAAAGTTGAAATATTTACTTGACATCTTGAATATTTTTATCATTCGTTTTCTCATATCATCGTCATTTTATTGAACTTCCTCCATGTTGATTAGAGTCCTGACAATACAAAATATCCTTCTATAATTTACTGTAGACTTTCATGAATTCAATTTTCCATTTTCGAGAGAACTTTAAAATTTTCAAAGGGTCACGAGATTCTTCGATCATGTGAACATTTTTCTTACCGTCTTAATACTAAACGAAATGAAAGATAATTCAACAATTATGCTTAAGATACATAAATTGTTAATCATAACAATGTTGTCCGTCTAGGATTTGTGGAAAATTGAGATTTTTATTGATTTTCCTTCATCATAATAATAGAAGAAGAAAGAGAGAAAAAAGAAGTCATGTGACGGACACATTTGTTATCTCTTTCTAGCACACAGTAGTGATGTAGTTGAAATGTGTTAGTGTTGACATTGCATTTACATGCTTTGATTAAAAATTATGTTTACCGGGTGATACTTATCAAAAAATTCTAATGATATGTTTTTTTAGATTAAACACATGATGGCATTCATTGAGCAAGAAGCCAATGAAAAAGCCGAAGAAATTGATGCAAAAGCCGAGGAAGAGTTTAACATCGAGAAGGGTCGTCTTGTTCAACAGCAGCGCATTAAAATCATGGAATACTACGAGAAGAAGGAAAAACAAGTTGAACTGCAAAAGAAAATTCAATCATCAAACATGCTGAATCAAGCTCGTTTAAAAGTATTGAAAGTTCGTGAAGATCATGTGCGTGGTGTTTTAGAAGAAGCTCGTCGTCGTCTTGGAGAAGTTACACGTGATTCATCGCGATACTCGCAAATCCTTCAATCGCTGATTACTCAAGGATTATTCCAAATCATGGAGGCCAATATAACTATTCGTGGACGCCAACAGGATGCACAACTTATCCAAAATGTACTTCCAGGAGCTGTGGAACAATATAAACGTGAAACCGGTAAGGATGTCGTTGTTACACTCGACACCGACAACTTCCTTTCCGCCGAATCCACTGGTGGTATCGAAATTTTTGCTCTTCAAGGACGTATTCGAGTAAGTCAATTACACTTTTATGATTTACATAAAAAATTAATTTATTATTTTAAAAACTTATTTTAGGTTGTCAACACACTTGAATCACGTCTTGAATTGATTGCTCAGCAATTGGTTCCCGAAATTCGTAAAGCATTGTTCGGTGGTAACGCAAGTCGTAAATTTACTGATTAAACAGTGCAATCACCAAGTAATCACAAGAAATATTATTCTGTTGTTTATTCCGTTTCGACTTAATTTAGCATCAATGATAAAAGAAAGAAAAAAGAATTACGATAAAAAAAGATTTTTTTCCCTCCGTTTCACATAATTTCGATTCACCTACAAGCACTAGAGAAAGAAACAGTAAAAAGTATATCCTAGAAACTATTTAATCGTTGCACATTAAAGTAAAGTGAAGTTAAATTGCGAAAATTGCTTTTTCTTTGTAAGAATTATTGTCTACTGACGATAAAAACTTTCGTGATTAACTTTAAAGTCTATCAACTGATATCGATGCATTCCTTTGTTTCTTATTCTTAAAAACGTGACGAGTGCTTGAGGAAAAAATAAACTATTTAACTTGACTTAAGTCTTGTCATTTGAGAAAAGAAACCAAAATTTTATCACGTAATCTTATCGCATGATACAAAAGTAACTATTTATAACAGAAACGTTAATAAGTGTTCAAATTTTAGCTGCAAATCATAAATGAATGGGTTTTAATCCGGTTAATGAACGAGAAATAAAAAAGTCAATACCAAATTCTTCCCAATAAATGGAAAATCGAAGATTTTCTTTTTTCCCGTTTTTTTTCTTTTGCTTTATGATGGCGGAAATTTAGGATGAAAAACTTTTTGTTGATAGAATTGTTTCGAAAATATCCCGAGGGATGAAAAGGTTGCAAACATTTTACAAAAAAAAATATAAAAAGTATAAAAATTAAACTTTGCGGGAATGTTCAAATTTAACGACAAAAATCACAAATTTCTAAGCTTTCAGAACTTGTCAAGTTTCATAATTACTTAATGTTAATAAACAAGAACCAAAATAATATGGTAAATGCTTTTCGTGCAATTATCCATTCAAACTTGATCGGTATTATTTTAGTAGTGATGCTAAATTCTTTATTTAGTTAGATGATAATCTGTAGAAACAAAGAAAGAAACAAAAAATACTTTTCGGGGGACGTGGGGTTGAATGAGGAGACTTCAAGTATTTCTTTTGAAAAGCTTTAAATGATACCGAAGCTGAATCTTGTGCCATCGGTGATCAAAAGGACTGAAAGTATGACTTTATGTCGTCTCATGTCACTTGAAGATTGTTTAATTATATTCTACTTTAGGTAGTGGTAAAATCGAAACGACAAAAAAAAAGTTAAAAATGATATAAAAATTAAATGTTTGCAATCTGGAATAGAACGAAAATTATTTAATGGAAATTAAGCTAATTTTTTTGTTATCAACAGCATCAGTGTCTTTGATGTTCACTAGAATCTTGCGACATCACAATTTTCTGCTGCTTCAAAGATATTTTGATAATAAAGAAGTCATCATTTAATTAAATCGTATAGAAAAAGTTTCCTGAAAAAAAAAGAAGCAACGAAATGTTTAAAAGTTTGTTGGAATCATCAAAAAGTTTTTCTTTTAAAATTATTAAAGCCGTCTAATTAACAACACATCAAAAGTTTTTCATCGCAAAAAGAAATCCCTTCTTTGTTATGACAATAAAATAATTTTAATAATCTCTTTGATTTATTAATTTTCGCAACGATTACAACCAACTCTACACATAAAATGTTCATGTAAATAACCAAACCAACCCTTCTTGTAAACTTTTAAAGTTAAAATAATAACAAAAAGAAATGTAAAGCCACATTGTATAGGTGTGAACAAACAACATGGAGAGAAATTATGAGAAATAAAGTAAAAATATCAAATAAAACAAATAGGTAATTTAATTCGAAACTAGTTTATGGATTTACAGAAAATTTTTATTCAATCTTTTTGCATTCTGGTTCGATAGAAATTTCGTGGATCATCACGAAAGTCAAGTAAAGTCATGAAATCTTGAATTCTTTCAAATGTTTCTACCAAAACGTCAACATAAAGTAACCAGGAGTATATGTTATGGACCATCACAACGATTCCAACTGATGAAATTATGAGGAACACAATGAAAATCTTGCATCCAATAAATATTGAAATCTCAATGAAAGCGAAGAAAAAAAGCGTTTCGATGACCAAACTACGTTCCACAATAAAGAAAAAGGAGATTAAAATAATTAACACGTTTGTTGGATGCTCGAAAATTTGTTTGATAATTAAGTTAAACGATATGATGCGGAGAAGGAAATGAAGAATGAACGCTTTTCCAACTGATGAAACAATTGCCATGATATCAAAAATATTTTCTAAATTTTTATATTTAATGTCATGCTAAGAAAAAAAGAGAACTAGATTGTGCCTAAGAATGTCATTCAATATTACATAACTTAAAGATTTGATTGATGTTTAATTAGAGATAATAGATAAGTCATATCTACGCGTAGAATTAACAAACATAAGACGAGTGTTCGTAACCGTTAAAGAAAGTGTTCCACATTAAGAAAGTTCCTAACCATTACTAACTTCACGCAGCACAAATGTAGTACTTTGACAGACAGACATGAAAAATTTCGTCAACATTCAAGTAGAACATTGGCTAAAACTGACTTGTTTTCAGAAGACTTTTTTTAGAAATTAAATAAATTTATTTTAATCAAAACTAGGAAATATATAAACAATGTCACCAAAAGGGCGACCTCGAGTGGATGATCTAATACAGAGCATCTCTCTTCATACACCTAATCCTGTTTTTCTTCAAGGAACAATATTTCCCTTCATATTTTTTTATGGTTCATGGTTTTATTTTTGGGTTTACGTGTATGGAGTTGAAGATTACTATGAAGCCGGTCTTGTGTCACTCGTTGCTATTGCCTTTATTCAAATCTTCACCTGTCTTTGTTGCTTTTGGAGTGTTCATTTCCGTGCTTTCACGTCATGTCGAAAGGTGAGTTGGAACTTTTTTTTTATGTAAATAAAATTAATTTTGAAATTTTAGAGCAAATCTCCATCAAATGCTGTGCTGGCAAAAGTTGTGCCAACTGAAAACAATGGCTCAAGTGAGCTTGTAAAAATACAAAAAACTAAAGTGTCTGATAAAGAAGACATTGAGTATTATTTCACGTTCCAAAAGGTAAATTACATCTACAAAAATTTATAAACTTCCAGCAGATTTTAATATTTTCCATATATTTTTAAGATTAAATATATTTGGGATGACAACAAGAAGCAATTTCGAGCAACAGATTTTCCAGTCGATCGTCCTCTTCAAGAATATTTCGATTCAAAAGGTCACGAAGATGAAAATGCTTTAGCAATAGCAGACAAACGTTTCGGCAAGAACTCAATGGAAATGGTCGTTCCTGAGTTTCATGAATTATTTATTGAACGTGCAACAGCACCTTTCTTCGTCTTTCAAGTGTTCTCTGTTGGACTTTGGTGTCTTGACGAATATTGGTATTATTCCCTCTTCACACTCTTCATGCTCATCATTTTCGAATGTACGCTCGTTCAACAACAACTTCGTAACATGTCAGAAATCAGAAAGATGGGCAACAAGCCTTATTCAGTGAATGTTTACCGAAATCGCAAATGGCGCGTCATTCAATCTAATGAACTAATTCCTGGTGATTTGGTATCAATAACTCGATCTCATGATGATATTCTTGTGCCGTGTGATATTTTAATGCTTCGTGGAACTTGTATTGTTGATGAGTCGATGTTGACTGGAGAGTCAGTGCCTCAAATGAAAGATTCCCTTGAGAATGTTGACAATTTGAAAAAGGAACTCGACATTGAAGGTGACGGAAAACTTTTTGTTTTATTTGGCGGCACAAAAGTTGTTCAACATACATCACCAACAAAAGGAGCAATGAGAGCACCAGACAGTGGATGCATCGGTTATGTTCTTCGTACAGGCTTTAATACATCACAAGGAAAACTTCTCCGCACAATTCTTTTCGGTGTCAAACGTGTGACTGAAAATAATCTTGAAACATTCGCTTTCATCATCTTCCTTATGGTGTTTGCTGTCACTGCCGCTGTTTATGTTTGGATCAAAGGAAGCGAAAATCCTGAAAGAAATCGTTACAAATTATTCCTTGAATGTACACTCATCTTAACATCAATTATTCCACCAGATCTTCCAATTGAATTATCATTGGCTGTTAACAGTTCATTACTTCAACTTTCAAAGCTTTTTGTATTCTGCACTGAACCATTTCGAATTCCATTTGCTGGAAAAGTTGAAATTTGTTGTTTTGATAAGACGGGAACATTGACAAGTGACAATCTTGTCGTTGAAGGAATTGCTGGTCTTGATTCAAGAAAAGAAATTCTTCCGATTAGTGAGATTACTGAAGCAACAGCACAGGTTCTTGCGACATGTCATTCATTGGCACAACTTGACGATGGTCTCGTTGGCGATCCACTCGAGAAAGCAACATTGACAGCAATTGATTGGAATTTAAGTCGAGGTGATTCAGTCATTCCAAAACGTGGGAAATTCAAAGCTTTAAAGATTTATCAACGTTATCATTTCTCATCATCACTGAAACGAATGTCAGTACTTGCTGGCTACATTCAATCGTATACAGGTGAAACACATTACATTGGAACAGTCAAAGGGGCACCTGAAACAATCATGAAAATGTTGAAAACTGTTCCGCGTGGTTACGAAGAAACTTATTTAGAATATTCAAGACGTGGTGCTCGTGTTCTTGCACTTGGAATTAAAGAATTTGGAAAACTTGAACATCAAGCTGTTCGTGAAATGAAACGTGATGAGGTTGAGAATGATTTAACATTCGTTGGTTTTGTTATCATTTCATGTCCACTTAAACCTGACTCAAAAGCAGTTGTAAAAGAAATTCTTCAAGCATCACATAAAGTCGTAATGATTACTGGTGACAATCCATTAACAGCTTGTCATGTCGCAAAAGAATTGAGATTTACAAAGAAACCAATTCTTGTGTTGACATCGAATGATGAAGGAACAGTTTGGGAGTGGAGGGGAATTGTTGGAAATATTGTGATTCCAATCGATGAAAAGAATTCACAAATTCATAAAATTTTTCGCGAATATGATTTTTGTATAACAGGAGACGGACTTTTGTATTTAAATGAAGTTGAACATGAATATTTAAATAAAGTTCTACCATATGTGACAGTTTTTGCAAGATTTGCGCCAAAGCAAAAGGAATTTGTCATTACGACATTGAAGAGACTTGGATATTATACATTAATGTGTGGTGATGGAACGAATGATGTTGGTGCATTGAAGCATGCACATGTTGGTGTTTCTATAGTTAGTAACGCACCGCTACGTGCTGGTGAGAAAAAAGAAAAGAAAAAAGAAGAATTAACACAAACTGCAGCAATAAGAAGACCAACTAATGATGCTGAAAGAAATTTATCACCAAGAGAACGAGCTCTGAGGCAACAACGTTTAAAGTTACAAGAATCACAAGAACGAATGCAAAAAGTTTTACGTGAAATGGATGAAGAAACGATGAAAGTTGTGAAACTTGGTGATGCTTCAATTGCTGCACCATTCACAAGCAAACTCTCTTCAATCAATTGTGTTTGTCAGATTATCAAGCAAGGACGTTGTACATTAGTCACGACATTACAAATGTTTAAGATTCTTGCTTTAAACGCATTAATCTCTGCTTATTGTCAAAGTGTTTTGTATATTGATGGAGTTAAATTCAGTGACACGCAGGCAACATTGCAGGGACTCTTCTTAGCCGCATGCTTCTTATTCATAACAAGATCAAAGGTAAGTTCTATATCAAAACGTATTCAATCTTCATGCGTGGTGTAATAAATCACTCAAGTTCCATATTATTTCCTATCTTAATAAAACAACATTCACTTGACAATGACAATGATAAAAATTCCATTTACCAGCCGCTCAAAGTATTGTCGAAGCAAGCTCCACTGCCCAATATCTTCAACATTTATTCAGTGACAACAATTTTGGGACAATTTGCTGTGCATTTCATATCACTTATTTATCTTGCTCATGAAGCGACATTAAGAGCTGGTCCTAGGTATGATGTATCATTTAATTTATTCTAAAATTATTTACGCAACGTAAATAAAATTTTATTGTTCTTCTTTATTATAGAGACACGACGATAAAGTTAAACATTGATATGACGCCAGAGGACAAAGAAGCTGAATTTGAGCCAAATATTATTAACAGTACAGTTTATTTAATTTGTATGGGTCTTCAAGTCTCAACGTTTGCTGTTAATTACAAAGGACATCCCTTCATGGAATCTCTAAGAGAAAATCGACTGCTTTTGTATTCAATTGTTGCATCAAGCAGCGTTGTGTTGTGTCTTGCTCTTAATCTCATTCCAGACGTACAAAGCGCCTTTCAAATTATCGATTTTCCAAATGATGTAATTGCAATTATAATTACTAATGGTTTTTCCAATTAATTTAATAATCTTCTTATCATTTCAGTTCCGAAAAATTCTTATCTTCGTTCTACTGGCAGACACATTTTTAGCATTTGCAGTTGATAAAACTTGTGCGTTTTTATTTGGTGAAAATCGACGAAAAATTGACATTCTGAATTATTGAGCGCATTGAGTGTTTGTAGTATATATTTGTAATAAGATTTCAAGACAAAATCCAATAAAATTCGACATAAAAGATAAAGTAACGGTATCCGTGAATTTAAATTATCTGATTTGTTATATCGAGGTTTCACTTGCTTTCAAGAAAGTCTATTTATAGAAACTCTAATGTAATTGACAAAACCGAATTCAAGAAAATAGTTTTTAAAAAATTATTTTTCTTGATCAAAAGTAGTGATATCGATAACTCAAAAGTTTTTATTTTCATAGAAAAATGTAAGGTGAGTTATTTTTAGATGAAAGTGATGTAAATTATGTAGAAAGAATGTGGAAAAAGTTTGAGAAAATTGGTGATTTTGATAAGCACATTTTTCTGATCTAAACTGATATTGTGCAAAAAATTAACATCTTATATCCATAATCGTATCTGCAAACGAGTTATTTACACTTAAGAGTCCAGGGTAGGCGACGTTAACGTGAGTGTTTGAAATGACAAGCAAAGAAAAGGAAAGTTAATCTCGTGTAGCGGCCCTGGCTGAATGCCAATTGCCTTCACAAAATTTTCCGATGCTTCAGTTTAGTGTGTTTCTAAATGTTCCACTGACGTGTTGCGTGCGTTACACTGCGATTCATCAAGTGGCTTTTAATGATCTAATTAAGTGATTGATTTATCACGGTTATTTTCATTTTATTTCAATTTCGTCTTTTAGACTTATCTATAAAAATTGTAGATACTAAGTAAGTTTCAAAGGAATTAAAATCTTAATGTTTCCCTGAATAATTTTTCATTTAATTTTTACGCCTTGCTAACGTGTATGTTTGTGTGAATCACGTAATTATTGCAGTAGAATCATTTAATTCTCACCTTAGGTGGCAAGAAATGGAAATATTTGAGTTATTGAAATGAATATTATCTGATTTTAACAAGTGCCTTGTGCTAATCAAATTTAACTTTTTTTTTGTACGTTTTTAAAGCCATAAATTGCCGGTTTCAATATTGAATCATACTAAAATAAAGTAATTATCAAATAAAAATATCTGATATGATTATAATGCGTTCTTCAAATTTAAGACAGATATCATTTTAAGATATAGAACACGAGACAAGATGAATGATATTTAACCATCGCGATAGGTAGCCAAAACAACGCGCATCTACTTAAAGTCGTAGACCATAAACCCATTGATAACAGTCACATTCTTATTTAATTTCTTAGGTGAAAACCTCTTTTTAGAGAAAAGAATAAAAAAATATTGAAAGAAAAAGGTTTACAGAATGGATGAGTTCAGGTTTCATTTGATTGATTACCTTGTGTTTGGGTCGATGCTTGTTTTAAGTACAGGTGTTGGAGTGTACTTTGGATACTTTAAAAAGACTAAGACAAAGCGTCAGACGACTCCACCGCGTCACCAAGCAGATGACGAAGCATATGACAAAATGACCATAGATTTCGGTTCAAAGTCTATGCTTGAATATTTGCTTGGATCGCGTAACTTGAAACCTTTTCCGGTTTCCATGTCACTTGTAGCTTCTTACATCAGCGGAGTAACAGTACTGGGAACTCCATCAGAGATTTACAACTATGGAACACAATATTGGCTCATTCTCATCCCCATTGTACTCCATGGGTTCGTCGTTTCCTACGTATACCTTCCAGTATTTTGTGCACTCAAAGTTGGAAGCTCATATGAGGTTTGTCACGTTATTAACATTAAAATTTATTTATGAATTCCTTTTATGAGTCATTGAGAACTGTTTATTCAAAATAATTGTTTCAAATTTTTGTGTTTTCAGTATTTGGAACTTCGCTTTAATGGACATGTTAGGACGATTGCAAGCATAATGTTTGTTTTAGATGAGGTAAGTACCGGTTTTAGCAAAAACTGTTTTTGTTCTCTCTGTTAACTCGTTGACTCAAGTATAAAGCTTGCGATATTATAAAAATAAACTTCAAGGTCGATATCGACGACGATGCGAGTTCGATCCTGATCATGGAAAATTTCCAAAGTTTTAATTATTTATTTTTATTTAAAAAGAGCAATAACCTTCGCCTTAAAAGTTTTCAAAAGTCATCAAAATCTTCAATACTGATGACGTTTGCGATTGAGGCAAAAGTAATCTCAATTCCACAGTTCAGAATGCTATATTTGGCACTAGGACTACTACAGACAAACTTGGAGGGACAATTTTCTTTTTATTCATTTTCTTTATCTTAAATATTCGAGTCGCACATACGAGTCGAGTCGTATGGCGTTTCTTTTTTTGCTTTTGAAAAAAGAGAAATTTAAATCGTTTTTTTTTGTTTATTTGATTCATTCACGTATTAATTATAGCTTTATTTTTGAGAGACGAGCCCACATTCCGATAGAGGAAGTGAATAAAAAAAATGACGAACGATTAGATTTACAGAAAAACCTTACAAATGTTTACGTTTATGTGTCATTCATTCATTGGGTTTTTTCCATTCATTTTTATTCTATTCGCAGCTGCTTTTTCTACCGATCATCATCTATGTGCCTGCATTAGCAATGAATCAAGTATCAGGAATAAACATACACGTTATTGGTGCTGTTGTATGCGCCGTTTGCGTATTTTATACTTTAGTGGGAGGAATAAAAGCAGTTGTGCACACTGATGCTTGGCAGATCATCATTATGTTTATTGGCGTGGTTGTTGTTGTCATCATTGGAACATTTCATCTTGGCGGGCCATCAAAAGTTTTTGAAAAAGCTTTTGAGGGTGGAAGAATTGATTTTTTCAAGTATGTTTAAACAAAAATGAATGATAAGAATTTTCGTTTATGACTTCTTTTCTGTTTTATTGCTAGCTTCAATCCATCACTTTATGAACGTCATACATTCTTTAGCGTTGTAATTGGTGGATTCTTTTATTGGACCAGTTATAACACAGTTAATCAAACAATGGTGCAACGGTATATGTCACTGCCTAACATAAGGAAAGCAAGAGAAGCAATTGTTATCTTTACAGTTGGAATCTCACTATTCATCTCAGTTTGTTGCTATGCTGGTCTCTTAATTTATGCAAAATATTTTGATTGTGATCCTTTGACAAGTGAAATGGTGTCACGTGACGATCAATTATTCCCAATTTATGTTATGAACACAGTTGGTGAATGGAAAGGAATTGCTGGATTATTTATTGCTGGTGTATTTGGTGCTGCATTAAGTTCGCTCAGCGTTATTCTTAATTCAACAGCAGCTGTTCTTCTTGAAGATATTCTGAAAGGTTGCTTCAGAGTTCGACCATCAGAAAAAGCAGCTGCAATCTTTGTAAAAGGCTCAATTCTTGTTCTTGGTGCAGCAGCATTAGGATTTATATTTGTCGTTGAAAAGCTTGGTGGTATTCTTGGTGTCACAACAGCTCTGACTGCAATTGCTGCGGGTACAACATTCGGAGTCTTCACACTTGGAATGTTAAATCCATGGGCAAATTCGAAAGGAGCGATCTTTGGTGCAATTGCAGGAGCATTTTTATCGGTATGGGTCTCATTGGGATCACAAATTGCTATTGCAGCGAAACATGTTGCTCCACATACTTTGGATGTATCAGTTGAAGCATGTCCAATAGGAAACATGACAGGAATCGTTGATCGAAATTATCCTGATGAATCAGATGTTTTTCCACTTTATCGTCTCAGTTTTCATTGGGTGAATCCCATTGGAATCTTCTCAGTCGTCATCGTTGGGACACTTGTCAGCTATCTCACCGGTGGGCGTAAAACTGATCAAATAGATCCAGAGTTAATCTCACCAATCATTCATCGTTTTCTTCCCGATGAAACATTCACCAATTACGGTATTTCAAGTAAAATTAAACGGACGAAACTTAACATGGAAATGGATGCTAGTCGGTTATACGCCGTTGATAGTCATTCGATTCGTAAATGAACGTACTTACTTAAAAGAAACTTCTTAGAAAATATCAACCGCTGACCAAGAAAAGTATTTTTTTAATATCATCACGCGTGACATGTTCCGCAATACTGCAAAACTTTTAAAGTTTTTTTTTTAAATTCTCTCAAAGACTTTTTGATGAAACATGAGACTGTGATAAGCAAATTGTTTATACGGCACTGAAAGAAATCTGTTTTAGTTACTTTTTCTCTTTTCCTTTTTTTCATGTAGTTATTAATGGAACAGAACTTTATTCAGAAGAAAATTAATAATAAAAAAAGAAATTTTTTGAAAAGATATTGAAGAGAAAGAAGACGCAATTAATAACCATGAGATATGATAAGGCGATGTTTATTTTTATTAGACTTGTGCGTTGATTAGAATCCAATTGCGAACTGTAATTAAATATTAAGAAATGAAAAAGAAAAATTATTTCAATTAAAAAAAATTAAAATTCACCTGATGAGATCAGAGAATATCCACCAGGATAATTAGGATCAGCGCACAAGCTTCCAGGTCCAAATGAAACAAGACCAACAAGAAGTCCATCAGATAAGCGTCGAACTGGACCACCACTATCACCAGCACAAGCGTCCTTGTTAAGTGTAAATGCGCAAAACATTCTTTTAGTCACACCACCGTCATAAATATACTTAATATGACATTGAAGCAGATTGCTGACAGAAAGAATGACAGAACGAAGTACATTTGGATCTTCGGCTAGATTTCTTGTTTCACCTTGTCAATGAAAATATAAAAAAAATATTGATGAAAATATATAATGATAACAAGTAGATTGATAAAAGTAAGATTTTTAAAATTTAAGATTGAAAGTCTCACCCCATCCACTTATAAGAATCGAAGTTTTCTCGTTAAGCTTTTCATTAAGCATCGACATTCTAATCTCCTTCTTTGTCACACCGTCAATCTCGATAGATTTCTTCAACTGCAGTATCGAAAAGTCATAGTCATAAGTTTCAATATTGAAGAATGGATGATCTTTGATCTTCGACACTTCATGAACATCGCCACCATCAAAATTCTTTGTCGCGCCAACACGAACGGTTAATTGATTTGCGACTACTCTGAACGTACAATGGGCTGCTGTTATCACGCAGTCCTTTGATATTATAGCACCACCGCAAATATGCATTCCAAAAAATTGTATACTTGCTTGATACGGAACATCTTCAATTTTTATTTCCTCCCCACCTACAATTTTTCCACCAACTCCTATTTGATTTCTTGCAACGCGTGAACTAAAAGCTGCGTTGAAATTCGTAAGCAAAATTGCCGTGATGATGATGAACATTGTATTGTCAGCATTGAAATGCCTCAAAATATCTTTAAGTTTAGTGGTTTTATTTTCAATTTCATAGAGTATAATAAAAAAGTTAAACTAATAGGGCATAAGAAATAATTTCATTACAACAAAAGTTCAAATTAAGTTACTTTTCAAAATTTTTTCGTCTCACATGTTTAAACTTTAAACGAGAAATTTAATTATTTTTTCGAAATTTCCCTGAAAAATTTAATTTGAATTTTATGTGTGACGAAATGAACATTCGCCCTATTTTTTTATCATTAGACAGATCGTAATTAATTTCATTTATTATTTTATGTGTTTATGTTGACACTAATTGGATTGCCTTTTTTTATTATTGTGTAGCCTTAAGAAATTTGTTTTCAAACAGTTAACTGCGGTTTAGTGTTCCAAGAACATTTTCTTATTACTTTAGTTTTATTCTATTAAGGTCGCGATTTCTTGGAAATTTCGATTAAATATTTAGTCTCCATTTGGATATAGATAAGTGAAAAAAAGAAGTTAAATATGAAAGAACCTAAGTATAAGAAAATTTTATTTCAATCGTACAAAGTACTGAATCAATTTTCATTTATTTTGAATATTTCTTGATTTTTCTCAGTTTTTTTAAAGATAAATAATCAGCGTTGTGCGATTATAAAACATTTCTATTCACTTTATTTTATTCATTTAACTTCTTAGCTTTTAAGTTTTCTTACAGAATTTAGTTTTATGAATTGTATTTCAGGATGTGACATCCGATGAGTTTGATTTTTGAAATAATAAAAGTTGATGATCAACGATAAAAAAAGCAAATAAAAATATTTTTGTGCTTAAAATGTGTTTAATATTTTCCACGTCTTGCGACACTATAAATCCAAGATCGAACTGAAAATAAATTTAATGAGTTCTATAAAATTATAATAAATATTTTAATGTTTCAATTTACCAGCTGATAAATTTGTGAAAACACTTGGATGTGATGAACTTGCACAATCAACTCCAAATGAAACCAATCCTAGAAGTTTTCTATTTGTTGCATGAACAACGGGACCACCACTATCGCCAAAACACGAATCTTTATTTTCTCTATAAGCACAAAACATTTGAGTTGTTATGCCACCATCAAATATATATTTTTGATGGCATTGCAGGTGATTGTAAGTTGTCAGAACAACAGCGCGTAGATTTTCTTTATTCTCATTTGGGTTTAATGTTTCGCCTGTTATTAAATAAGAAATTATTTCATTGAAAGTTAAAATTTTTTGCCACTCACCCCATCCGCTAACAATCACAGGTGTTCCTGGAATCAAAGCATCTCTTGGTGATCCTATTACAGCAATTCTTTTTGTAAGCCCATCAAGTTTTATTGGTTTCGTAAGATGTAATAAGGAAACATCATAATCGTATGTCAGTTTGTCGTATTTCGGATGAATGTTTACTACGTCGACATAATGAACATCACCTCCCAAGTTAACCTTAGCTGAACCAACCCGAACTAGAATATCTTCGTGGTTTATACCTTCCAAGCAATGAGCGACACTAAGAATGAAATCTCTTGTTATAATCACGCCACCACAATGATACCATCTTAACATTAAAGATGCTTGATATGGCGCTTGTTCAATTGCAATTTCTAATCCACCCACAATTTTTCCACCCTTTCCAATTTCTGTTCTAGATGTTTCCAAACCATAAACTGAATTGTATAACGCAAGAATATTGATGACTATAAGCAGCTTCTTCATCTTGACTTGTTCAATGGTAAGAGACTTCTAACTTACAGTTGCTTAAATCTCTCAATGAAATCTGCCTTCTTATCTGATTTTCACGAGGAAATAAATATTTAAAGATGTGATTTAAAGATGTTGTCATAACAAGACGATGTTTTATTTCATTTATTATAAATTATCTTAATTATCTGCAAGTTTTGGACAAACATGCTTGATAAGAATAGAAAATGATATTTCAAAAAGAGTAAATTGTCATCATATTCATGATTCATCTTAAAAAAAATTTCATTTTAATTGAATCTTTTGGTCTCAATATCATATCGGCTACGAAGACGATTTCTTCACGTGTTGTGATTGGAGAAATTTTAAAGTTTCTGATAATTTTTATTAACATAGTTTTGATTTCCAAAAGAGCAAATCTTTGTCCAATACAATTTCTCATGCCAGCTGAGAAAGCAATGAAAGCGTAGTTGCTTCTTGTTGCACAATTTTCTGGTAGAAATCGATCTGGATCGAATTTTTCAGGGTCGGGGAAAACTTCTGGATCACGATGAATATCGTAGATATAGATATGAAAAGAAGTTCCTTTGGGATGCGTCACACCTTTGTAATAAAAATCTTCGGAGAAGAGTCGACTGATAAAAGGAACTGGAGGATAAATTCGAAGACACTCTTTGACTACCCGATCTAAATATTCCATTTTATTGAAGTCATCGATTGCAGGTTCATTTCTTCCCGTAGCCTCCAAAATCTCTTGAACTTCTTGGAATATTTTCTCTTGAGCTTCTGGATGGTGTGCAAGGAGAAGAAGAGTGAATGTCATGGCAGCTGACGTCGGGTCATGACCTTCGAAGGGAAACGTGTCAGTTTCTTCCATAATTCCTTCGTCATCAATCAATCCACTTTTCTGTGCTTGCAACAATGTATCCATCATTGCGAATCTCCGTTTCTTTGACCTGAAATAAACATTTTCAGAAGCATCATCAATTTGTTTACCTTCCCCATCAAAATTCATTTTTCTTCTGTGAATTATTGATCTTGTAAAATCATGAGCATGTTTGAGAACAGCATCCAAATTTTTTCGATGTCCAAACAACCAATAAGTGAAGTTGAAATGAATCCATGGCCTCATAATTCTAAACATTAAAAGTTTCCCAATTTCATAGATTTGAGTACGATAAATTTCACCGTCATTGCCAAAATCGCTGAGCTTTACACCCATCGCTGATTCTTAAGAATTTAAGAAGTGTTAAAAGAATTTCAAAACTGAATATGAACAATTTAAAATTTACCACAAATTGTGTTTAGTGTGAATTGAGTTGAGATGGGAACAATATTTATTTCGTTATTAACATTTTTCTTTATAGTCGCAATCAATTTTTCACTTTCTTCTCTAAAAACTTCAAAATATTCTTTGAGAATTTCGAAATGAAAAGCTGGTGTCAAAAGTCTTCGTCTTGTATGCCATTTTTCACCGCTACTCGTCAACAAGCCCGTTTTCAAGAACGAATCGAGGAACGTATAAATTCTTCCTTTCTCAATGTGCTTTGATGAACTTAAAAGCTTTTCAGCGTCATGAGCTTTTATCACGTTGTAGCTTAATATTCCGAAAAAGTAATGCTGATAAGAAGCATTAATTGTTCTCGCAGCTTTCCTTGCGAACAAGAAAAGCTCTTCTACGATCATAAATAAAAATATGATTACAATGATCCCAGTTCAAGTTCAACAAACAGATAAGAAGTTTACCTGAACCGTACAGTGACAAATTGAATGAATTTTTCAAAAGTGGCACTGAATTTGGTCTGTAATTTTCCAAAGGATTTTTCCTGAAAATCTCAATGAATTTCCACAATATCCATGCTAACAACAACGCTATAAAATATGAAAACATTTTTCAAAACGAATTTCGAAAGTCGCTGATGGCACTTTAAAGTGAGAAGTTAAACTGATTGAGAATAGCGAAATGTTTTCAGATTTTTCTATATTTTATTTTGAAGTTATACAGTGAAACTTCTTAAAACTTCTTTGAATGATTATTTTCAATTTGGTTTTGGGAATAAAATTAATTCAAGTAAAACGAACATTTTTTAATTTATAGCTTTTCGATAGTCACAAAATTTCAATTTGAAGGATTCCACCTGTAATAATTACTTAATTATCAGCTGCATAGATAAGCATTCAAGTGTGTGTAAAAATCTTTTGAGTGAAATGAAAAGTTGTTGATTACAGCACTTGAGCGGCACATTGAACTTGATAACATATTTTTTTGTTTATTATTATTCAATCTTGAGTGAAGGAAGGTATTTTGTTTACTGAATTTCTTTACAAATGTTTCAACAAGTGGAAAATTGATAAGAATGTTAAAAATAAAATATCGCAATCTTATCAAATGCACCTTCTTTGACGAAGAGATTCGAAGGTTGTTTTCACTTCGTTTTTTTGATTTAATTTCATCACTTGATGTCTAAATAGTGCAAAGTTCGATGATTATTATTAAAAATGCGTCATTTTCTGAAGAATTAAACGGAAGAAAAAAGTTTGTTTATTTTGAATTGGCGATGATAAGCTTAAATATTCTTAAAGCAATCTTGGCGGATCAAGGTAAAGAATTGCGTTAATTACGCACATTGAGTTTGATTTCCACCGGATTTTTTGACCTTAGAACAACATCCGCAATAAACACGACTTCATCACGTTTTGTCACTGGAGAAATTATGAAATTTCTGATGATTTTCGTCAGCATAACTTTCAATTCAAGCATTGCGAATCTTTGCCCAATGCAATTTCTCATTCCTGCCGAAAAAGCAATGAAGGCGAAATTACTTCGTTGTGCATTATTTTCTGGTAGAAAGCGATCGGGATCGAACTTCTCAGGGTCAGGAAATACTTCGGGATCGCGATGTACATCAAATATGTGAACATTGCAAACACTTCCCTTTTTATGCGTGACACCATCAAGAGTGAATTCTTCAGAAATTGTTCTGCTGATAAACGGAACTGGAGGATAAATTCTCATCGATTCTTTCATAACTCGATCCAAATACTCTGTGCGATTGTAGTCATCGATTGAAAGCTCTTCATGACCACTTGCAGCTATAATGTCTTTGATTTCTTCCAAAATTCTTTCTTGAGCTTCTGGATGATGTGCAAGGAGAAGAAGAGTGAATGTCATGGCAGCTGACGTCGTGTCATGACCTTCGAAGGTGAATGTGTCAGTTTCTTCCAAAATACCTTCATCATCAATTAATCCTTTAGCTTGTGCTTGCAACAACGTATCCATCATTGCATATTTACGCTTCTTCGATCCAAAGTAAATGTTCTCAGAATCATCTTCAACTTCCAAATTGATTGTTTCTTTTTCAGAAACAAATTTCATTTTTCTTTCCATGAAGATTGATCTCGTGAAATCGTGAACCGGTTTCAAAATTGTCATGATTTCCTTTCTATGTCCGCTGATTGTGTAAATGAATTCGGGAATCAACCAAGGCCTTAAAAATCTAAACAAAAGTTTTTCACCAGTAAGATAAATATTTTTTCGGTAAATTGCACCATCGTTGCCAAGATTCGTCAACTTAACACCCATCGCAGACTCTGAAATGTTTTATTCTCCTTTAAAAAACTTTCAGATTTTTCATTCAAAAGCAATCTCACCACAAATCGTGTTAAGTGTAAATTGTGTTGATATTGGAATGACATTTAATTCGTGTCCAGCTTTTTCTTTTAATGTCAAAACCAATTTATCGCTTTCTTCTTTAAAAACTTCAAAATATTCTTTGAGAATCTCAAAGTGAAATGCAGGAGTTAACAGTCGTCGTCGATTATGCCATTTCTCGCCATTACTTGTCAATAACCCAGTTCTTAGAAACGGATGAATGAAATTGTAAATCATAGACTTGTCTATATGCTTTGACGATCCCAAAATAATTTCAGCTTCCCTTGCTCGATTTACCTCAAAACTTAACAATCCAAAATATCTGAACTGAAACGATTTTTTGAACTTTTTCGCAACTTCTCTTGGCAGGTTGAAAACTTCATCTAGATTGATTGAAAAAATTACGGATAAAAATATCTGAGCTTTGAACTTATTGATAAGAAAATATTGTAAAAGAAATGAAATCAAACCTGAGCCTCTAAAAACGAGACCGAACGACGACTTTAACAAAGGCACCGAATTTTCGCTGTAATCTTTTAAGAGTTCCGCATTGAAC